CGTGTGTGCACTTTAATTAAATAAAGTATGTTCGCTCAACACGCTGCGCCTTGGTCTACTCGATACGACGATCGTGACAGAAGATCCCACCATACCAGGACCAAGCAGCGTGTCCAGGAGCAGGCAGCCTGGACGTGGGAGCAGATTTTGGACGGGCAGGGGTCCTGGACCTGGGAGGAAATCCTGGCCGGGATGGATCGCCGGCCATGGAGTGAGACAGTAGAGGCGCGACGGAGAGAGGAGCAACGGCGTGATCAGTGTCGTCGTCGGACGGTCGAGAGGCAACCCCCAAAAAATTTTTGGGGGGGGCACAGGGCATGGACGACGGGGCTGACGGAGGCAGAAAAGGGGCGTATTGAGGAGGCCACCAGGTTAAGGGGGCTATTGGCGCAGAGGGAGCAGGAGTTAGTGTTGCAGAGGGTGGAGCTATTGGAGGCGATAAGGGAGAGGGTGAGAATTGAGGCACGGCGAGAGGAACTCGGTAGGCAGCTGAGGGAGCGGAGGGTTATGACGAAACCCAGTCCCGCTCCTCACACCAAGCAAGTGGTGTGCGTCACCAGTCCGGTCCGGCCCGTTCCTGCTTCCCGCACTAAGTGTACGGTGCGCGTCGCCAGCCCGGCCCGGCCTGTTCCTGCCCCTCGCACCAAGCCTAAGGTGTGCGTCGCCAGTCCGGCCCGGCCTGTTCCTGCCACTCGCACCAAGCCTACGGTGTGCGTCGCCAGCCCGGCCCGGCCTGTTCCTGCTCCTCGCACCAAGCCTACGGTGCGCGTCGCCAGCCCGGCCCGGCCTGTTCCTGCCACTCGCACCAAGCCTACGGTGCGCGTCGCCAGCCCGGCCCGGCCTGTTCCTGCCACTCGCACCAAGACTACGGTGCGCGTCGCCAGCCCGGCCCGGCCTGTTCCTGCCACTCGCACCAAGACTACGGTGCGCGTCGCCAGCCTGGTCCAGCCCGTTCCTGCTACTCGCACCAAGACAGGGGTGCGAGTCGTCAGCCTGGTAAAGCCCGTTGCTGCTCCACGCACCAAGCCAGGGGTGCGAGTCGTCAGCCCGGTAAAGCCCGTTCCGACTCCACGCACCAAGCCAGGGGTGCGAGTCGTCAGCCCGGTAAGGCCAGTTCCGGCTCCACGCACCAAGCCAGGGGTGCGCATCGTCAGCCCGGTCCGGCCCGTTGCTGCTCCACGCACCAAGCCAGGAGTGCGCATCGTCAGCCCGGTCCGGTCCGTTCCTGCCTCACGCACCAAGCCAGGGGTGCGCGTCGTCAGTCCGGCACAACCCGTGCCTGGGTCACCGGTGCCTAATCAGGTACCAGTCAGCTGCTCCACTACGGAGCTGAAGCTAACCGCTCCTGCTACGTCCAGTTCAGCTCCAGCCAGCAGGGCCAGACCGGACCAGGGGCGCTATGGGGGGATTATTGGAGGGTGGTGAGCAAGCCCGGAGCCAGAACCGCCGCCGAGGAGGAATGCCCACCCAGCCCTCCCCTGTTTTGTTCTAGTGGAGGCGCGGTCGCAGTCCGCGCCTTTAGGGGGGGGTACTGTCACACCCTGGCTCTGGGACTCTATATGTTGAGCCAGGGTATGTTCATTCTATGTGTTGTATTTCTTTGTTGGCCTGAGTGACTCCCAATCAGAGGCAACGAGTGTCAGCTGTGGCTGGTTGTCTCTGATTGGGAGCCATATTTAAACTGTCGGTTTTCCCTTAGTGTTTGTGGGATCTTGTTCCAGTTGGTTGTGTTTAGACTTAGGACGTCACGGTATCGTTTGTTGTTTTGTTATTCGTGTGTGCACTTTAATTAAATAAAGTATGTTCGCTCAACACGCTGCGCCTTGGTCTACTCGATACGACGATCGTGACAGCTACCTGGCCTGCGCGCAAATGTAGGCATATAAAATGTGCCCATTTGGGGATCTGATAGTATTTCTGATTGGCGTACTAATGAGCTGTGGAGCTTCTCAAAATAATGTTTTCTTCACCTCAAACAGCAAGCAAACAAAGTTTGTTTTTACATCTGAAAAATCTTTCCAGCTCTCTCCCTATTCGATAACCACTCAGTGTGAAAGGGAAAAATTTCATGCTCTGATCCAGTGGAAACGTCATAAAATAGGCCTACCTGATTACTTCTTATCCCTTGCGCAAGTAGCCTATAGCTGTGTCTGTCCAGAGCTCACAGGCGCTGGAAACAATGTTGCAAGTTTGCTAGTGTGAGCTTCGGGCTGGAACCAGTTGATAGTTGATATAATGTTTCCTAGTTCCTTGCAGACAGGCCATGCATAGCCAATGTGATTTATAGGATATTTCTTTTTAAAATCTGGATATTTTCTACCTGCAGGCTGCAATGTTTTTATTTGTTGGCTTTATGTAGGCTATTTTTACATAGTTGGCAATGGCAACAGAAGTTACTTTTTAGGTTTGTATCATTTTAATTTAGATTGGATAGAATTTTGATTAACCACATGACAATGATTTTGAGATACGGAGACGTTATTATAAATTAAATGAAACTGTTCCACGAAAATGTGCATATGAAAACCATAACTGGCACGCAGATCGGTAGAAATTGTAAGATAAATTGGCATTCCACATGAGAAAGGTTGCCGACTCCTATGCACGCTCAAGTTTTCTGTTTTTTGGTCTTATTTCTTGTTTGTTTCACACAAAAAAAGATTTAGCATCTTCAAAGCGGTAGGCATGTTGTGTAAATCAAATGATACAAACCCCCAAAAATCCATTTTAATTCCAGGTTGTAAGGCAACAAAATAGGAAAAATGCCATGGGGGGAGAATACTTTCGCAAGCCACTGTATAAGGTCCCACAGTTGACAGTGCATGTCAGAGCAAAAATCAAGCCATGAGTTCAAAGGAATTTTCCGTAGAGCTCCAAGACAGGATTGTGTCGAGGCACATATCTGGGAAAGGTTACCAAAACATTTCTGTAGCATTGAAGGTCCCCAAGCATACAGTGGCCTCCATCATTCTTACATGGAAGAAGTTTGGAACCACCAAGACTCTTCCTAGAGCTGGCCGCCCGGCCAAACTGAGCAATCGGGGAGAAGGTCCTTGGTCAAGAAAGTGACCAAGAACCCGATGGTCACTCTGACAGAGCTCCAGAGTTCCTCTGTGGAGATGGAAGAACCTTCCAGAAGGACAACCATCTCTGCACACTCCACCAACCAGGCCTTTATGGTAGAATGGCCAGACGGAAGACTCTCCTTAGTAAAAGGCACATGACAGCCCGCTTGGAGTTTGCCAAAGGGCACCTAAAGGACTCTCAGATCATGAAAAACAAGATTCTCTGGTCTGATGAAACCAACATTTAACTCTTTGGCCTGAATGCCAAGAGTCACGTCTGGAGGAAACCAAGCTCTGCTCATCACCTGGCCAATATCATCCCTACGGTGAAGCATGGTGGTGGCAGCATCATGCTGTGGGGATGTTTTTCAGTGGCAGAGACTGGGAAACTAGTCAAAATCAAGGGAAAGATGAACGGAGCAAAGTACAGAGAGATCCTTGATGAAAACCTGCTCTAAAGCGCTCAGGACCTCAGACTGGGGCGAAGGACAAATACCCTAAGCACACAGCCAAGACAATGCAGGAGTGGCTTCGGCACAAGTCTCTGAATGTCCTTGAGTGGCTCAGCCAGAGCCCGGACTTGAACCTGATCAAACATCTCTGGAGAGACTTGAAAATAGCTGTGCAGCGACGCTCCCCATCCAACCTGACAGAGTTTGAGAGGATGTGCAGAGAAGAATTGGACAAACTCCCCAAATACAGGTGTGCCAAGCTTGTAGTGTCATACCCAAGAAGACTCTAGGCTGTAATCGCTGCCAAAGGTGCTTCAACAAAGTACTGAGTAAAGGGTCTGAATACTTACGTAAATGTGATATCAGTTTATTTATTATCTAAATTTGCAAACATTTATAAAACCTGTTTTTGCTTCGTCATTATGGGGTATTGTGTGTAGATTGATGAGAAAAAAACTACAATTTAATCCATATTAGAATAAGGCTGTAACGTAACAAAATGTGGAAAAAGTGAAGAGGTCTGAATATTTTCCGAATGCATTGTATGCATTGTGCTGCTGTATGGTGCTTTGAGCGTTAGACGTAAGGAGGAGATGCAGGAATGTGCAGGGGACGTGAGGAGGCTGCAAGGCAGGTAGGCCAGTCAGGGTGACCTCATGCGTTTGGCACAGGGACAGGCTATCAGGTTTCCCCAGTGCAGATTCCAGCTTGCGCTCCACAGAACATTTCCCAGGGCCCTCTCCTCCGGTCTGACTCTTTGGAAGTGTGTGTGCGTCTGTTTGTCTGGCTGTGTGTGTGTGTGTGTTTGTGAGTTTGCTTGTGAGTGTGCTTGTGAGTGTGCCTGTGCGTGCGTCGTGTGTGTGTAAGTGAATGCGTGCATGTCTGTGTCTGTGTGTGTGTGCGTGTAAGAGTCATTGTGTGTCACTCTGCTCAGTGAACTCAATGGGCTATGCAGTGCTCCCACCCTCTCTCACAACACATCACCGTTTCCCCCCTCCTGTCCAATGTAAGTCCTGCCAGTTTTAGTTTCTTCAAAAGTTGAGTGCGTATGTTTATGTGTATTAGCATGCTATGTATGTATGTATGTATGTATGTATGTATGCACTGTATGTATGCACTGTATGTGTGCGTCGCAAATGGTACCCTATTCCTTATTTAGTGCACTTCTTTTGACCAGGGCCCTGTTCATAAGTAGTGTACTATATAGTGTAGAGAACTGGGTGCCATTTGGATGCAAGCCATGTTTATGTATGATAATGGATTTGCATGATTTAAGTGTGCCACAGTTTTCATTATTATGTCAAAAGTGTGTCTGTGCATTTCTATCTGTACATACATAAAATCATGTTCTCTCACAAACTATTCGTGTGCATGTACTCCATTCGTTATCTTATATAAATCTCAATACGTTCTTATGTATGCATGTCTGAAGGCGCTGCATCGGGTCTGTGGTTTGGTGACCTTGGCTTACCCGCACTCACATGTCGGGGGCTGCTTCAGCGCTCTCGCTGCAAATGAGGTCTCCGGCATCGCTACGACAATGACACGACAACGCCAGTGATCCGCTAGATAACCCCCGTTAGACAGCCTTTAAAGGACCTCCCTCTTCCACCAATCACGGCAGTAATTGCCCAATATACCGGCATGGGCCTCCTCTACACATGTGGATGGAATAAACAGATGTGCAGCGCTAGTGCTACAGACAAGCCCTGGGACTGGAAGCGAAGGGAGTCCATGCCCCTACAAGGCAGGATAGAGGGCCTCCTGCTGCAGCTACCACTGGCTGTAAAACTGCGATCCATACCCAAACAGAACGGCAGATGATCTGCTCTCGAACGGAGAAGAAGAAGTACATAACTGGGGCATAAACATTTCAGAGAGGCTACAGTAACAGTCTAAACGATTAGAACTGTAGCTGCGTGGCTGGGGGAACGTTGCGTCACTGGAGTATTTATTCAACGTTGGAGGAGAGGCCATGTCAGCTTGGTGAATAATTGCAGGCCCAAAGTGCTGAGGACTGAATGGAGCAGACTGCAGCTCTATCCGAGCAAGGCTTTATCGACTGAATTCTAACGGTGAGGCAGTATCTCTGCCAGAGCATCCGCAGATACTAGGCAAGATGCCATTGTGGGTAATTGGCCAGTGCAGACCAAAGTTCAAGTTATCTGAGTTGGGAACTTTTTTGATCAGTCAGTTCTGGAAATGTCTGTGGCAGTGTGTCCTTGTAAGCCTGATATAATTCTCTATACAGAATAATTCTTCCCAATCTGCTTGCAAAAGCAGAACATATGGCAATTACACAAGCATACAGCTGCTGTTTTGGGGCTAGGCGATAAATAATGGATACCAGTCTTCCACAGGGTCCTCAAAAAAGCTAATGAGAGAGAAGGAATTAATAATCAAGTGTTTTCTTACCCAAGGACTCAAAATATAGGAAAAACAATTAGATTCTATTCACACTTCCACAGCAAGTATTCAAAAACTAACATTTGCATTTAGTAGGCTAGATTTTATTCACATCTCTAACTGATGCTGTCGTTGTAATGAATACTCAGGGAGAAAAAGGTGTAGATTCACACGCAGAGCGCGGCAGGTGTTTATTTCGCCTTCGCAAAAGGCAGGAATCGTGGTCACAGGCAGGCAATGGTCATACACAGGTAGGCAAACAGGCAGGAGTAACAAAACTAGGACTGAAGGCTAAAACTGATTCTCACAAACGAGCTAGGAAAAGTCAATACCTCACAAGGCACAAACAGAATGAACTGAACTAAATAAGGAGATAATGAGACCAGGTGAGTAACAAACACAGGTGAAATCAATGAACAAAAATGAAAGACAGGGCTACGTTCAAAAACACAAAGAAACAGAGCTACGTTCAAGAACACAAGGTTGACTAAGAAAATAAATACAGAACCTTACAGTACCCCCCTCCCAAGGGAGGCTCCTGACGTATTCGGCCCAGGCCATATACCGACTCCAGTCATGTGGAGAGGCAGAACATTGTTGGCGGAGGTACTTCCCTATTTATTGGTTCAGGCGTTCCGTCTGCCCGTTGGTCTGGGGATGGTACCCAGAGGAGAGGCTGAGGGCGAGCCCCAGTCAGTCACAGAAGGCTCGCCACACCCGGGAGACAAACTGGGGCCCGCAGTCAGAGACGATGTCCTCCGGAATCCCATACAGACGGAACACCTGTTGGAACATACACTCAGCCAATTCCATGGCGTTAGGTAAATGAGGAAGAGGAACCAGACAACACATTTTTTTTAAACGGTCTACTATGACAAGGATGGTGGTGTTACCAGAGGATTCAGGAAGGTCTGTGATGAAGTCAACAGCTATGTGGGACCAGGGTCTGTGAGGGATTGGCAAAGGTTGAAGCTTACCGGAAGGGAGATGACGAGGGCTTTTGGTTTGGGCACAGACTGGACAGGAGAGTACGTAATGCCATTGAGGACCACCAGAACTTTGGTGGTTTGTCTAATGCCCAGATGTCTTGACCCCAAGGACGTGTGAAACCATTGCATCAGTTGGGGTCTAACAGCTGCTGGTACGTAACTCTTCCCAGCTGGTGTCTCAGGAGGAGCCGGGTCTGAGGTTAGGGCTTCTTGTATAGCAGAAAATAGAAGCGTGTGAAGAAGAGAGCCCTGCGGGCTTGTCTGGAGTTTAACCTCTTGGCCCCTTTGATATATTCCAGATTACGATGATCTGTTAGGACGAGAAAGGGATGTTGTGCACCCTCCAACCAGTGGCGCCACTCCTCGAGGGCCAGCTTGATGACGAGGAGTTCTCTGTTCCCCACATCGTAATTTCTCTCAGCGGCTGATAACTTCCTGGAGAAGAAGGCACAAGGATGTGATTAGGGAGGTGTTCACACCCGCTGAGAGAGTAAGGCTCCTACTCCTACTTCGGAGACATCCACCTCCAGGGTGAAAGGAAGGGTCGGATCAGGTTGGCGAAGGACAGGAGCTGAGGTGAAGAGGTGTTTCAAGTTGTTGAAAGCAGTCAGGGCGGTATCAGTCCATTGAAGGGTCCGGGTCTTTTGGCTGGTAAGGGCAGTGAGGGAAGCGGCAGTAGAACTGAAGTTCAGAATGAACCGGCGATAGAAGTTGGAGAACCCAATGAAACGTTGGAGTTCCTTAACGGTGGTGGGTTTGGGCCAGTTACTGACGGCGGTGACTTTGTTCTCATCCATGCTGACCCCTCCAGGTGTCAGTACGAAACCAAGGAAGTTTACCGAGGTTACATGGAAAGTGCTCTTTTCAGTCTTCACATAAAGGTTATGGTCAAGAAGCCGTTGAATAACCTTTTGTCCATGCTGTATGTGTTCCTTCAGGGAGTGGGAGTAAAATCAGGATGTCATCAATGTAGACGATGAGAAAGCAGTTGATCATATCCTGGAAAACCTAGTTCATAAAGGATTGGAAGCCGGCGGGGGTGTTAGTAAGGCCGTAGGGCATGACCAGGTATTCGTAGTGCCCTCGTGCGGTGATAAAGGCCGTCTTCCATTCGTCGCCTTCATGTATACGGACAAGGTTATATGCACTTCGCAGGTCAAGTTTTGTATAGATGTTGGCGCGGCCCACTTGTTCAAGGGTCGCTGGGATCAGAGGAAGAGGGAAACGGTTATTGACCATGACATCATTCAGGGAACGGTAATCAATACATGGACGGAGACCACTGTCCTTTTTTCCAACGAAGAAGAAGCTGGATGCAGCCGGGGAAGAAGAAGGACGAATGAAACCGTTTGAGTGTTTCATCAATGTAGTTCTTCATTGCCACATTTTCCGGGATAGATATGGGGTAAACACGGCCCTTTGGTGGGGACACTCCAGGGAGTAAGTCAATAGCACAGTCCACTGTGTGATGTGGTGGCAGAGTGGAGGCCTTGATTTTGCTGAAGACATTGCTGTACTGGGCGTATTCAGATGGTATAGTGGGTGGCACTGCAGAGGCAGAGTCCTCAATAGTGATGGCTCTGCAGGGTAGGCGGAAACAACTGGTGAAGCAGGTAGAAGACCAGGACAGTAGTTCACCTTGTCGCCATGAGATGGCAGGGTCATGACGACAAAGCCAGGGTTGTCCAAGGATGAGTGGTTGTTTGGGGGATGAGAGTTCCATGAGTTGAATGGTTTCGGTATGGAAGACTCCAATCTGGAGGGTGACGCTCTGTGTCAGGTGCGTAATGAAGCCTGTGCCCAATGGCTGCCCTTCCAGGGCGTTAATTCTTAAGGGAGGGGTGACAGGTGTTAGATCAATGTCAAGCTCTTGTACTAGCTGGTGATCGATAAAATTACCTGCTGCTCTTGAATCTATCAAACCCTCTATGTACTTCGTAACCCCCGTCGCGGTTATCAACACTGGGATGGAGAATTGCTTCTGGGAGATATTTAGAAATAAGGACACGCCTACCTGCATGGCAGCGGAGGGACCCTTCTCATCTCTCCGTGGGGGGCGAACAGGGCAATGGCTGAGTAGATTATCTTTCCCTCCACAGTATAGGCAGAGCCCTTCTTGGATACGCCTTTGACGTTCGATACACGGGAGAGGAGCGTGGCCCAACTGCACAGGCTCTGGAAGACTCGGACGGGATGACAGAATCATGGAAAGAAAAGGTTTTGGGTTCCTGGGTGGCAGAATTCTTCGACGGTCGGCGATGAGGTGGTCGATGGAGATGGACATACGAATGTATTGATTTAAATCCTGAAGGTCACCTCTACAGGCCAGCTCCGCCTGAAGTTCCCTGTTGAGCCCTCTTCGGTAGATGGTAAGTAAAGCAGCCTCACTCCATCCACTCCCTGCAGCCATGGTGCGGAACTCGAGGGCATACTCGGCAGCTGAATTGCATCCTTGTTGAAGTTCTATGAGGAGGTCTCCTATAGGATGACCGGAAGGAGAGTGATCGAATACCTCTTTGAAGACGGTGTGGAAATGGTTCTCGGATCCGAGTTCTGTGCTGTTGGCAGTCCATATGGCGGTGGCACAACAAAATCCACCCTGCTCTTGTCGGTGGCGAAGTTAGTGGGGTTGTGCTCAATGTATTTGCTGCATTGCATCAGAAATCCCCGACATTTCCCAGGTGAACCGTCATACTTTCCAGGCATGGATATGAATGAAGGAGGGCTATGGGTTACGATACCTGGCATCGGAGGAGTAGGGATAGGCTGGCGGAGAAGATGGCAGATTTCTTCCATACACTTGTCTTGCTGGGTTAGGCACCGCTGTAGCTCCGCTGAATCCATTCCGTTTTGGTGAGGTATTCTGTAATGAATACTCAAGGAGAAAAAGGTGTAGATTCACGCGCAGAGCGCAGCAGGTGTTTATTTCGCCTTCGCAAAAGGCAGGAATCGTGGTCACAGGCCAATGGTCATACACAGGTAGGCAAACAGGCAGGAGAATCAAAAACTAGGACTGAAAGCTATAACTGGTTGTCACAAACGAGCTAGGAAAAGTCTTAGTAGAGTCAAAACAAACAATACCTCACAAGGCACAAACAGAAAGAACTGAATTAAATAAGGAGCTAATGAGACCAGGTGAGTAACAAACACAGGTGAAATCAATGAACAAAAATGAAAGACAGGGCTACGTTCAAAAACACAAAGAAACAGGGCCGCGTTCAAGAACACAAGGTTGGCTAAGAAAATAAATACAGAACCTTACAGTCGTGATGACATTTCATGCCGAATAAGGTTTGTTTCTCTCTCACAGACACGAGGCATTAAGCCGTTGATTCACGGTATGCGACTTCTCTATCCTTTTCTCTCCAGAACATGTGGGTGACCTTAATAATTTATGAAAGGAGTAGAAATGGGAAATACTGTACGCACCAGTGCAGATTGTGCAGGAGAAACTGGTGTTCTACATCAAAGCCTGATGTCACACTCTGGCTATGGACTCGTGTTGTTGTGCCAGGGTGTGTTTGTTTCGGTGTGTTTTCGTTTTCTATGTTGGGTAGTCTAGTTGTGCTTTTTCTATGTGTACCTGAGTGACTCCCAATCGGAGGTAACGAGTGTCAGCTGTTGGCTCGTTATCTCTGATTGGGAGCCATATTTAACTGTCGGTTTTCCTTTGTGTTTTGTGGGTTATTGGTTCTGTGTTGCTGTTAGTGTGTTTCAGTATTTTGAACTTCACGTATCGTCATTTGTTGTTTTCTTCGTGGTTGCTTTAATTAATAAAGTCATCATGTTCACTCGCAACGCTGCGCATTGGTCCAATCCTTCAGACGATCGTGACAGAATAACCCACCTTAACCAGACCAAGCAGCGTGTTCAGGAGCCATCGCTGGCAGATCGCCGTGGAAACCTCGACTGGATCAAGCAGCGGGACGAGGAGAGAGGATGGACGTGGCAGGAGATGATTGCGAGTCTGGCAAGAGGGAGAGAGGCCTGGGCCACGGGGAGGAGAGACCCCCAGGAAATCTTTAGGGGGGGGCTCACGACGTCGGGGCAGCAGGTGTACGGGTTAGAGTGGTGCAAAGCGTTGGCAGAGAGGGCCGCCAGGTTAGGGGGGCCACTGGGCACAGAGGAGAGGGAAAGTGTGGAGGCACGGCGAGAGGTACTGGGATGTGTTACCAGTCCGGTCCGGCCCGTTCCTGATCCCTGCGTGGAGCCAGTGGTGTGTGTCCCCAGTACGGTTCGGCCTGTTCCTGCCATTCCCACCAAGGCAGTGGTGTGCGTCGCCAGCCCAGCCCGACCTGTTCCTGCCACTCGCACCAAACCTACGGTGTGCGTCGCCAGCCCAGCCCGGCCTGTTCCTGCTCCACGTACGAAGCCTACGGTGTGCGTCGCCAGCCCAGCCCGGCCTGTTCCTGCTCCACGTACGAAGCCTACGGTGTGCGTCGCCAGCCCGGTCCGGCCTGTTCCTGCCACCCGCACCAAGTGTACGGTGCGCGTCGCCAGCCCGACCCGGCCTGTTCCGGCCACTCGCACCAAACCTACGGTGCGCGTCGCCAGCCCGGTCCGGCCTGTTCCGGCCACTCGCACCAAGCCAAGGGTGCGAGTCGTCAGCCTGGTCCAGCCCGTTCCTGCTACTCGCACCAAGCCAGGGGTACGAGTCGTCGGCCTGGTCCAGCCCGTTCCTGCTACTCGCACCAAGCCAAGGGTGCGAGTCGTCAGCCTGGTTCAGCTCGTCCCTGCTACTCGCACCAAGCCTAGGGTGCGAGCCGTCAGCCTGGTCCAGCCCGTTCCTGCTACTCGCACCAAGCCAAGGGTGCGAATCGTCAGCCTGGTTCAGCTCGTCCCTGCTACTCGCACCAAGTCTGTGGTGCGTTTCGTCAGCCCTGTCCGGCCCGGTCCCGCTCTCCGCACCAAGTCAAGGGTGCGCTTCGTCAGCCCGGTCCGGCCCGTTCCTGCTCCCCGCGCCAAGGCAGTGGTGCGCGTCGTCAGCCTGGTAAGGCCCGTTCGTCCTCCACGCACCAAGCCAGGGGCGCGTGTCGTCAGTCCGGCTCCGGCCAGCGGGGCTAGACAGGACCAGGGGTACTTTGGGGGGTTGGAGAGGAAATGGGGATCAAGCCCGGAGCCGGAGCCGCCGCCGAGGAGGAATGCCCACCCAACCCCCCCTTGTTTGCTCGTAGTTAGGCGCGGTCGCAGTCCGCGCCTTTAGGGGGGGGTACTGTCACACTCTGGCTATGGACTCGTGTTGTTGTGCCAGGGTGTGTTTGTTTCGGTGTGTTTTCGTTTTCTATGTTGGGTAGTCTAGTTGTGCTTTTTCTATGTGTACCTGAGTGACTCCCAATCGGAGGTAACGAGTGTCAGCTGTCGGCTCGTTATCTCTGATTGGGAGCCATATTTAACTGTCGGTTTTCCTTTGTGTTTTGTGGGTTATTGGTTCTGTGTTGCTGTTAGTGTGTTTCAGTATTTTGAACTTCACGTATCGTCATTTGTTGTTTTCTTCGTGGTTGCTTTAATTAATAAAGTCATCATGTTCACTCGCAACGCTGCGCATTGGTCCAATCCTTCAGACGATCGTGACACCTGAACCATGCAAGTCAGTCTCATGCAGTTGTCTGTTACAAAACTGAACCTTTACCCTGAGAATATGTGGCTGCCTGCGAAGCAGAGTGATTAACTATTAAAAAGTGCGAGAAGAGACATCTTGTATGGAGAACACACATCATAATGCCACTTTTTAATTCTGTTGCCAATGGCTGTTTATGTGCTACTAATTACTGGCGAAGAATAATAATCTTTCCTCCTATTCGACTCTATAATGCCGACGGCGTACTCTTACTCTCCATTCATCCTCCTGCTGCGTGACTACTTGGCTCTCCCTCTCCCTACACCGGTGTCATTGCAGTCTAATTCATGCCGCCTACCTGTCCCACTCTGTGTTTTTCCACACGCTGACTAATACTCCCAAGCCATAGCATTGGGGAGGGGTTAGGGCGTTCTGAAGGTCTGCCAAAATAATCCCTCAGACAAAACCCACAAAGGCGGCTTGAGTCATTTAACACGAATAGAGCCCAGAGAAAGGGCTGTTTGCATTTGGTTATCCCCAAGCTCGAAAAGGTTCATCTGCAACACCAAATTGGTGCATGTATCTCCGTTTGTATAGGAACTCATTGTGGTTTAGTTAGAGGGATCCGACACTACTTGCAGCTATTCAAGCCCTCATGCCTATTTGCTTATCCTCATTCACAGCAGAATTAGCTTTTACCTGAGCCATTTGTCAAGCTAGGTGTGACATGGTATTTTCATTGAGTCTGCCATTGCTAGTGCAGCTCTGTAGGGTAAATGTTAGGGGCTATACATGTTTGAGAGGCCAGGCTGGGCCTCCCTGGTAAGGCTTCACCACCATTTGCATGTCTGTGACACGAACCTCACGCCATTTCCATGTCTGCAGATCTGATTAGAGACGCTAGGTCATTGGTTTGTGTGGCTGGAATGGAAATAAAATGCAAATTCCACAGAGTGAGATGTGCACCGCCAAAGGATTTGTACTGTCAAACTATGATGTCATTATTAGGGGGAGGAAATCACATCATGAAAAATGAGACCGTTAGTAGAAACTCTCGGCTGGTAATTTTCCCAGAGTCTTACTCCAACATGCAAATCCTGGTACGTTTCCCAGCGTGTAAATCCAAAAAGGTTTTCCACTTGAACAATATTGTAACTTGAAGTGAGACTCCCATTTTTTGGGGGGGAGGGGGGGTAGATCAGCTTTAATATTGCAGATAGATTTTAACTTCCATCAATGTAATTGTCTGCATCACTTCTAATCCCTCATATGTTTTTTTTTCTTCTCACACATATATATATATATATATATATAGTGAGGGAAAAAAGTATTTGATCCCCTGCTGATTTTGTACGTTTGCCCACTGACAAAGACATGATCAGTCTATAATTTTAATGATAGGTTTATTTGAACAGTGAGAGACAGAATAACAACAAAAAAATCCAGAAAAACGCATGTCAAAAATGTTATAAATTGATTTAATTTTAATGAGGGAAATAAGTATTTGACCCCCTCTCAATCAGAAAGATTTCTGGCTCCCAGGTGTCTTTTATACAGATAACGAGCTGAGATTAGGAGCACACTCTTAAAGGGAGTGCTCCTAATCTCAGTTTGTTACCTGTATAAAAGACATCTGTCCACAGAAGCAATCAATCAATCAGATTCCAAACTCTCCACCATGGCCAAGACCAAAGATTGTAGACCTACACAAGGCTGGAATGGGCTACAAGACCATCGCCAAGCAACTTGGTGACAAGGTGACAACAGTTGGTGCGATTATTCGCTAATGGAAGAAACACAAAAGAACTGTCAATCTCCCTCGGCCTGGGGCTCCATGCAAGATCTGACCTCGTGGAGTTGTAATGATCATAAGAACGGTGAGGAATCAGCCCAGAACTACACGGGAGGATCTTGTCAATGGTCTCAAGGCAGCTGGGACCATAGTCACCAAGAAAACAATTGGTAACACACTACGCCGTGAAGGACTGAAATCCTGCAGCGCCCGCAAGGTCCCCCTGCTCAAGAAAGCACATATACAGGCCCGTCTGAAGTTTGCCAATGAACATCTGAATGATTCAGAGGAGAATTGGGTGAAAGTGTTGTGGTCAGATGAGACCAAAATCGAGCTCTTTGCCATCAACTCAACTCTCCGTGTTTGGAGGAGGAGGAATGCTGCCTATGACATCAAGAACACCATCCCCACCGTCAAACATGGAGGTGGAAACATTATGCTTTGGGGGTGTTTTTCTGCTAAGGGGACAGGACAACTTCACCGCATCAAAGGGACGATGGACAGGGCCATGTACCGTCAAATCTTGGGTGAGAACCTCCTTCCCTCAACCAGGGCATTGAAAATGGGTTGTGGATGGGTATTCCAGCATGACAATAACCCAGAACACACGGCCAAGGCAACAAAGGAGAGGCTCAAGAAGAAGCACATTAAGGTCCTGGAGTGGCCTAGCCAGTCTCCAGACCTTAATCCCATAGAAAATCTGTGGAGGGAGCTGAAGGTTCGAGTTGCCAAACGTCAGCCTCTAAACCTTAATGACTTGGAGAAGATCTGCAAAGAGGAGTGGGACAAAATCCCTCCTGAGATGTGTGCAAACCTGGTGGCTAACTACAAGAAACGTCTGACCTCTGTCATTGCCAACAAGGGTTTTGCCACCAAGTACTAAGTCATGTTTTGCAGAGGGGTCAAATACTTATTTCCCTCATTAAAATGGAAATCAATTCATAACATTTTTGACATGCGTTTTTCTGGATTTTTCTGTTGTTATTCTGTCTCTCACTGTTCAAATAAACCTACCATTAAAATTATAGACTGATGTCTTTGTCAGTGGGCAAACGTACAAAATCAGCAGGGGATCAAATACTTTTTTCCCTCACTGTGTATATAGATATATATATATATATATATATCCCTCCAGAGGGTGGTCCTCTGTAGCTCAATTGGTAGAGCATGGCGCTTGTAACGCCAGGGTAGTGGGTTCCATCCCTGGGACCACCCATACGTAAACATGTATGCGCACATGACTGTAAGTCTGCTAAATGGCATATTATTATTATTATTATTATTTATATATATATATATATATATATATATATATATATATATATATACACACACATACATATATACATATAAATACATATATACATATAAATATATATATATATATATATATCCTTTAAAAAAAAAAATCCCTTTATTACTTTCCAACCCCACCACCCCTTCCCTAATTGGAGTAAACTAGTGATCAACAACGCTTAGGCCTCTACTTCCAGCTTTTATATTTTATGGACAGAGTCAATTTTACAATAATTCTATTTAGTTTGTTTTTACTTCCTCTACCCTCAACCTCTCCGATCATTTTCATGATGTCCATCCGTTTTGCTCCTATATGCCATATCTTTTTAACTGTGCTCTTTCACAAAAGCTCTCAACCTATATACTTATTATGGACACAGTATGCTTTACATTAGTTATCTTGTTATTAGTTGTTGTTAGTTGTTATTAGTCCCATCTCCCATTTTTAACAATTTCCAGAAACTCTGTTCCCGTTATTTTCTGCAGGCTGTTTTGTCCTAAAACAGAGTCTCATTTTGAGTGGGGAGCTCTGCTCTCTGTTTCGATGTCATTAGGCTTTCTGTGTTTATCATAACATAGACGGCTGGTATGGCTCAAACCACAGCCTAGAATATAACCCTATAATAAGCTGAAACCACGCGGAGTGCTGGGACAGCCATGCCATGTCCCTGAGAGGATGGCTAGTCTAGGCAGATGATTATCTCTCATTGCGTATGAACATAGAGACAAGCCACTCACTCTCACAGACTCCCGGACAGCCACATGCGAACGAACAGCCTTTCTCTAGTACGCAAAATGCAGGGGATCCATCAGCTTCTTCAAACGAAGCCCCTTCGTTAGAAATGCAGGAGCAATTACCCTGGCTAGCTCTGAGTGAGTGAACACCGCGCCACGCCAACACTCTGGGAACCATACCGCACTTTCCGTCCTGAAGCCGGCTGCCAGTGCAGAGGCAGACCAGACACAGCAGACAGAAAGCCGGGTCTACAGTTACAGTAGAACAACACACCCTTTCACTAACATCCTGTCAGTCTTTTCCAGAAGTAACTAAGACCCTCAACCCCATAGCTGCTGCCTAACCTCGCTCAGAGAGGCAAGTGCATGCTAACAGAGAGCGCCACTCACAGCAGGCTTTCTCAATAAACATTCTGCCTGCTCTGTCCTGTCTTTCCAGAATGGGGCGAAGTGAGATGGTATCTTGTACCCTCGGAATTGCAGTTACGCAGTTCAGAATACAAGGCTCTTGGTTTGCCTGCCCTGCAGCTAGTCCTATTCATGTCCTACTTCTCTGATATTAATATCCGTAAGTGAATGTAAAAATGGGCATTTACAGGAGGTGCCTCTACCGCCACACCTGCCATCCTGCACTGTAGTCAGCGGGGGCTCCAGGACAGAGGGAGTTAGACAGAAAAAGAGGGTGGAGAGATGGAGAAAGAAATGGGAGTGAACTTGAAAGGCAAAAAAAGAGAGGGAGGTACAGCAACAAAAGCCATGTGTATGAGCCACAGCATCAAATACAAAAAATTGAGCGTGCACTTGCAGAAAAGCAAGACCGGGAAACAAAGGAATCCGCAGTAGGGCTCCACTGGGCATCCCTGAGCCCACTCCACTCCACTGTAGTGCTGCAGGACTCTGCTATACTCCAGCCCCTGGCCCCCATGCAGAAGCAGCAGCAGCCTAGCTTCCTTCTGTAGTGCAGAGCAGAGCTGCCTGTGAATCCAGATGGCTGGGGACAGAGAACACAGTGACGAGGGCTCCCTGAGGTCACACTGACACCACCGCCAGCAGCACTCACTCATAGCCATTCACTCACAGACTCATAACCAGGGAGCATCTGTGGTCATAAGCCATTCAGGGTATGCAGGTTACACTATGCCTACATTCATTGTGCTACAGTTACATTTGATAGTAAATCCCAGTCCCTAAATCCCATCTGATCGTTATAGCTCTGCGGGTTGAACTAGAGAAGACCGGAACAGCGGAAATGGAAGATTCCATCAAATTTTCCCTGTTTCTTTAATTCTCGTCGATAGAATTAATATTGAACGTTGAAAGGCAGAACACACTCTCACAAAGCAGCCGTAATGAGATGTGGACCTGAGTGTGTAAGGGGCAGGGGCCTAATTTATAAATGTTGAGTACATTTCAAACAAAATATAGAGATTTATAAACTTGGGACACGCCATACGCATGTTTCTCATAATAAATCAGACCTGAAGTAAAACTGTGGCGAGTGAACAAGCATTATAACTCCGCCTGAATAACGCCCATCATTCACCTTTTATGGTGACAATAACACCCTTATTTGCTGTATACTTTGGAAGTATTGGAATTAGGCCAAGACAGTAGGCTATCTAAAGGAAATAGCAACTGCGAACTTGATCAAATGTCTTTGGAGGTGTTGGCAGAATGTTTTCTTGTGGCTTGCTGTATCTGACCGTTTCTGAAAGACAAAAACAATTGCAAATTGCTGTTGACCTGTAAACAGATCGTTTGAATTCAATAATGTTTTGCATGTACTTTTTCCTGAACCTAAATATGCTGCACTGCCCACGAATTCTGTAACATTGTCTACTCTGAGTAAAATGTAAAGTAAAGTAGGCCTACTTACAATGCAAAAGATGAACTGTCTGTTTATCTGTTCAATTCTACTGTATGTTATAAACTGTGCATAGCGCATAGAGCAAAACCTTGAAATTATAATAGCGTATCTAATAGGCCCAATTAAACGAGAGTTGTGCATGGTTGTTGTATGGCCAGAAAAGGTAAAGAATTTATTCTGCAACGATTATGATATATGTATTATATTTATGAATTAAATATTGTCTATTCGAGAAATGTGACATTACAGTATTCAGACATAGCCTACAAAACGTCAATGGAAAAGGTGAACCGTCTCTGTTCTACCGTTAAACTATGAGCGTCGGATCGGATCTCATAGAGCAAAATACTTGAAATAGCTTATCTGTGAAGTGGGTCCAATTAAATGAGAGATGGGACCAATGGTAGCCTATCCTAACTTAATTGTTGTAGGCCTATAGTCTATTTCGGGCTATCACAGTCAGACAAGGTGAGGAATTTATTTTCTGCAATGATCATGTAAATGAAATAGCCTAAATAATAGGAAATATTCCTATTTCTAATTATTTTAGAATGCAAAGATAAAATAAATAGATTTTCGCTCTTCTCACTAATGGCAAATGATTGCATCTTGTTATTATATTTAGGTAGGCTACCAGTGTTTTGTTGTGAATAAGAGTATCATCATACATTCCCCATTTGCACATGGCTACTAAGCTACTTTTGCCATCTTGAAATGCAATACTTCAACCACTAGAAACTGTGCGTACGTATGGTGTAAGGTTTGCGGGTGGATAAACACATTCTCATGTCAAGTTAAGTTTGATAAATGCCAACTTTTGCATGAAAACTGGCGCATACATGTTTTGGGTCATATTTTGTGCATACGCAACGTTTATAAATGAGGCCCCAGGCCTCTGTAGCTCACTCAGTGCTTATGAGGAGGCAGTGGCGGCGGCACCGGGTACAGCGTAAAGTAATGTATGTGTGTAGATAGGGGCCGAGTTGTCAGTTGATAAATGAGAAGGAGGCCAGAGTGCCCCAGCGCTGTGTTATGTACAGCACACAGGTAGACAAATGAAGCCATCCACTCCACTGAGTGACAGCTACACGTAGAGGGATTGTATGGCGAGATAACAGGCGTAGGTAGATAAAAACCCGAGGTGTGGGCGTGGGTTGATTAATGATCAAAAAGCCACTGGATTGTGGTGGTGATCCGGGGGAGGGAAAACAAGGTAGAAAGGGAGCTAGCTGAGAAGCTGCTGCCAACCTTTACAGTATACTGACTAAATGAGCTTAATGCAAGGATTTCAACAGCACTGCCTCTGCATGTGGTTTCGTTCAATCACTCTTGAAGCATGTATTAGCAATTGTGTCTAGAAATGACTCATTGTGTTCTATGATGCTGTCTGTGTTATATGAATACGTTGAGTCACATGAATAATACGCCTTTAGCTCGAGAACAGTAAATATAATATCAAATAAAATCCAGTGGTGTAAAGTACTTAAGTAGTTTTTTGGGGTATCTGTACTTTACTTTACTATTTATGTTTTTGACTACTTTTACTTTTACTTCACTACATTCCTAAAGAAAATAATGTACTTTTTACTCCATACATTTTCCCTGACACCCAAAGTACTTGTTACAATTTGAATGCTTAGCAGGACTGGAAAATGGTCCAATGCACGCACTTATCAAGAGAACATCCCTGGTCATCCCTACTGCTTCTGATCTGGCGGACTCACTAAGCACAAATGCTTTGTTTGTAAATGATGTCTGAGTGTTGGAGTGTGCCCTTGGCTATCCGTACATTTTAAAATGGTGCCGTCTGGTTTGTTTAATATAAGGGATTTGAAATTATTTATACTTTTACTTTTGATACTTAAGTATATTTTAGCAATTACATTTACTTTTGGTCCTTAAGTATATTTAAAACCAAATACTTTTTTTACTTTTACTCAAGTAGTATTTTACTGGGTGTCTTTCACGAGTCATGTTATATTAAGGTATCTTTACTTTTACTCAAGTATGACAATTGGGTACTTTTTCCACCACTGATCAAATCAAACTTTATTTGTCGCATGTGCCGAATACAACAGGTGTAGACCTTACAGTGAAATGCTTACAAGCCCTTAACCAACAATGCCATTTTAAGAAAAATAAGTGTCAAGTAAACAATAGATAAGTAAAAAATAAAAGCAGTAAAATAACAGTACAAAGAACAGTAGCGAGCCTATATACAGGGAGTACCAGTACAGAGTCAATGTGCGGGGGAACCGGTTAGTCGAGGTAATTGAGGTAGTATGTACATGTAGGTATAGTGACTATGCATAGATAATAAACAGAGAGTAGCAGCAGCGTAAAAGAGGGGGTGGGGGGTGGGGAGACAATGCAAACAGTCCGGGTAGCCATTTAATTAGCTGTTCAGGAGTCTTATGGCTTGGGGGTAGAAGCTGTTAAGAAGCCTTTTGGACCTAGACTTGGCGCTCCGGTACCGCTTGCCATACAGTAGCAGAGAGAACAGTCTATGACTAGGGTGGCTGGAGTCTTTGACAATTTTTAGGTCCTTCCTCTGACACCGCCTGGTATAGAGGTCCTGGATGGCAGGAAGCTCCAGTGATGTACTGGGCTGTACGCACTACCCTCTGTAGTGCCTTGCGGTCGGAGGCTGAGCAGTTGCCATACCAGGCAGTGATGCAACCAATCAGGATGCTCTTGATGGTGCAGCTGTAAAACTTTTGGAGGATCTGATACATGCCAAGTCTCCTGAGGGGGAATAGGCTTTGTCTTGCCCTCTTCACGACTGTCTTGGTGTGTTTGGACCATGATAGTTTGTTGTTGATGTGGACACCAAGGAACTTGAAGCTCTCAACCTGCTCCACTACAGCCCTGTCGATGAGAATGGGTGCATGCTCTGTCCTTCTTTTCCTGTAGTCCACAATCATCTCCTTTGTCTTGATCACGTTGAGGGACAGGTTGTTATCCTGGCACCATACGGTCAGGTCTCTGACCTCCTCCCTATAGGCTGTCTCATCGTTGTTGGTGATCAGGCCTACCACTGTTGTGTTGTCGGCAAACGTAATGATGGTGTTGGAGTCGTGCCTGGCCATGCAGTCATGGGTGAACAGGGAGTACAGGAGGGGACTGAGCAAGCACCCCTGAGGGGCCCCCGTGTTGTGGATCAGCGTGGCAGATGTGATGATGAGCTTTGAGGGCACTATGGTGTTGAACGCTGAGCTGTATTCAATGAATAGCATTCTCACGTACGTGTTCCTTTTGTTCAGGTGGGAAAGGGCAGTGTGGAGTGCAATAGAGATTGCATCATCTGTGGATCTGTTGGGGCGGTATGCAAATTGGAGTGGGTCTAGGGTTTCTGGGATAATGGTGTTGATGTGAGCCATGCCTTTCAAAGCACTTCATGGCTACAGACGTGAGTGCTACGGGTCTGTAGTCATTTAGGCAGGTTACCTTAGTGTTCTTGGGCACAGGGACTATGGTTGTCTGCTTGAAACATGTTGGTATTACAGACTCAGTCAGGGACAGGTTGAAAATGTCAGTGAAGACACTTGCCAGTTGGTCAGCGCATGCTCGGAGTACACATCCTGATAATCCGTCTGAATGTTGACCTGTTTAAAGGTCTTACTCACATCGGCTACGGAGAGCGTGATCACACAGTCATCCGGAACAGCTGATGCTCTCATACATGCTTCAGTGTTGCTTGCCTCGAAGCGAGCATAGATTTAGTTTTGTCTGGTAGGCTCGTGTCACTGGGCAGCTCGCAGCTGTGCTTCCCTTTGTAGTCTGTAATAGTTTGCATGCCCTGCCACATCCGACGAGCGTCAGAGCCGGTGTAGCACGATTCAATCTTAGTCCTGTATTGATGCTTTGCGTATTTGATGGTTCGTTGGAGGGATTTCTTATAAGCGTCCGGGTTAGAGTCCCGCTCCTTAAAAGCGACAGCTCTACCCTTTAGCTCAGTGCGGATGTTGCCTGTAATCCATGGCTTCTGGTTGGGGTATGTACGTACGTTCACTGTGGGGACGACATCATCGATGCACTTATTGATGAAGCCAGTGACTGATGTGGTGTACTCCTCAATGCCATCAGAAGAATCCCGGAACATATTCCAGTCTGTGCTAGTAAAACAGTCCTGTAGCTTAGCATCTGCTTCATCTGACCACTTCTTTATTGACCGAGTCACTGGTGCTTCCTGCTTTAGTTTTTGCTTGTAAGCAGGAATCAGGAGGATAGAGTTATGGTCAGATTTGCCAAATGGAGGGCGAGGGAGAGCTTTGTATGCGTCTCTGTGTGTGGAGTAAAGGTGGTCTAGAGTTTTTTTTTCTCCTCTGGTTGCACATTTAACATGCTGGTAGAAATGAGGTAAAATGGATGTAAGTTTCCCTGCATTAAACTCCCCGGCCACTAGGAGCGCTGCCTCTGGATGAGTGTTTTCCTGTTTGCTTATGGCCTTATACAGCTCATTGAGTGTGTTCTTAGTGCCAGCATCGGGTTGTGGTGGTAAATAGACAGCTACGAAAAATATAGATGAAAACTCTCTTGGTAAATAGTGTGGTCTACAGCTTATCATGAGATACTCTACCTCAGGCGAGCAAAACCTTAAGACTTCCTTAATATTAGATTTCGTGCACCAGCTGTTGTTTACAAATATACACAGACTGCCACCCCTTGTCTTACCGGAGGCCGCTGTTCTATCTTGCCGATGCAGCGTAAACCCCGCCAGCTGTATGTTATCCTTGTTGTCGTTCAGCCACGACTCGGTGAAACATAAGATATTGCAGTTTTTAATATCCTGTTGGTAGGATATTCGTGATCGTAGCTTGTCAATTTTGTTATCCAATGATTGTACGTTGGCTAATAGGACTGATGGAAGAGGCAGATTACCCACTTGCCGTCGGATCCTTACAAGGCACCCGATATCTCCGTCTCTTTCTCCTGCGAATGACAGGGATTTGGGCCTTGTCGGGTGTCTGAAGTAAGTCCTTTGCGTCCGACTTGTTGAAGAAAAATCTTCGTCCAGTATGAGGTGAGTAATCGCTGTCCTGATATCGTAAGAGACGGTGGCAGAAACATTGTGTACAAAATAAGTTACAAATAACGCGAAAAAACACACATAATAGCACAATTGGTTAGGATCCCATAAAACGGCAGCCATCTGAAAGAATCCTCTTCTAGCTGGAGCGCTTTGTGCTGCCCTCATAGAGATTTGCATCAGCAGATGACTAGCTATGTTTCTAGCCTAGTTTAACTGCATGTCCACCATTAAAACCCAATATAACAAAAAAATATATAACTTGTGCTTTGCTCTGCCTTTGATTAGGCTACACTGAAAGGTTACAACCAGAATGGGGATATAGCGGTGGCCAGCCAGCGGCTGTTAGCCAGGCTTGAAAGCAGCAGGATTTAGATGGGTCCGTTGTTATTTCTGCAGCACAATGGCTCACCCCGTGTAATGTAACCAAACCCTTTTCCTTGCTTTTCACCCACCCCTCCCTCCCACCAGCCCCCATCTCCTACCCCCACTCTCCCGCTTTAAGGAATTAGAGAAAGTATAAATGGATCCCAAGGTTCCAGGCAGAAACAGGCATAAAGCCACTCAATGGGCTCCATTGACTGGTGTTTACTTAAGACCCAGGATATTAGCCTTTGTTAAATCTATCTCTGTGTCTGCCCCTCAGCTTCTCTCTGTATGCTCTACTAGTGTGACTGTGACACAGACGGTGTGTGTGTGTCTGCCTGATTTCTTGATAGGAAGGGTATAATGACTAGGACTATGAGTGGTGACATTGTAGTACAGTGGACTCCGGTGACTACTGTAGGCTGTACTGTAGAAGATGAGTTCCTCTGCATAAGCGAGGCAATTCATTGAAAAGGGGATGCATTCAAAAGGGGCAAAAAAATATACATGCAAAGAAATCTATTGTGACATAAACTTGATCTTCCGCAACTTGTACTTTGGAAATTCTGTAGTCGTAAACCAAAATAGCTGTCAATTCAAGTTTATAAGGATAATCATGACATGCCAAGGCATACATAATGTTGCCAACAGACATAGTGTTTGGATGAAATGCACACATTCCCCATAATAACTATAATTAAATTACATAATTGATATGTGAGGCGTAATTGTTTACTGTTATTTCCTCATTTGTAAAACATATATAATTCACTTATGATTAAAATCAAACAAATACTCAAATCAAATATAGAATACTAGTGAAATCCTAGTCACCATGTTCAATAAAGTATCATATCTGAGAGATTCAGCGTTGGTTACGTTCGTTCGTTCACGGAGCAGCATGGGTATAGAAACAGGTCTTTAAATTATTATTTATCAAAGCACTGACCTGCAGGCTCCCTTCACCTTCGTACCTTATAAAACAAGCCATAAAAATGCTCTTTCAGGAATCAATAATTCTGTTCAAGAGAAGCACATGCTACGCTCCACTGCAGTAATCAATAGAGGGCCAAATGCTATTGTTTCATCTCATTTCTGAGTTTTACATGCCAATCCTCGCCGTCGACTGGCATGTGCTCGTCGAACGGCGGCGGGTCCAGCGAATTATATGTGGCTATATGAGACATTTGAAATTGAAAACGCCTTTGACAATGAAATTCTTTCATACCAAGAAGACTTTCATACCAAGAAAACTCATAATATACTTTTTCATCCTAATAGAACCCAGATGTTCTGTAGATTATACATACAGTGAGGGAAAAAAGTATTTGATCCCCTGCTGATTTTGTACGCTTGCCCACTGACAAAGAAATGATCAGTCTATAATTTTAATGGTAGGTTGCCAAGGCCCTCTCTGGGACCCTGCCAAGGCCCTCTCCTATAATCTACTGATCAATGATCATTAATTGTAGCGTCGGAGGGTTCTCTCTGCACTCTCAGTCACAGAGAGAACACTCTGCTCTCACATCACTGGCCCTGGTCAGAGGCCCATACATACATATGCCATACATACCAGTTATTGGCACAAACTAGAGTAACTAGCCGGGAAAATAAAACCATTTCTCAACGACTTTAAAAGGGTGAAATGCATTGCTGTTGGGCATGTTCACCGTCGTTGGTCAGACGAGTTTGCATGACATGGATATCGCACTCAAGGATACATCAATCGCTGATGGAGGCTAGATCCGATCTGCGCTGACCTTGAGTGGGAGTCGACGATAAAGAGAGGGGGGGGGGGGGGGGGGGGGGGATATGCCTGTTGCAGTGGAGTGGGGAGGGAGGGCGGAAGGAAAGGAGGGATGAGGGGCACCCCTGATTGAGAGACCTGAGATGAGCTCCTCTGAGATATGACAGAGAAAAATAGGGAGGGAGAGGCAGAGGAAAGAGGGATAGAGAGGGGAGGGGGCAGAGTGAGAGGGAGAGGGAAGCCATATGGCAGCAGCACAAATGTATTGAACTATAAATCAGAAGAGAGACCAATGGGCTACCAGGTGGGGCCGCCGATATTCTTCTCTAGGATTCTCCAGCTAGCTACCTCAGCAGCTCTTTACAATAGGAAGGGAAGATGACAAAAGACGTTCCATGGCTTTATCTGCATTAGTTTATCCTTTTGATGACGGAGGACTTTAAGTCTGCCCGACTGTCTTGCCATCTGCCACCAACCAGAGGCCAGGTTTTCACGCCAGAGGTAGTGATGCGTACAACGGCTAGAGCAAATATAGGCAGCCCTGGCGGATGCCTGTTTACTTTCAGCCTGTGGCTGGTCACCATGTCGGTTATAAGGATGAAGGCATGGCTGAGCCAGGATAGGAGATACGGCTTTTACTGTGTTACTAATGGTAGCAGAGATGGGTGGGTAGTCATCTCATTGGTTGATTTATTGAATGTATTAGACAATTAAAAGTATTAGGCTGCTCCAGGCGTAGACAACATTACATACATAAACAATTATTGAGGATAGAAACACAATAAAGCCTGGAGGCTTATTTCCATTGTGGTTCTCATTGTGTTTCTGACTCATGCCACGCCACCCTCATTTGATATTTCACCCAATATTCATTCTCCGTTTCTTAATATAGCAGACTAAGAAACATGACAAAGCCAGTGCGATTAACAGTTTGCCAACCTAACAATCGCAACATAGGAGTAACCCATCACACTACAATCCAGTTAGCCTTAATTAATCAATCTTCCGGACAGCTCCACTGGCCGTACCGAGACTGGACAAACAAGCGTTGATGCCTCACCAAGTGACAGACATGAAAACCCCAGAAAGCCACTTGCCATCTGAAACCATCACGGCTAAGGCCAGCCATCCTTCACACCCCATCCCCACTCAGCGGCTTGACAGGAGGAGCAAAGGAGGGGTAGGAGGAGAGGAGGAGGATGGAGGAGGGGGTTGGGGTAGGGGTGTGGGACGGTGGGGGTGAGGTTAAAGGTACTGAAGTGATGAGCCATGGGTGTCCTACCTTGGTCTGGAGATAGTGGGGGTAGTAGTATGTGTACTGAGGGTACATTGGTTGCTGTTCCAATCGCTTGCCCATGTAGCTGGAATCCTTAGCGCCGTGGCAAGGAATGGAGACGGCGGACGAGCGTTAATAGTACTGGGGCTTGGCTCTCTGACTGTAGGTCCCTTATTTTTCCCGTCCACACTGGTGTGTTGTATTACTGCTGGTCCTCCGGAGAGCAGGCAGGATTCGTCTGATGGAGAGTGGCTGGGAGAGGGGTTGCCTCTGTGAGGATAGTTCCTGCCCGACAACGCCTTTTAGTTAAATCTCCTGGAGAAGAGCTCGGCAGATGCTCATTCAGTCTCTCAAAAATATTCCCCACAAGTCTTAAAAACGGACGCTGCTGCGTGTCCTGTCTGCGTGTCCTGTCTGTCCCTCACTGGCTGGTGTCGGATAGTAACGCGTGAGAAGAGCGGTAGAGGAGGAAGAGGAGGAGGAAGATGAGCAGGTGGCAGTGGCTTTAGGCAGTCCTGCGAACAAATTGCTGGCACAGGAGAGTGTAGTAGAGGAGAAAAGGAAAGACAAGGAAAAGGGGGGAGGATAGATAGATCACTTTTCTATTTAAGCTGTCTTTCTATAGCTTACCTCGCTCCTCGGCTTCAATCTCTCTCTCTGTATCTGCCTCTCTGTCGCTCACTCGGCTGCTCTCTCTCTCTTTCTTTCTCTCCTCTATAGTCTGATATCCCAGCTGCTCTATGTTGTACTGTCAGACACAGGATATATCCTCAGCAGCGCACTAACAGATGGACTTTGGGAAGAGTCCGAATCGGAACGCGAGAGACAGGCAGGAACAAACCAAAGAAGCAATCGCAGTGTATAATGGTTCAGCCAGAGCAGAGCAGATTACACAGAAACAATCCCAGTTCCTAATTGATACGGCACAGAGAAAAAAAGGAATCTTGACCGGTCCGCTGGTTCAGAGAAGGAGAGAAAAAAAATACTATAATGAGAAGCACAATGACCGTGTCCCAGGTGCCCAACAGACAGACAAGCCAGAGAATCTCCCGTCTGCGATCCTGCCTTTTCCTGCTCTTGTAAAATATTCTCTCTCTCTCTCTCTCTCTCTCTCTCTGTCTCTCTCTCTCTCTCTTTCTCTCTCTCTCTCTCTCTCTCTCTCTCTCTCTCTCTCTCTCTCAGGGGGCTCGTCCTGCACTGTGAGCAGGCTGCCTCCTCCTTCCACAGCCGGTAGGAGGGACTTGAGTTGGCTCCGTGTGAGGGAGCGATCCAGACGTAGATCAGGGCGCTGCAGTATTTCCACAGCCAGAGAAAGGAGCGGGGAGAGGGGGACGGCAGGCAGTATCGTGAGGAGTCTATTCCCCCTACTGGCTGCCAAAGGACCTAACGCCTGGTTTAACCTCTCCTTCATAAATGAGGGATGATTTTACTTCTGAACAAATCGGTAACCTTGAATATTACTCCATACTTTTATAAAACTATAAAACAACGATAGGTTTTGCTTATGTGTTCATTGGTAAAGTCTGAAAAGGTATGTTTCAAGCATTCACCTTTCTCTTGGAAGTAAATGACACTGTCAGTAGCGACATTATATCAATATCATGTCTAATTTATACCCTCCATATTGTTGTGATGATACATCAAACAAATCATATTTGTGCAAATGTATTGTGCTTGTTTTTCTGTGTAACCATGACAGACCAGCACTTAAAAACATATTCAAATGCAAACGTAATTTACAATCCTTTCTAAATGATCACTCAGGGTGCTATGCTTCCACATAGGAAGCAATGTTGGGGGCGGCAGGTAGCCTAGCGGTAAGAGCGTTGGGCTAGTAACTGAATGGCCGCTGATTCGATACCCCGAGCTGACTAGGTGAACAAATCTGTCAATGTGCCCTTGAGCAAGGCACTTAACCCTAATTGCTCCTGTAAGTTGCTCTGGATAAGTGTCTGCTAAATGACTAAAGTGTCAAAAATGTAAATGTTTCCCAACATAAAACATTCTACCTGACCAATGAAGCTCCTCTTGCTATGGAATGACAACATTGAGAACACTTTCCACCCACATCAGATGTGGGGAGTATGTGGCCGTTCAGAGATCATAGTGAACACCAAGCGTTGGGTAAAGAGTGCTTGAGGGAAAATCACTCTCTATATATACTACCAGCTACAAACTGACACTGTTTGATGCTATAATATCTAATACATGCCATTTAGTAGACTATTTTATCCAAAGCGATTTACAGGCATTTACAAGGGGTGGTCCAGGGAATCAAACCCATTATCCTGGTGTTACAAAGGTCAGGCTCTACCCACTGCAGAGGACTATAGCATGACAGTGGAGTCCAATGGACAGTAGGAGGATGGTAAGGCAGTCTCTACCTTCTCTTTGGCCTGCGAGAAACCTTCGCTGCACACACAGACTGTGGCTTAATCTGTGGAGGTCAGTGAGTGCAAGTCCACAAGTTCATGGGCTTCAGTTTTCAGTCAACTCAATTAGCAAAATTATCATTGACTTCAAAGTGAGCAAAGAACTACAAGAAAAACTAATAAATAAAATGTGGTATGCAAAGCATTTAAAACAACAAACATTTGCTATAGATGTATACCACCCCTACCTTGTCACAACACAACTGATTGGCTCAAACGCATTAAGAAGGAAATAAATTCCACAAATTAACTTTAAAACAAGGTACACCTGTTAATTAAAATGCATTACAGTTGACTACCTCATGAAGCTGGTTGAGAGAATGCCAAGAGTGTGCAAATGTGAGAATGTGATTTGAAGGAGTCAGGCGCAGGAGGGTAAATCACTGAATACAGAGTTTATTCCGTAGGACACAGTTACGCTAGATAGCGTCAACAAAGTAAATACAAGGTACGGGTTACTCAACCTAGCTACACTCAATTCACAAATAACAATCACCCACAAGGACAAGGGGGGCAGAGGGAACACTTATACATGTACTAATGAGGGGATATGAACCAGGTGTGTGTAATTGACAAGACAAGACAAATGGAATGATGAGATATGGAGTGGCAGTGGCTAGTAGGCCGGTGACGACGAACGCCGAAGCCTGCCCGAACAAGGAGGGGAGGCAGCTTCGGAGGAAGTGGTGACAGTACCCCCCCCATGACGCGCAGCTCCTGCAGCGCTCCGACCCTGGCCTCGGGGACGGCCAGGAGGACGCGGAGCAGGGCGAGCCGGATGGCGACGGTGGAAATCCCGCAACAGGGAGGGATCGAGGATATCCCTCACCGGGACCCAGCACCGTTCCTCCGGACTGTACCACTCCCACTCCACGAGGTACTGAAGGCCCCCCACCCGACGCCTCGAATCCAGGATGGAACGGATGGAGTACGCCGGGGCCCCCTCGATGTCCAGAGGAGGCAGAGGGACCTCCCGCACCTCAGACTCCTGGAGCAGACCAGCCACCACCGGCCTGAGGAGAGACACATGAAACAAGGGGTTAATACGGTAATCGGGGGGAAGTAATAACCTATAGGTGACCTCGTTGATTCTCCTCAGGACTATGAACGGCCCCACAAACCGCGGGCTCAGCTTCCGGCAGGGCAGGCGGAGGGGCAGATTCCGGGTCGAGAGCCAGACCCGATCACCCGGTACGAAGACTGGGGCCTCACTGCGGTGGCGGTCAGCGTTGGCCTGCATCCCACGTCTCGTCCGCGCGCCGAAACCAGTCAACCAGCGCAGGAGCCTCGGTCTGGCCCTGGGGCCACGGTGCCAGAACCGGTTGGTGACCCAACACACACTGAAATGGCGTTAGGTTAGTGGAGGAGTGCCGGAGAGAGTTCTGGGCATATTCGGCCCATGGCAAGAACACTGACCACTCCCCCGGCCGGCCCTAGGCAGTAGGACCGCAGGAACCTACCCACATCCTGGTTTACCCGTTCCACCTGCCCATTAGACTCGGGGTGGAACCCAGAGGTCAGGCTGACCGAGACCCCCAGACGTTCCATGAATGCCTTCCAGACCTTGGATGTGAACTGGGGACCTCGGTCAGACACTATATCCTCTGGTACCCCGTAGTGCCGGAAGACGTGTGTAAACAGGGCCTCCGCATTTTGCAGGGCCGTGGGGAGAGCAGGCAGAGGAAGGAGGCGGCAGGCCTTGGAAAAGCGGTCCACAACGACCAGGATGGTGGTATTACCTTGGGAGAGGGGAAGATCAGTCAGGAAATCAACACTTAGATGAGACCATGGTCGTTGTGGAATTGGTAAAGGTTGTAACTTACCCGCTGGGAGGTGCCTAGGTGCCTTACTCTGGGCGCACACCGAGCAGGAGGAGACGTACACCCTCACATCCTTAGCCAAGGTAGGCCACCAGTACTTTCCAGTCAGGCAGCGCACTGTACGACCGATACCTGTGTGAAAGGAGGAGGGGGACGTGTGTGCCCAGTAGATCAGACGATCACAGATAAGAGCAGGCACGTACCGCAGCCCAGCTGGACACTGAGGTGGAGATGGATCTGTGCGTAATGCCTGCTCTATATCCGCGTCCATCGCCCATACTACCGGCGCCACAATGCAGGAAGCCGGGAGTATGGGGGTGTTGTCTCTGGGGCTCTCCTCTGTGTCATACAGCCATGACAATGCGTCTGCCTTCACGTTCTTCGTACCCGGGATGTATGACAGTGTAAAATCGAACCGGGTGAAGAATAGGGCCCACTTGGCCTGGCGAGGATTCAGCCTCCTCGCTGCCCAGATGTACTCCAGGTTACGGTGGCCCGTCCAGATGAGGAAAGGGTGTTTCGCCCCCTCGAGCAAATGCCTCCACACGGTCAAAGCTCGGACAACAGCCAACAGCTCCCGATCACCAACGTCGTAGTTCTGCTCCGCCGGGCTGAGCTTCTTAGAGAAGAAGGCACAGGGGCGGAGCTTGGGTGGTGTGCCCGAGTGTTGAGATAGGACAGCGCCTATCCCTACCTCGGACGCATCCACCTCCACTACGAACGGTAGTGATGGATCGGGGTGGACCAGTACCGGGGCTGAGGTGAACAGACCCCTCAGTTTCCTGAAGGCCAGGTCAGCCTCAGCAGACCAGCGGAGCCGGGACGGCCCACCCTTCAACAGAGATGTAATGGGAGCTGAGACCTTGCCAAAGCCCCGGATAAACCTCAGATAGTAGTTGGCAAAGCCCAGAAAGCGCTGCACCTCCTTAACTGTGGTGGGTGTCGGCCAATTACGCACGGCTGAAATGCGATCCCCCTCCATCTCCACCCCTGAGGTGGTTATGCGGTATCCGAGGAAGGAGACGGACTGCTGGAAAAACATACACTTCTCTGCCTTGGCATAAAGGTCATTTTCCAACAGTCGGGCCAGCACTTTGTGAACCAGGGACACATGCTCAGCGCGCGTAGCGGAATACACCAGAATGTCATCAATGTAGACCACTACACCGCGACCAAGCATGTCCCGAAACACCTCGTTCACAAAGGATTGGAAGACGGATGGAGCATTCATCAAACCGTAGGGCATCACCGGGTATTCATAATGCCCCGTGGTTGTGCCGAATGCTGTCTTCCACTCATCCCCCTCCTGAACACGCACCAGGTTGTATGCACTCCTGAGATCTAATTTGGGGAAGAAGCGCGCCCCATGCATTGACTCGATCACTGACGGAATGAGGGGGAGAGGATAACTAAACCTGATCGTCTCCTTGTTCAGTGGTTGATAATCAATGCAAGGGCGCAGACTGCCATCTTTCTTCTTCGCAAAGAAGAAACTCGAGGAGGCGGGTGAAGTGGAGGGACGTATATACCCCTGGCGCAGGGACTCGTGAAGTATGTTTCCATAGCTGCCGTTTCAGCCTGCGACAGGGGGTACACATGACTCCTGGGAGGTACAGCGTCTACCCGGAGGTTTATCATGCAATCCCCCGCCCAATAAGGTGGTAACTTGGTAGCCTGCGTCTTTGAAAACGTGTGTGCCAAATCGAGGTATTCTGGGGGAATGCGCACGGTGGAGGTACTGTCTGGACTTTCCACCGTGGTTGCACCAACGGAAACACCTAGACACCTACCCTGACACTCTCGCGACCACCCTGTGAGAACCCTCTGCGGCCATGAGAAGGTGGGGTTGTGGAGTGCTAACCAAGGGATACCTAATACCACAGGGAAAGCAGGGGACTCAATAATAAAAAAAGTGATCTGTTCACAATGAGTCCCCGTAGTTCTCCAACGCGGCTCCTCCTTCGTTCCACACCGTGTTGGCCCACTCCAGGGCTTTCCCCGAGAGGCAGGAGACAAGGGCGGACACCTTCTCTCGCTCCGATGGGGCCGGCCTGATGCTGGAGAAATAGAGCTCTAGTTGGAGGAGGAATCCTTGGCAGAGAGCCGCCGTCCCGTCAAACTCCCGTGGTCGGGATATCTGGATCCCGCCGGGTGCTGGGGTGTGGGTGGCTGGATCCGGTTGGACAGCTGGTCTCGACAGATCGGGTCCTCTCCTCTCCAGGCATTGGACGACCTGAAGAACCCGATCCATCGCTTCCCCCAAGCTGGCCAGCATCGTGGAATGCTCCTGGACCCGTGCCACGACTCCAGGCTTGTGCTCCTCTCCCGCTGACTCCATAGTGCGGGTGGGTGATTCTGTGAGAATGTGATTTGAAGGAGTCAGGCGCAGGAGGGTAAATCACAGAATACAGAGTTTATTCCGTAGGACACAGTTACGCTGGATAGCGTCAACAAAGTACAGGCACACGGGGAACAATATCCCCGGAAATACAAGGTACGGGTAGCTCAACCGAGCTACACTCAACTAACAAATAACAATCACCCACAAGGACAAGGGGGGCAGAGGGAACATTTATACATGTACTAATGAGTTGATATGAACCAGGTGTGTGTAATTGACAAGACAAGACTAATGGAATGATGAGATATCCAAGATGTTGTAGCAGTGTGGTCGTGTACTCTGTAGTGTGTCCGTGTAAATAGCCAGTTTTTTGTTTTTTTGTCTCTTTCGTACATATTTCTCTATCACACTTTTCCTCCTTCAACTAAATATACTTTCCTGCAACCCGCCTCACCCAATGTGGAACGGATTATATTATTTATTTGACCTTTTTATCCAGAACCTCCAGTTGAATCTAGCCAGCTAGCCAGCTAACTAGCGAACTAGCTACTTGCTATTAGCCACCGTTAGCGGTTTTCACCATTGTCCATGGCCTGCACTACCTACCAGCCATCTCTAGCCTGGACTATTATCGGCCAGTCTGCACAGCGCGCTATCGACCAAGAACATATCGGATTTCTGCCGGAATCACTGAATCACTGGACCTTAACACCGGATCATTGCAACTAGCTAGCTGCAACCGAATGGATGTTGTTGGATTTTCACCACCGACCTCGAAGCAAGCACCAGTTAGCCTTGAACTAGCCTTGAGCCAGGCACATCTTCCGGCTATCTACCTCTCTGTCAACCGGACGGGACCTCCTAGTGTCGAAACGGAGTCCCGCCGATCCATCACGACTGGTCTGCCAACGTAATCGTCTGATGTGGTTTCAACAGGCTTCCCGTTGCGACGACCACGAAGATCCATCTGCTAGGCCCGGCCCGCTAGCACATGCAATCAACAGCCGTGCTTCCTGCTCGCCTGTGCTGTAGCAGCCATTCGAACTGCTCCCGGTCTCACCTATTGCTGTTCACTGGACCTTATGATCACTCAGCTGCACAGCTGATGCCTGCTGGACTGTTCCTTTACACGGTACCCCCATCCTGTCTATCTGTCCTGTTTATCTGTTTAGCCTCAGCCCAAACTTTCGTCGCCATTACCAGTTGTTTTCTTAGCTCTCTCGAATAACACCTATGATTGCTTTATGCCTCTCTCCCTTGTCAATATGCCTTGCCTATTACTGTTCCGGTTAGTTCTTATTATACAATTTCACTGTAGAGCCCCTAGTCTAGCTCAACCAGCCTCAGAGAGCTCCTTTGTCCCACCCCCCATACACATGGAGACCGGCTCAATCGGTGCCTCCAGTGATGCTATGTCTTTCATTGTTACCCAACGCTTAGGTTTACCTCCACTGTACTCATATCCTTCCATATCCTTGTCTGTACATAATGCCCTGAATCTATTCTACAACGCCCGGAAATCTGTCCCATTCTCTGTACCCAACGCACTAGAAGACCAGTTCTTAAAGCCTTTAGCTGTATCCTTATTCTACTCCTACTCTGTTCCTCTGGGGATGTAGAGGTTAACCCAGGCCCTGTGTCCCCCAGTATCACTCCTACTCCCCAGGCGCTATCATTTGCTGACTTCTGTAACCGTAAAAGCTAGATAGAACTGCCAAAGGGGGCGGAGTTGCAATCTACTGTAGAGATAGCCCGCAGAGCTCTATCATACTATCCAGGTCTGTGCCCAAACAGTTTGAGCTTCTACTTCTAAAAATCCACCTCTACAGAAATAAGTCTATTACTGTTGCCGCTTGCTACAGACCCCCCTCAGCCCCCAGCTGTGCCCTGGACACCATATGTGAATTGATTGCCCCCCATTTATCCTCAAAGTTCGTACTGCTTGGTGACCTAAACTGGGATATGCTTAACACCCCGGCCGTCCTACAATCTAAACTAGATGCCCTCAATCGCACACAAATTATCAAGGAAACTACCAGGTTCAACCCTAAATCTGTAAACATGGGCACCCTCATAGATATCATCCTGACTATTTCAACCTCTAAATACACCTCCGCTGTCTTCAACCAGGATCTCAGCGATCACTGCCTCATTGCCTGCGTCCGTAATGGGTCCGCGGTCAAACAACCGACCCTCATCACTGTCAAACGCGCCCTAAAACACTTCAGCGAGCAGGCCTTTCTAATTGACCTGGCCCGGGTATCCTGGATGGATATTGACCTCATTCCGTCAGTAGAGGATGTCTGGTTGTTCTTTAAAAGTGCTTTCCTCTCCATCTTAAATAAGCATGCCCCATTCAAAAAATTCAGAACTAAGAACAGATATAGCCCCTGGTTCACCCCTTGACCAGCACAAAAACATCCTGTGGTGTACTGCATTAGCATCGAACAGCCCCCGCGATATGCAACTTTTCAGGGAAGTCAGGAACCAATATACACAATCAGTTAGGATAGCAAAGGCTAGATTTTTCAAACAGAAATGTGCATCCTGTAGCACTAACTCCAAAAGGTTTTGGGACACTGTAAAGTCCATGGAGAATAAGAGCACCTCCTCCCAGCTGCCCACTGCACTGAGGCTAGGAAACACTGTCACCACCGATAAATCTAAGATAATCGAGAATTTCAATAAGCATTTTGCTACGGCTGGCCATGCTTTCCACCTGGCTACCCCTACCCCCCGGCCACCAGCTCTGCCAACCCCCCCCCCCCCCCCCCGCTTCTCCTTCACCCAAATTCAGATAGCTGATGTTCTGAAAGAGCTGAAAAATCTGGACCCCTACAAATCAGCTCGGCTAGACAATCTGGACCCTTTCTTTCTAAATTTAGCCGCCAAAATTGTAGCAACTTCTATTACTAGCCTGTTCAACCTCTCTTTCGTATCATCTGAGATCCCCAGAGATTGGAAAGCTGCCGTGGTAATCCCCCTCTTCAAAGGGGGTGACACTCTATATCCATCTTGCCCTGCCATTCGAAAGTATTTGAAAGCCAAGTTAACAAACAGATCACCTTCCATTTTGAATCCCACCGTACCTTCTCCGCTATGCAATCTGGTTCCCGAACTAGTCATGGGTGCACCTCAGCCACGCTAAAGGTCCTAAACTATATGATAACCGCGATCGATAAATGACAGTACTGTGCAGCCATCTTCATCGACCTGGCCAAGGCTTTCGACTCTGCCAATCACCGCATTCCTATTTGCAGACTAAATAGCCTTTGTTTCTCAAATGACTGCCTCGCCTGCTTCACCATCTACTTCTCAGAATGTGTCAAATCAGAGGGCTTATTGTCTGGACCTCTGGCAGTCTCTATGGGGGTGCCACAGGGTTAAATTCTCAGGCCGACTCTATTCTCTGTGTATATCAATGATGTTGCTCTTGCTGCTGGTGACTCTCAGATCCACCTCTACGCAGACGACACCATTTTGTATACATCTGGCCCTTCATTGGACACTGTGCTAACAAACCTCCAAACGAGTTTCAATGCCATACAACACTCCTTCCATAGCCTCCAACTTCTCCTAAACGCTAGTAAAATTAAATGCATGCTCTTCAATCGAACACTGCTTGAACCCGCCTGCCCGACTAGAATCACTACTCTCGGCGGGTCTAACTTAGAATATGTGGACAACTACAAATACCTAGGTGTCTGGTTAGACTGTAAACTCTCCTTCCAGACTTACATTAAGCATCTCCAATCCAAAGTTAAATCTAGAATCGGCTTCCTATTTCGCAACAAAGCCTCCTTCACTCATGCTGCCAAACATGCCCTCGTAAAACTGACTATCCTACCGATCCTTGACTTCGGCAATGTCATTTACAAAATAGCCTCCAACACTCTACTCAGCAAATTGGATGTAGTATATCACAGTGCCATCCGTTTTGTCTCCAAAGCCCCATATACTACCCACCATTGTGACCTGTACGCTCTCGTTGGCTGGCCCTCACTACATATTCGCAGCCAAACCCACTGGCTCTAGGTCATATATAAATCACTAATAGGCAAATCCCCGCCTTATCTTAGCTCATTGGTCACCATAGCAACACCCACCCGTAGTCTGCGCTCCAGCAGGTATATCTCACTGGTCATCCCCAAAGCCAACACCTCCTTTGGCCGCCATTCCTTCCAGTTCTCTGCTGCTAATGACTGGAACGAACTGCAAAAATCTCTGAAGCTGGAGACTCTTATCTCCCTCACTAACTTTAAGCATCAGTTGTCAGAGCAGCTTACCGATCACTGCACCTGTACACAGCCCATCTGTAATTAGCCCACCCAACTACCTCATCCCCATATTGTTATTTATTTTGCTCATTTGCACGCCAGTATCTCTATTTGCACACCTTCTTCTGCACATCTATCACTCCAGTGTTAATACTAAATTGTAATTATTTTGCACTATGGCCTATTTATTGCCTTACCGCCATAACTTACTACATTTGCACACACTGTATATATATTTTCTGTTGTATTTTTGACTTTATGTTTTGTTTACCCCATATGTAACTCTGTGTTGTTGTTTTTATCGCACTGCTTTGCTTTATCTTGGCCAGGTCGCAGTTGTAAATGAGAACTTGTTCTCAACTGGCTTACCTGGTTAAATAAAGGTTAAATAAAATAAAAATATTAAAAATATGGAGCGGCAGTGGCTAGTAGGCCGGTGACGACGAACGCCGAAGCCTGCCCGAACAAGGAGGGGAGGCAGCTTCGGAGGAAATCGTGACAGCAAAGCTGTCAAGGCAAAGGGTGGCTACTTTGAAGAATTTGTTTAACAATTTTTTGGTTACTACATGATTCCATATGTGTTATTTCATAGTTTTGATGTCTTCACTATTATTCTACAATGTAGAAAATAGTAAAAATTAAGAAAAACCCTTGAATGAGTAGTGTCCAAACTTTTGACCGGTACTGTATGTCAAGCAATACTGAGTGAGAATTCACACAGACAGACCGAACTCACAAGGGTGATTTCCCCTTATTAAAAAATAATTGATGTTTTCAGACCAAATTGCAGATTTTCAGTGCATTACTTAAAAAATAGGTCCCAGCTCAATTATGCCACATTTTGCACATGGATTTATAATAGCGATTTCTTTCCTCATTCAAACATGTATTTTTGTCTACAGTAGAGTACACAGTGATGTATGTAGGCAGCATGCGTGCAGGCTAGTGGGCAGACTGAATCAATACTAGCATCCCACAGACAGAAACAAAGCAGCGAGAGAGAGAAGGGCTATGGCATGTGGAAGCAAACATAATTATCAGATAGGCTGCATTTATCTGTGGAAAAGAGATTAGGCAGCTATCGATTGTGGATTAGCAGATTAACAGCTCCAGGACAGAAGGACTGGCAGGGCAGGGTTACTCACAGAATGGAGGGATGGAGAGGGAGAGAAAGAAAGAGTGAGAGAGAGAGAGAGAGAGAGAGAGAGAGTGGGGGGGGTGGGGGAGAAAGGGAAGAAGAAGAAAGAGAGACCAGTAGAGCGAGAGAGAGAGAGAGAGAGAGAGAGAGAGAGAGCATTCTGACATTTTGTGTGGTCACGTCTACTGCCTTGATGCATACTTTCACAAATTACTACTCAAGATTGACACGTTAACAGTTAACACATTGTTATTGCCATAACTCAAGACTTACTTGGAACTAGGCAGATACCCTTGGCTAATGTTGAAGTTTTATAAGGCAGCATTCAATGGCTCAAGACTCGTAAAGCTTACGTGGGTGGGTATCCAACTTTCATCCAAATATTCTGCTCTGTATTCCATCATAGCAAAAGGAAAGAGGGTGGGTGAATGTGGATGTGCCAGTTCTGTCTCGGCACTGATAGGGGCGCTGAAGTGAATCAGTGGACTGACGTTAGTCTGAGGACAGGGGCGATATGAAGCCAGCTGTTTAATCATGGCCGCCAACAGAAAGAGGGATGGAAGGATGGTGTTTTTTCTCCATGTGATTGATAGTGATGCAAAGGTTCCCCACCCTGATTCACACACGAATGCACACATGCACGCACACACACACACACACACACACACTTGAAATGCACACACAAAAATGCGCACACAAGCCCTGATTCATCTCTGCAGCTTCCAGGAAGACAGAGCTGGAGCGAGAGGGCGAAGGGAAGGACGGCTATATGGAAACGTCACAGTCTGTGTGAGGTGAGAGCAGCGAGAGACACGGCCGTAACACAAAGCAGTCTGGGTGTGGGTCTGACCGGGGGCCTTTGAAAAACAGCCATACTGTGAGGCTGGAAGAGACTGGAAGTGGATCACACAGACAGACACTCGTAAAGTTGCCATGCAGTGTGCAGTGAGTCATCTGTGGGATATGAAGTGAACAGATAGGATAGATGGTTCTCCCATGGTGCAAAGTGATCACAGTCTCCTCTAAACAACCCAGATGAGAACTACGAAAAGCAAAGCTCTCCTTAGTCATCGACTTCATTGTGAGAGGAGACATTACTTCTCGAGAGAAGATCTGACTTTAATGCCCTTGCCAACATGTTTTATTGGTATTAGAAAAAGGACTAAATCATATCTACACTCGCAGGCAAATGTATATGGGAAAGTAGAATTACATGTATTTTCTTTGATTGCAAGATATTTTTGAGTGTAAATACTTGAATACCTGCCCTTTTCTGTTTATTGACCTTTTTATCTGACTGTGGAGAAATATCCTACTAATATCCCTGAATCCTCACTGAGAAGAGGCAGGAATGAGAGAGAAAGCTACAAAGAGAGAGAAAGCTAAGAGTCAAAGCAGAACAGAAACGACTACGCTCTCCCAGAACCCCTGGAAGATCTAATTAACAACCAAGACCGAGACTCCCCCGCTACTCGGCAACAACTTCTCTATGAGTGGCACATTATTCAAGGGGCTCGGTGCGATCAAGAACCTCCCATTTTCTTCCACTGGACAGTCGTAGGCGTTTCCTAGAACTGACCAGATGCTTGGAATTCGAGGGAGTGCCGGCACCGAGCCAAGGAAGAGTGGTGGGAGAGGGGGTGAGAATGAGGGGAGCAGCACAGGGCTTCGGAATTCGTGGAAAAACACTGCAGCCATTGACAGCGGCTCTACTTGGAGCTAGAGAACCTGACCGCCGCAGATGCCCAACGTTGTTCTGTATCACTCCAATTCCTGTGACTCATTTACTACCATCCAAGGAGGCCAAGAAGAAGAAGGCGGAGATTGAGAAGCATCAATGAGTTAGAAACATGAGACCTATGAGAGGTAGAGTTGCTACTGCAGTTAGATTAAATACAACAGAACGTATTATTACTCTCTCTATGGTTCTCTGATTAGGTTGTTCACAGAAAAACCTGAGCTGTTATAAATGATCTTGTACTGAGAAAGGAGGTCCGGTTCTAGGCTGATGAAGATGCTTGGTAACAGACACCAGTCAGTCGGAGTGTGAGCGGTAGTGTGTGTGTGTGTGTGTGTGTGCGTGCATGCATGACAGTGTGTTTGTGCGTGTGCTTGAGAATGTGTGATCGAGAGTGTGTGAGATTATGTGATTGAGAGTATGTGAGTTTATGTGAGTCACGTCAGGTGGCCTGCAGCTGTGGGTGGGTGTGAGGTACTGTAGCACTGCAGTCAGAGAGACTGTAGTATATGAGGGTAAGGTTATTCTAATACCACCATTTTCCGAGGGGTGAAGTGCAATTCAGCAGAGTTCCAGGACCAGATTTCCCTGCCCTAATCCTAACCTTAATACTTAACACATACAGTACATAGGCTGGAGGCAGAAGCCTATAGCCTAATAGCCATGAACCAACCTGAGGGGCACTCGATAATCTTGGAGTCTTAGGGGCGTGTGGGGTTGCTAGGGACATGGCTGGGGGTGGCAAGGCTGAGGTGGGAAGAGAGCCAGAGAGCAGGTGCTCGTTCAGATGGACACACATGAAATATGTAAAGTAGAACAAACATGAGTAGATGTAAACCAAGAAATCATGTAAGCTCTATTCATGGCATTTCTATCTGCAATGTTCGACAACGTTTGGCAGCTGAACGTGGGCCAGGGGTTTAGAGAGGCAGGGTAATCACAGGGGTCGGTTGAGGTCTTCTATGAACACATGGTGGGAGTAGAAAAGTTCCTTGAAACATTGCTGAAGACAACAGCAAATCAAGTTGCGAAATGTTGCTGTGAAAGGACCAGGACGGGGTGGGCGGACAGCAGTGGTGTAGTAAAGCTCAGTCGAGCCATTCTGGAATGAAGTGGAATGACAAAACGTCACAGTGGAATGAGAACAGAGAACAGAGAACAGAGACAGAGACAGAGAGCGAGAGAGCGAGAGAGAGAGAGAGAGAGAGAGAGAGAGAGAGAGAGAGAGAGAGAGAGAGAGAGAGAGAAGAGAGAAGAGAGAGAGAGAGAGAGAGAGAGAGAGAGAGAGAGAGAGAGAGAGAGAGAGAGAGAGAGAGAGAGAGAGAGAGAGAGAGAGAGAGAGAGAGAGAGAGAGAGAGAGAGAGAGAGAAAAAGAGAGCGAGAGAGAGAGACCCATTCTGAGGGGAGTGTTTCAAAAAGGTAAATGGAGCAGAACCCTATTCCAGCAATCGACTAACTAAAACTCCCCTTGTGTCTCATCGTCTGAATGCAAAATAGAGACGCCCAGGAGAGACGGTCTGTGGCTGTGTAGAACTATGGCAAAAAATTTAATAAAAAACGCACACCCTTGCCTTTGTTGCACTTACAGTTGCACGTCTTTTCTAACTAGCACTGACTTTGCTAATAGCTGCTTTATTGAGGAAAAGTTTATTTACAATGACTGTGATGTGGTTGTATCACCTAGCTACCTTAAGATGAATGCACTAACTGTAAGTTGCTCTGGATAAGAGCATCCGCTAAATGACAAAAATGTAACATGTATAAATATGAAATGTATTACTGTTCATCTTATAATATTAGCCAGTCCAATGTGCACTAGTGTAAAAGTTCAACAATTATATTTTCCGATGGTAATGTTGCTTGTTTACCACGCATTGAGGTTCCAATAGAATCTACAGGCAAGTACTATGCATTCCTTTACAGCAAAACATTGGCTTCATGCTTGAAAGGTTTATTTGCCATTCTGAGCTATCACATCAGCCAACAAAGCAATCTACAGAGACCCAAATATATGTTATATATTACTTTCAAAGGCTGTGAACTTCACTCTATACACATTCATGTAGTCTCCCGAGTGGTGCAGTGGTCTAAGGCTGTGCCACTAGAGATCCCGGTTCGAATCCAGGCTCTATCGTAGCCGGCCGCGCCCAGGAGACCCATGGGGCGGCGCACAATTGGCCCAGCGTCGTCTAGGGTAGGAGAGGGAATGGCCGGCAGGGGATGTAGCTCAGTTCATAGAGCATGGCGTTTGTAATGACAGGGTTGTGGGTTCGATTCCCACGGGGGGTATGAAAAAAAATATATAATAATGTATGCACTAACTGTAAGTCGCTCTGGATAAGAGCATCTGCTAAATGACTAAAATGTAAATGTATTCCAACGAGCCATTTCCATTGAACTCCATCATAAAGGATAGGCTAGGTACAGCAGTATTCTAGTGAGACATTATGGAGGCTGGTAAGCGACTCCGTAGCGATGCATTGAGATATTAGTCAGAGTAAAAGGTTGGGGGGTGATGCACTTAGAGATTGCATCCATGGTGACGGCGGCGGGCGGGCGCCTGTATAATTAGTGCTGCTGAAGTCATCAAAGAGAGCCAGTAAATGGAGCAGAACGTCTCCTACAAACCAAAGCTCTACATTTCCTTTCACACAACAAACTAACGATCGCTGAGTTGAAACGAGCGATGTGGCAACATTACAACAACACATCCCAGACCTGGGTTCAAATACTATTTGAAATAATTTCAGTGCTTGATGAGCTGACAATACCTGGCGTAATGGACCAATATAATAGTCCCAAAACTGCAAACCCTGGCCATCTGGCACCACAGGCAGGCTAGAGCAAACACTCAAAGTATTTTGAAAGACTTCAAATAGTATTTGAACCCAGGTCTGCATCAAACTGGATCTGCTGGAGACTGCAGAGTGGTTGAGACATTTCCATAATTCCATATGTCAATATAGTGTGCCTTGGTAGTAAGCCTAGGACTTGGTTTGGTTGCACACATTTTGGCACTGGTTCAATTGAACAGTTTGATATTTCACAGAGGTAACCAAAGGTTCAATAACGTGTCAGGGGTGCAGTGATGGTGGTGGGCCAACATGGAAGTGAACCATGAAGCTCTTTTCCTGTAACAAGACTAGTTCAATTAGTGTTTTCCTGGTGACAGATCACCACATTGTGGAATGTCAAAAAATAACAAAGTGGAGAATCATTCAAAAAAATTCTGCAACAATTCAGCTAATTTCTAGAGTACAAAACGATCCAGCAACAGCGAAATTCCAGCTAAAGTACATTTCATTACATTCTCCACTGCTTCCCCAGTAAAAGGAAGTCAGACACAGCTCTGGGGAGAGATGGCTGAAGACCTGGTCATTACCTACAGTAACAAGGTGTGTTGCTTAAAGTCTGCTCTGCTTCCCTCACTCTATGCTGTCTGTAGCAGACAGTCAATCCATGGAGAGGGAGAAACTACCACCGACCAGACCAGAACAGACCAGGCCCAGAACAATGCACCTGGAAGCCCTGAACACAGTAGAGCAGCTGGTTACTACAGATTTGAACATACAACTGTGCCTGCGAGCTGTGTGTGTGTGTGTGTGTGTGTGTGTGTGTGTGTGTGTGTGTGTGTATATGTGTGTACGTGTGCGTGTGCGTGGTATGTGTTCTTGATCCCATGCCGTGCATGTGTGTGCGTCGGGAGCCTCACACCTTCATTAGAGAGGAGACCTCATCAGCTCTTTCATTTCCATAATGTTCATATACAAACATCACTTATGCTCATATTGTAGGTTGTGCTGGAGGAGAAAATAATCAGGGGTAATGTTTTACAGATGTTTTGGGTGTTTTAAAGTTGATACTAAAGCCCCAGGCAGCTTCAATTCTCATATGAAAACCCATCTGTGTGTGTGTATGTGTGTTCCCGCTCCCATGTGTGTGTGTCTAGAGTGTGTGTCTAGAACCAGACATGATCAGACTGAACAGTCATGAATTAAGGAGTAACATTTACAACCCTTGCTACCAGATGAGTTATGTTCCCTGCTCAGCCTAGTCACAGACTAATCACAGAGAGGGTCAAAAACAGGTGCAACAAGATCCACTGAACAATGATTTCACAGACAAGGTGTCTTCGAATCCTCTATTAAATATCACAATATGGCTGCGTTTACACAGGCAGTCCAATTCTGGTCTTTTGCCCAATTATTGGCAAAAGATCTGATCTGATTGGTCAAAAGACCAATTATTGGCAAAAGATCAGATTTGGACTGCCTGTGTAAACAGCCTAAGTGACATTACTAGCATGTAAAGCTGAGGCCTCACATAATAGTAACAACACAAGATGCTAATTTATTTGCCCAAAGATTCCACTATCACCCTGTTGCTTGTTCACCAAACATCCACCATTGTGTTAAACACTTAATATCAACCATGGCTAAATGAAGATTGGTGAAACACTGCAGTGAGGGATTTGCATAGTCAGGTCTTATGCAATAGGAAATTAAACATATGGGGTTTCGATGGTTGGCAGATTCTGCGTATTCCTGTGGTCTCGTGCTCGCAACCCTGTGGTTGGCTTTTAATGTTTAATGGTAGCAAACGCCAACATCTAGTCACGGCAGGAAATGTCTAAATCCTCTTAAATGTAATCGGAAATGTAATGAACGTAATCCCTAAAAGTTATTATTTATCATGAGAGGGCCATAAACAATAACTAGTAATGCTGCATACTCCAAGTAAGGTTCAAATCTCACCTTTCTGGTAAAAATTGTTATTAATTGCTGAGGTGTAGTCACTTTTGAGGACAAAAGCTCAAGTATACAATACAAATATGATAAAAAATGTATTTCCTATTCAACAAAACTGCATGAATAAGGCTTGAAATTACATATTTTTGTATAAATGTATAAAATGACTTACTATAAGATTTCACCTTCCTTATAACTGTAAAATACATATTTGTATATTTAGTGTCAGAGAAAATTTGCATATTTTCTAAAAGGTCCCTCTTGATCAAAACATCGCTGTCAACGTCACACAGAGCTCTAGCGTGGCTTCCTGAACTCGTTAGGAACTCGCCTTTCATCTCCTTTTAATCTTGTCCGTCTATAACAAACAGAAAGTGTTTTTTGTTTAGAATCTATGAATTATTTTAGATTACTGGCTATAAATCAATCTCTGAATGTGCTACATTGACAAAACCTCTCTCTCCTGCTGCGTTATGATGTAAGGATTCCAGGCATATGCGTTGTTAGTGGCTGTGACGTTAAGGTTCAGCCAGGAGTTGATGGACAGTCGAAAGAGCTAATGAAATGGTAGGAGGGACATCCCAGATTCAAGAGGTGTCAGATTTCACAGCCTGCTTCATACAGGCAGAAGAGTGGGCGAACGCTCAATGCAAGCCATTTCGATCTACGGTGTCCACAGATCAATTTATAAGCATAAATGTCGGTCAGAACCGGTATCGGAACCACGCAGGTCCCCTAAACAGATGTTTTAAGGTGCATCATCCACCAAACATCAATTTAGATGTGTCAACTATAGCCAGTACTGCACTACAAGTTGGTTGTCATATAGAGAGCTGGGCCCACTCATATTGTGAAACAAGCTTCATTTAATCAATTGAGTTATAATGCACACATAAACAGTGTGCCATGTGTTGTAGCAGCATTTTAAATAGCAAAGTCTATACAGCGGTTGATGGGGCTATATTGACTGTTCATTCAGGTTGTAGGTAATTTCCTCTATTGCGGTTTTATAAAACGTGCTTATCAAACATGGATTAATACTAGTTATCATTTGAATAAACCAGTTGATAAAGCATAGATACAATCAAGATAACGGTAACATCATGGAAATTATTAAGTACAAATGCAAACAATCCAAATTATTCAAAGACAAATTCCTAGTAGTATATTGAAAACACATCCATTTCACACACCTTTGCATTATAATACTTCTGTATCCATTTCCACTAACAATCGACAGTATTTACGGAGCGATATGTGAGAGAGCACCTCGGTTATTTTAATGGTAAGATAGATTTCCCTAAAAACACTGAAATTGGCTATTATCTGGTAATTACTCAATAACAATGTAGGCAGTAATAATTCAGCAACTCAACAGTGCTGAAAACTCTGTGTTAACGTGAGGATGGGGTGGGCGAAGAGATTAGATAACACACACACACACACCTGTGTGAACAACACACACGCTTGAGTGCACACACACACACACTCACTAACCAAAACACAAATCCCCCCTCCCCCCCTCCCCCCTCACACACACACACACATACACACACAGTCACTCTAGCTTAATGTAAACTGTTGAGGCAATTTAAAGAAGCCTTGGCAGCAGTTAATGGTCTGTCACAGTCTAACGGGTTTAGATCGCTTACAATGGAGTCGGGCACTAAGCCCACAGCTCACGGTTAATTGTTCAGAACCTGCTTCTGTGAGTGTTGCTGTCTGTCTCAGAAGGGGCCCATTAGAGCCGTCCTGCGCCCATGACAAAGGCCATTGCCTCACTTTATGAGGACAAAGCTGCTGCTGCTGCTACAGTGGTCAACAAGCAGGGAGATGAGGGACATTCAGGACTGCTAGTGGGAATAATACATTGGATTCATGGGCCACTGCAGTGACTAGAATGTGCGTCAGGCAAATATGGGTCAAGTAGTTGACTAAGAAGACTACTAAACAAGCTATCAAATGAATAAGGAAAAAAAAAATAATGTTGGCTTTGTACCTTAAATTGCGTCAGTCTGAAAGAGTTCTCTAATGACACAGTCATGCCTGAAACGCTTTCCTGAATGTCTACAGGTTCGGAAACTTGACCCAGAATATGTTTGACAATTTCCTTTTAATTAGGCCTTGAAGACAAGACTAATTTCAACTGCCGTCCTGAGAGCTACATTAATTACTGTGACAAAGTCCATTCTTGGCTCTTGGCGACAATGAATCATAGCAACATGTTGGGGGAACAACAGGCTCCATTCAGAATAACTGATAAAACACAGTCACATGAAATGTAAGCTACTGTCTTGAAAATTAAATGACTAACCCTGCCTCAAACTCTGACCACAACAGACCTGGTCTCTCTCTCCCTCTCTGAATGACGTGCACTCCAGATGCCTTGCTGCTATTTCTGGGGCCAGATACCCTTCAACCCAAAACTTTGCTGCACTGTACTGTACCTTCAAAACTCACACATATGTGTGCCCACACATTGGTCCTAAACGTCATAATAAAATTGACTCCCTCCAAAATCCTACAGAAGGCCTGAAGTTTCCCCTCAGCCTGTACATTTTATCTCTCTCTGCATCCCACAGTCTCTCTCTCTCTCTGCATACAAAGTATGACATATAGAGATTAGATAGAGAGAGAGAGAGAATGAGAGAGAGAGAGAGAGAGAGAAGCGAGAGAGAGAGAGAGAGAGGAGAGGAAGAGAGAGAGAGAGCGAGAGAGAGAGAAGAGAGAGAGAGAGAGCGAGGAGAGAGAGAGAGGAGAGAGAGAGAGCAGAGAGATCAGAGAGAAGATAGCGATAGTAGAGAGCTCTCTATCTATCGTCTCTCTCTCTCTCTTCTCTCTCTCTCTCTCTCTCTCTCTCTCTCTCTCTCTCTCTCTCTCTCTCTCCTCATCTCATTCCCTCTGCCCCTCAGGGGTCCACTCTGGTCTCTCCTGCTGGGTGATTCACAGATGGTCTGGGCTCGGCTGGCGCAGGGCAGGCAGGCGGCCCGGCCCACGGACACTCTGCTCACACCAGAGGCAGGCAGGTCATTCATTCAGCTAAATCTGTCAGCCTTTATAAACAAGTGTTTGTGAGTTATGGGCAATTTAGATAATCACAACATTGAGGGATGTGCCAAAGACCAAGAGGCCTCACAGAAGTGACTGATGAAGCACGTTGGGATGCGGCCGAGTGCCATGCCACACCTAAGGCTGATCATCGTGACTTATGTGACCTTCGGCCACTCTGCCATTATCTACATCTGGTTTGGGCTGAGCTATTTTCTGACCACCAAGAGGTTGATATCCTGTGTGAGAAGGGGGCATTGCAGGACAAGTAGGGGAATTAGATACTTACAGCATACCATATAATGGTGCTTTCTCGTTCTCTTTTTCTCTCTCTCTCTCCCCCTCTCTCGTCTCTCTGACATCCTGAATTGTGGATGTGCCTAGAATTCAGACAAGCGGGTTTGTATCGACAGCATGATTGGCCGGTGTGCTTGGCAAGTGTAATGAAATAACAACTCGAGTGTGTGCTCCCATGGACCTCGAGATTTAATCGAAAGGTTCAGAGGGATGTGTATGTCCTCAGATGAAAGAAAGTCTGTTGTAATCTATGCCTTGTATGATTGAAATTCCACTAGCATGACATACAGATTTAGGATCTTAATTTGATCACTTTTGTTGCTGAGAATTCAAGGTTTAAAAAAACTTAGCACACAATTCCCCAGGCACTGGCCTTTTGTTCTCTGAGAGAAGCGTTAGAGCATGTGTGTGTGAGTGAATGTGCCTATGTGTTGACACAATGTGGATAGGCCTGAAAGCCAACATTCAACGAAGTCTCCCATACACATATCCTGTCACAACAGACTATTGGCCTCTGGTCCAGTAATCAGTGAAGAGGGCTTTTAGTCACAAACACACACACACAGTACTCACACACAGAGTACTCACACCCAGTCACACTTACACACACACACACACACACACAAACATCTTTAATCTAAGATGGCACTGCAGTGGATAGCAGTTTGAACAATATTCTGTGTTTTTTTACGCTGACCTTTTTTTGTACATAATGTCTCCGCTATAATTTCCTATGACCGAAAACAGCTTCTGGAGATCAGAACAGTGATCACTAACCTCGATTTGAATGACAATAACTACTTCAACGAGTCGGCAGCTCTGGACCTTCTGCTTACTCCGGACCAGGCCCTAATCCCCGGGACTCGAAAGAGGAAGCAACGGCGCAAAAGAGGCAGCGATCCTGATTAGTCTACGTTGGCGTGCAAATAAACTGCCTCTACCCTCCGTTCTGTTGGCGAACGTACAGTCACTAGAGAACAAACTGGACGAGCTCAGTTCGAGACTATCTTATCAACGGGACCTGAAGAAATGTAATATTCCATGTTTCAGGGAGTCGTGGCTGAACAAGGACATGGATAATATACATCTCGCTGGCTTTCAAAGCAACGTCAAGACTGGTCGGGGAGGGGTGTGTATCTTTGTTAACAACAGCTGGTGCCCGATCTCTAATGTTAAGGAAGTCTCAAGTTTTTGCTTGCCTGAGTTAGAATACCTCATGATAAGCTTGGTAAATAGACCATATTATTTACCAAGAGAGTTTATCTATATTTTTCGTAGCTGTCTATTTACCACCACAAACTGATGTTGGCACTAAAGCCACACTCAACGACTTGTACAGGGCCATAAGCAAACAACTACATGCACACCCAGAGGCGTCTCTTCTCGTGACCGGGGACTTTAATGCAGGGAAAATCGTTATTACCTTATTTTTACCAGCATGTCACCTGTGCAACTAGAGGGGACAAAATTCTAGATCGCCTTTACTCCACACACAGAAACGCATAAAAGGCTCTCCCTCGCCCTCCCTTTGGCAAATCTTACCATAACTCTATCCTCCTGATTCCTGCTTACAAGGAAGCATCCGATAACATTGAGGGGTTTACAGAATCAGTCAAAGCTTCATTAATAAGTGCATCGACTACGTCGTCCCCACCGTTTTCAAGGAGCGGGACACTAATCCGTACGCTTATAAGAAATCCCGCTACGACTTCCGATGACTATTGCCCCATAGCACTCACATCTGTAGCCATGAAATGCTTTGAAAGACTGGTCATGGCTCACATCAACACCATCATCCCAGACAACCTGGACCCACTTAAATTCACATATCGTCCCAACACATCCACAGATGACGTAACCTCTATTGCACTCCACACTGCCCTCTCCCACCTGGACAAAAGGAACACCTATGTGAGAATGATGTTCATTGTCTACAGCTCAGAGTTCAACACCATAGTGCCCTCAAAGTTCATCACTAAGCTCAGGACCCTGGGACTGAACACCTCCTTCTGCAAATGGATTCTGGACTTTCTGACGGGCTGCACTCAGGTGGTGAGGGTAGGCAACAACACATCCACCACGCTGACCCTCAACACGGGGGCCCCTCAGGGGTGCGTGCTTAGTCCCTCCTGTACTCCCTGTTCACCCACGACTGCTTGGCCACGCAAGAATCCAACACCATCATTAAGTTTGCTGACGACACGACAGTGGTAGGCCTGACCACCGACGACGATGAGACAGCCTATAGGGAGGAGGTCAGTGACCTGGAAGTGTAGTGCCAGGACAACAACCTATCCCTCAACGTCAGCAAGACAAAGAAGCTGATCGTATACTACAGGAAAAGGAGGGCCGAGCATCCACATGGACAGGGCTGTAGTGGAGCGGGTCGAGATCAACAAGTTCCTCGTGTCCACATCACTAAGGAATTAACATGGCCCACACACACACCAACACAGTCGTGAAGAAGGCACGACAATGCCTCTGCCCCATCAGGAGGCTGAAAAGATTTGGCATGGGCCCTCACATTCTCAAAAGGTTATACAGCTGCACCATTGAAAGCATCTTGACTGGCTTGGGATGGCAACTGCTTGGCATCCGACCGCAAGGCACTAGAGAGGGTAGTGCGTACGGCCCACTACATCACTGGGGCCGAGCTCCCTGCCTTCCAGGACCTCAATACCAGACGGTGTCAGAAGAAGGCCCTAAAATTGTCAAAGACTCCAGCCACCCAAGTCATAGAATGTTCTCTCTGCTACCGCATGGCAAGCGGTACCGATGCAGCTTCTACCCCCAAGCCATAAGACTGCTAAATAGTTACCCGGACTATCTGCGTTGACCCTTTTTGCAATAACTCTTTTGACTCATCACATACGCTGCTGCTGTTTATCATCTATCCTGTTGCCTTGTCACTTTACCCATACCTACAGTGCCTTCAGAAAGTATTCATACCCCTTGACTTATTACACATTTTGTTGTTACAGCCTGAATAAAAAATGGATTAAAAAAATATATATTTTTTTTAAGTGAAAACGTGTTTTGACATTTTTGTAAATTTATTGAAAATTAAATACAGAAATACTGTATCTAATTTACATAAGGTTTCACATCTCTGTGTCAATATATGTTAGAATCACCATTGGTAGCAATTAAGGCTGTGAGTCTTTCTGGGTATGTCTCTAAGAACTTTGCACACCTGGACTGTACAATATTGGTTGTTGATCATTGCTAGACAGCCATTTTCAAGTCTTGCCATATATTTTCAAGCCGATTTAAATAAAAATTGTAACTAAGCCACTCAGGAACATTCAATGTCGTCTTGGTAAGCAACTCCAGTGTATATTTGGCCTCGTGTTTAAGGATATTGTCCTGCTGAAAGGTGAATTTGTCTCCCAGTGTCTGTTGGAAAGGACACTGAACCAGGTTTTCCTCTAGGATTTTGCCTAGTCTGTGCAGGTGACAAGCATACCCATAACATGATGCAGCCACCACAATGCTTGAAAATATGAAGCGTGGTACTCCGTGATGTGTTTGCCCCAAATATAAAGCTTTGTATTCAAATCAAATCACATTTTATTTGTCACATACAAGTGTTTAGCAGATGTTATTGCGGGTGTAGCGAAATGCTTGTGCTTCTAGCTCCGACAGTGCAGTAATATCTAACAAGTAATATCTAACAATTTCACAACATATACCCAATACACACAAATCTAAGTAATGGAATTAAGAATATATACATATATGGACTAGCAATGACAGGATAAAGATAATCTCTTTGCCACATTTTTGGCAGTTTTACTTTAGTGCCTTATTTGCAAACAGGATGCATGTTTTGGAATAGTTTTATTCTGTACAGGCTTCCTTTCTTTCACTCTGTCATTCAGGTTAGCATTGTGGAGTAACTACAATGTTGTTGATGCATCCTCAATTTTATCCAATCACAGCCATTCAACTCTGTATCTGTTTTAAGGTCACCACTGACCTCATGGTGAAATCATTGAGCGGTTTCCTTTCTCTCCAGCAACTGAGTTTGGAAGGACGCCTGTGTTTTTGTAGTGACTGGGTGTATTGATACACCTTCCAAAGTGTAATTAATAACTTCACCATGCTCAAAGGGATATTCAATGTCTGCTTTTTATTTTTACCCATCTACCAATAGGTGCCCTTCTTTGCAAGGCATTGGAAAACCTCCCTGGTCTATGTTTGAATCTATGTTTGAAATTCACTGCTCGACTGAGTGACCTTACAGATAATTGTATGTGTGGGGTACAGAGATGAGGTAGTATTGTTTAACTCTATTATTGAGTCTGTTCAACTAATTATGTGACTTGATAAGCAAAATTGTACTCCTGAACTTATTCAGACTTGCCATAAAGGGGTTGAATACTTATTGACTGAAGACATTTCTCAAAACATCATTCCAGTGACACAAAATCTAAATTGAATACATTTTTAATTTAGGCTGTAACACAACAAAATCTGGAAAAAGTCAAGGGGTGTGAATACTTTCTGAAGGCACAGCATACACAAAGTAATCAGACCCCTTCACTTTTTCCACATTTTGTTATGTTACAGCCTTATTCTAAAATTGAATAAATTGTTTTCCACCCTAATCAATCTACACACAATAACCCATAATGACAAAGCAAAAACAGGCTTTTAGAAATGTTTGCAAAACATCTCCCATTCTTCTCTGCAGATCCTCTCAAGCTCTGTCAGGTTGGATCGGGAGCGTCGCTGCACAGCTATTTTCAGGTCTCTCCAGAGATGTTCGATAAGGTTCAAGTCCGGGCTTTGGCAGGGCCACTCAAGGACATTCAAAGACTTGTCCCGAAGCCACTCCTGCATTGTCTTCGCTGTGTGCTTAGGGTCGTTGTCCTGTTGAACCTTTGCCCCAGTCTGAGGTCCTGAGCGCTCTGGAGCAGGTTTTCATCAAGGATCTCTCTGTACTTTGCTCCGTTCATCTTTCCCTCGATCCTGACTAGTCTCCCAGTCCCTGCCGCTGAAAAACATCCCCACAGCATAATGCTGGCACCACCATGCTTCACCGTAACGGTTGGTGCTAGGTTTCCTCCAGACGTGACGCTTGGCATTCAGGCCAAAGAGTTCAATCTTGGTTTCATCAGACCAGAGAATCTTGTTTCTCATGGTCTGAGAGACCTTTAAGGTGCTGTCATAGGCCTTTTACTGAGGAGTGGCTTCCACCTGGCCACTCTACCATAAAGGCATGATTGGTGGAGTGCTGCAGAGATGGGTGTCCTTCTGGAAGGTTTTCCCATCTCCACAGAGGAACTCTGGAGCTCTGTCAGAGTGACCACTGGGTTATTGGTCACCTCCCTGACCAAGGCCCTTCTCCCCCGATTGCTCAATTTGTAGTCTTGGTGGTTCCAAACTTCTTCCATTTAAGAATGATGGAGGCCACGTGGTTCCAAACTTTTTCCATTTAAGAATGATGGAGGCTACTGTGTTCTTGGGGACCTTCAATGCTGCAGACATTTTTTGGTACCCTTCCCCAGAACTGTGACTCGACACAATCCTCGGAGCTCTACTGACAATTCCTTCGACCTCATGGCTTGGTTTTTGCTCTGACATGCACTGTCAACTGTGGGACCTTATATAGACAGGTGTGTGCCTTTCCAAATCATGTCCAATCAATTGAATTTACCACAGGTGGACTCCAATCAAGTTGTAGAAACATTTCAAGGATGATCAATGGAAACATTATTCACTTGAGCTCAATTTCGAGTCTCATAGCAAAGGGTCTGAATACTTATGTAAATAAGGTATTTCTGTTTTATTTTAAATACATTTGCAAAAAATTCTAAAAACCTGTTTTCACTTTGTCATTCTGGGTTATTGTGTGTTGATTGATGAGGAAAAACATTAATTTAATCAATTTAAGAATAAGGCTGTAACGTATCAAAATGTGGAAAAAGTCAAGGGGTATGAATACTTTCCGAATGCACTGTACAAAACTACCTCAATTACCTCGTACCACTGCACATGGACTCGGTACTAGTACCTCGTGTATATAGCCAAGTTATCGTTACTCATTGTGTTATTATTGTTTTCCAGGGGTTGGAACCGGTTCAGGGAACAGAACAGAAAACCGTAATATAAATACATTTTTCGAGGAACAGAACCAAAACTGAGAACGAAAGTGATCTATACTGTTCCGGGAACAGAACCGTTATGTTAAACGCATGGGAACCGGTTAATAACGTTATTTTACGTTCTGGGCATTTTTTCTTTCAGTCCCACAAAAGAACGCAACAAAGTGCCTATGCAAAGCCTTATTCCAGAGTCTGCCAGTGTGTGTGTGTGTGTAGGCTACCTCCATCTCCCCCTCACTCTGAAGCATAGTCTACTGTAGCTACTGACGTTACAAGCATGATTCAGAAATTAGGGAGAGAGATGTTTTATTGAAGAAGAATGGATTAACTTTTTCAATGCTAGTTAAGGATACTATAGTTAACACGTTTCACATTGGATTTATTAACTACAAAAAGGTAAGACTTTTTTTATTTTAATTCTGGTGCCGCTCTGAACACATAAGCTTGTTAGCTAGCTAGCTAGCTCTGGTCTAGCTCTTGAAAACTCTAGGTGGCATTATGTGTAATGTAGAGAGTCATGATCAAGGGCTAGCTCTGGTCCAATGTTAGTTAAGCCAACTCTCAGAAGTTCAAAGACATTCAAAGTTCCTTCATAGAAGCCGCTCCTCTGTAGGTATAATTCTGTGGTATTGTTGTGAATTGTTAGATACTACTGCACTGTTGAAGCTAGGAACACAAGCATTTCGCTACACCCGCAATATCATCTGCTAAATAAAATGTGTCAAATAATATTTGATTTGACATAGCTTGCCCACTCCATAGCAAGCTTCTCTGTCCATTAATGAAGTCATTTCATGTCGAGCTAAATGTAAAAAGTTCTGAACTTTATTTTGCTAGTCGGAACAGTGGAACTGAACGAAAAAAAATAATGGTTCTGTTCAGAACGAAAGGATTGGAAAATTATTTCGGTTCCAGCACCTGCATTGTTGGGAAGAGCCCATAAGTAAGCATTTCACTGTTAGTCTACACCTGTTGTTTACGAAGCATGTTACAAATACAATTTGATTTGATTGATTTGATAGTACACTCCATGAATGGTGGTACAATTTGCAAAAGCTTGAGTGCACAAATGTAATCAAATGAGAAGACTGTGCTAATGCAATGAGGCCAGTTGTGCACAGTTGTCACGATCGTCAAAAGGAGCGGACCAAGGCGCAGCGTGGAATGCGAACATACTTTATTTATATTCACCACACGAACAAAAACAACAAAACGATACGTGAAGTCCACGGTCAAATACACAAACCAACACGGAACAACATCCCACAAACACAACTGCCCAAACGGCTGCCTAAGTATGGTGCCCAATCAGAGACAACAAGCAACAGCTGATTCACGTTGCCTCTGATTGAGAACCACCCCGACCAACATAGAAACACATGAACTAGAAACTGAAACATATAACACAAAACATAGACACTACACACCCTGGCTCAACATAAAAGAGTCCCTAGAGCCAGGGCGTGACAACAGTTAACCAGTCAAGGCGTTCAAGAGGGACAAATAGATGCATGAATATGATTCTCCAGTCCAGCTTGGCCAGCTCTGGGAGGGCTTGGTTGTCTCAAACAGTTTCATAGTCCTGCAGTTAGGAGAAACACACATTACGAACATTACAAACATCTGGCAATGGTGAAACTGGAAACATGAGGGGGCGGTTACGCAACTCTGACATTAAACAGAAGCCCACAATAAACGAAATACAGTGTTCTCACCGAATTTAGGCCACGGGTAGTTTTATTTGTAGGACATAAAAGACTGTAAAAACACCAGGAAATCAGCACCAAGTGATTGTAATTTAAGAAATCTGTTCCCAAATATTCCCACACATAATAGAGAGACACGTGATATTATACAAATGTAAGCAAGGTTTGAAATTATTATGTTTTTGTCAAACATTATATATTTTTGTGCTTCTTGCGGTCAATTTGCAGTCTACAAATTATTTGTAACTATGTTCCGGTCCCCCGACCATCCGTTCAAGAAAAAAAATCAGCCCGCGACTGACTCTAGTTGATGATCCCTGCAATAGGGTGTCCAATCAAAAACACAGATTTTTACCAATAGGTAAAATAATATGTTAATTATGTAGATATTTTCTCTAAGAAAACCAATGGTCCAAACCTTACGTCTCCATCATAATCTGTTCAAAAGTAATTTGAGTTTTTACCCTTGTAGGAGGGCCAGCTATTACATATGCACTATTCCGAACCACAGCGATAAGGGGAAGATAAATAATTCCACAAATGCAATGAACCATTGAGGAATTGGCACATTAACACGTATAGAATAACGGAATGAAAGGAGGAGAAAGAGAGTGACACAATAAACAGAGTGAAAGTATTATAATGTAGATAAAATAAAAAGGGAGAAAGGAATGGGGAGGAGGAGGACTTAATCGGCTATGTTTATTTGAAATGTCACTAAAAGGCCACCATTAATGTTACAAGGGAAATAAAAACATTTGTGACCTCGTCCTGTGTGTGTAAACGTTGTGTTATTACCATCTATAAATGTTTTATAAACTCATTACCAAGGGGACAAGGAGGATCATTTGTCCATTTGAACACCAGACAGAACAAGGAACATGGAATGCTTCCTTTACTTTATCTTTGTATTTCTAATCAATTCTCTACAGACCAGAAAATCCATTGAGCAAAACCCAGCTACACTCAAGGATTCTAGCTAGACTCTAGGGTTGCATCCCAAATGCCACCCTATTCCCTATATAGTGCACTAGTTTTGACCAAGGCCCATTGCGCTTTGGTCAAAAGTAGTACACTACACTCTTAGAAAAAAGGATTCCAAAACGGTTCTTCAGCTGTCCCCATTGGAGAACCCTTTTGGGTTCCATGTAGAACCCTTTGTAGAAAGGGTTCTACATACAACCCAAAAGGGTTCTACCTGGAACCAAAAGGGTTCTGCCTGCTACCTAAAAGGGTTCTTCAAAGGGTTATCCTATGGGGACAGCCGAATAACCCTTTAAGGTTCTAGATAGCACCTTTTTTTCTAAGAGTGTATATAGGGTATAGGGTGCCAATTGGGACGCATGCTAGCTGCTAGAGCAACCTTCCCAGCCAGCCTCTGAAGAACCCAATAACACAATTTGCCCTTTTTTAGCAATCATTAGGTTGTCAAGTTTTATTACACTCAAGCACCTGAAGGCCGTTCAATTTGCTGTGACCATTACCTGTACTGGTTAAGTGTTTGTTTAATGGTACACCGGAGGATTGTGTGTGACATATGAGATACAGATGGAAGGCCTGTGGCGCTTGGCAATGGCATCCTTCATTCAACACAACTCATGCGTCTCCTCAGTCCTCGCTCGGGTAGATCACATCTCCTCCGCTCTCTCTTCCGACTTCCTCTGGTTCTGCTTTGTCATAATCCCACATCTCCTCAGGGGACCTCCATCCCATATTAAAAGTGGAAATGTATCCGCTTCCATTGTAATTAGGAAACCACTGGAGGCACAGGCGCTTGATCTCAGCTGGATCTGACCTCCTCTGTTTTCCTTTATTTACTTGCCTCGCTTATCCGAGGGGACAGAGAGAGGCAGAGCTCTCAGTTATGTTTTTCTTAAACTTTTTTTGGGGGAGTCTTTGCATGTCATTTGCTTAAAAGTTTTGGAGACTTTGTTTTCTTCCTCATGCATGTTTTAAATGAGAGGCCATGAGAAAATACACAAACCTTAAAGGATAGAGGGATGGTGGCATGCTTTGATTGCTAGGATTTGTCTGGCATAAACAGCTCTAGGCGTTGCGAAACCGCCAATGGGTCTAAAGCCGTAACTTTTCTTGTAGCTGTTGCATGGCGGGGGAGAAATTGCTTTCTTCAGGGACAAAAAAAAACAAATAAACGCTAAGAAAACATTCGGCCTGGTTTCCCGTAAAATCAAATCAAATCAAAATTGTATTTGTCACATGCGCCGAATACAACGGGTGTAGACCTTACTGTGAAATGCTTATTTACGAGCCCTTAACCAACAACGCAGAGTTTAAAAAAAGTTAGAAAAATTTGCCAAATAAACTAAAGGAAAAATAGTAACACAATAAAATAACAATAACGAGGCTGTATAAAATGGGTACCGGTACCGAGTCAGTGTGCAGGGGTACGGGTTAGTCGAGGTAGTTGAGGTATTATGTACATGTAGGTAGGGGTAAAGTGACAATGCATAGATAATAAACAGAGAGTAGCAGCAGCATATGTAAAGAGTGTGAAGGAATGTGAATGTACTGTATGTTTGTGTGTGTGTGGCTTCAATATGCATGTGTGTGTGTTTTGTGTGTGTGTTTCCATGTGTGGGTGTTGGAGTGTAAGTGTAGTATGTGTGAGTGTGTGGTTAGAGTCCAGTGAGTGTACATCGAGCCTGTGCAAGACAGTCAGTGCAAAAAATACGAATAAAATAAGGGGGTCAATGCAAATAGTCTGGGTAGCCATTTGATTAACTGTTCAGCAGTATTATGCCTTGGGGATAGAAATAAACAGCCCAGTGAAAGTGTGTGTCTGCGTGGTGTGGGAATCGGGTCGAGGGCAAAGCAGCGTTTGATGAATCCAGGGATCAGATGGAACCGACACAGGTTAGCGGGAGACTGAGATCCACCAACAGGGTGTGACCAAGCATCCTACACAAACACTGAGGTCCACATGACAACCAGAGTCTAGGGTGTGTCAGTGTGTTTGTGAATCAAGAGTAGTATATACCAGATTCAGACACAGACAGTCACCAGCCCTAGCCAGGTCCCAGAACTGTTTGTGCTGTCTTGCCAACTTCTATGGTTATTTATTTATTTTTATTTAACCTTTATTTAACCAGGTAAGCCAGTTGAGAACAAGTTCTCATTTACAACTGTAACCTGGCCAAGATAAAGCAAAGCAGTGCGATAAAAACAACAACACAGAGTTACATATGGGGTAAAACCAAACATAAAGTCAAAAATACAACAGAAAATATATATACAGTGTGTGCAAATGTAGCAAGTTATGGAGGTAAGGCAATAAATAGGCCATAGTGCAAAATAATTACAATTAGTATTAACACTGGAATGATAGATGTGCAAGAGATGATGTGCAAATAGAGATACTGGGGTGCAAATGAGCAAAATAAATAACAATACGGGGATGAGGTAGTTGGGTGGGCTAATTTCAGATGGGCTGTGTACAGGTGCAGTGATCGGTAAGGTGCTCTGACAACTGATGCTTAAAGTTAGTGAGGGAGATAAGAGTCTCCAGAGATTCTTGCAGTTCGTTCCAGTTATTGTCGGCAAGACAGCACAAACAGATCTGGGACCAGGCTAAATTACCCCTGCTCTAGTCAATAGGAGACATTCCTCAGGGATATGGCTGGGGAACATGGTGTACCATAGCTATGACACTCAGCACATGACCACAACCGACATGACCACAACCGTAACCAAAACCATTGCTTGTTTCTTTTATTCACTAAAGGAATGTTCATTGTTTATAGACGAGTTGGCTGACAACGTCACAAAAATGATGCACACGCATCGATGTGGCCGGAAGCCGTGCTTTGTTATGATTCTGAACGGTCAGACAGCTAGCAACAGTTACAAGAAGCTGCCATGTGGGGAATCGCAGGTGGTTTGTTTCAGCTAGTTGTATCTTGTTCTTGATACCATGTCTTGTTTTGACTTATTTCATGTTAATGCTAATATGGCTCAAATTCATTAGCTAGCTAACCAACAACTGTAACAATGTATTTGAGAGACGTGCTCATTGTGCAAATGTATTTATGTTTTCAATAAACATTTGGATACTAAATATAGTTTACATGTTGTCAACAATCGAAGCCTACCCCGTCTGTTTTGCCCCATAGTTGGGCACAACCAACCCGTCTATATACAACTGAGTGTGAGTAAAGTCAAAAACATTTGGTTCTTTACACGCAATTGAAGTCACTGAAGTTGTTGTGGTACTGGTGATGGTACTTGTGAAAGCAATTGTAACAATAACAGCAGAAGAAGTAGTCGTTATAGAATGTACACTACAGTGGTATGGGTCAGGGGGAGTGCAGTGCCATTGGTAGAGGTGCCTATAGCTACCGTCATAGTGTGCAGCAGCATGTGATGTTACTGTTAACATACTGAATCTAAGGTTTATTGAACCAGCATCTTATCAACACAGGGTAACAAAGAATAGTATGCAACATGAAACAAAATGGAGACTGATGGTTATCACCTACTACGCTACAGTATGTTCAATCAGTCCTTCACTATTCACACGCAAGAACTTCAGGGGGGTCTCTCCATGTTGGTGGATACAGGGGATCTCAGAGATGCACGGAAGGTGAGGGGGGTTTCAGGATGTTTGATTGCTTTGGTGGGATTAGCCAGATGTGTTGCCCACTACACACTGTATGTCAGTGTGATAACAGATAAACATTCATTTCCCATCTCTCATTTAATATGACCCACATCACAGTAATAAATAGATAAGCTACTTCAAGTATTTTGCTCTATGCGATCTGATCTGAAACGCAGTTTACCTTTTCCATTGATGTTTGTAGGCCAAGTCTGAATACTTTAATGTACCATTTCTCGAGTAGAGAATATTTCATAAATAAACATAATACATATCATCAAATTCCTCACCTTTTCTGGCCATGATGAGTTCATATTCCCACAGTAGCAATAGAACAAATTACCACGCACATCTCTCATTTAATTGGCCTATTAGATAGGCTATTATAATTTCAAGTTTTTGCTCAATGCATCCGAAAGGGAGCACGGTATATATCAGAGTAGAATTGAACATGTGAACAGACAGTTGATCTTTTGCATTGAAATGTGTAGGCTACCACTGTAAGTAGGCCTACTATATTTTTTTTAAATCAGAATTTGCGGGCAGTGCAGCATAGGTCCGGAAAAAGTAAATGCTAAAAATGATTGAATTCACACTCTTGGCATTCTCTCAACCAGCTTCATGAGGTAGTCACCTGGAATGCATTTCAATTAACAGGTGTGCCTTCTTAAAAGTTAATTTGTGGAATTTCTTTCCTTCTTAATGCGTTTGAGCCAGTCAGTTGTGTTGTGACAAGGTAGCGGGGGTAAGCCCTATTTGGTAAAAGACCAAGTCCATATTATGGCAAGAACAGCTCAAATAAGCAAAGAGAAATTACAGTCTATCATTACTTTAAGACATGAAGGTCAGTCAATACTGAACATTTCAAGAACTTTGAAAGTTTCTTCAAGTGCAGTCGCAAAAACCATCAAGCGCTATGATGGAACTGGCTCTCATGAGGACCGCCACAGGAATGGAAGACCCAGAGTTACCTCTGCTGCAGAGGATAAGTTCATTAGAGTTACCAGTCTCAGAAATTGCAGCCCAAATAAATGCTTCACAGAGTTCAAGTAACAGACACATCTCAACATCAACTGTTCAGAGGAGACTGTGTGAATCAGGCCTTCATGGTCGAATTGCTGCAAAGAAACCACTACTAAAGAACACCAACAAGAAGAAGAGACCTGCTTGGGCCAAGAAACATGAGCAATGGACATTAGACCAGTCCAAATTTGAGATTTTGGGTTCCAACCGCCGTGTCTTTGTGAGACGCGGTGTGAGTGAACGGATGGAGGAGGTGTTATGGTGTGGGGGTGCTTTGCTGGTGACACTGTCTGTGATTTATTTAGAATTCAAGGCACACTTAACCAGCATGGCTACCACAGCAGTCTACAGCGATACGCCATCCCATCTGGTTTGGGCTTAGTGGGATTATCATTTGTTTTTCAACAGGACAATGACCCAGGCTGTGTAAGGGCTATTTGACCAAGAAGGAGAGTGATGGAGTGCTGCATCAGATGACCTGGCCTCCACAATCCCCCGACCTCAACCCAATTGAGATGGTTTGGGATGAGTCGGACCGCCGAGTGAAGGAAAAGCAGCCAACAAGTGCTCAGCATAAGTGGGAACTCCTTCAAGACTGTTGGAAAAGCATTCCAGGTGAAGCTGGTAGAGAGAATGCCAAGAGTGTGCAAAGTTGTCATCAAGGCAAAGGGTGGCTGTTTGAAGATTCCCAAATATAAAATATACTTTGATTTGTTTAACACTTTTTGGTTTACTACATGATTCCATATGTGTTATTTCATCGTTTTGATGTCAATTATTATTTTGGGAAACTATTATTGTGATTCATCCTATACTGTCCCTAACATCATTACCCCATAGCAACAGATGTGGGATACATACACACACTCTCCCCACCCTTCCCCCACAAACAACAACAAGCTCATACCAACTCAAGAAAATATTTGATGTGCGAATGCATATACAGTTGTAGCTTTTTGAGAAGGCATGCAAAATTGAGCAAGAATGGGGAGATTTGATTAACCAATGTCAATGTCAGAGACACCCCTTTCCCCTGAAACACACACGCTGGTCCCCCATTTCCCAAGCATCTTTGAGCAGTCAGACCTTTCGATAATTTTGTGCCGCCAGAGGCACAATAATTTGCCCCCTCCCCATGGGTTACTGCAGTTAGTGTTGCCAGCACTGCCACTACCTGGGTGGGGGTACTCCACTGGAATTCCCACCAGCTAGGTACAAGGTCTTTAAGGTTATCATTAGCAGCTTTGAGAAATTCCTTGTATATAATGCTCACCCACCCAGGGGCTTTGGCTTTGTTTGACCTTCCCTGCCAGGCAGGCACAGACTCTTGGGAGCAGTGTATCTTTCTGTCTTGGCTGCGTATAGGCTACCTGTCCTTAGTGTGTGGGTCACTCAGGTGGATGTCTAGGGTATAGGTTTGGGGGCCGTTCCATCATGATATGGCAATAAATAAATAAACGATATTTGTAATTTATTTAAAAATGTATATCCCATATCTGCACAAAACTGAAAACTCTCTCTGTCACAACTCCTGCTCGCAGACACACATGGGCTCTGGCATTTGCAACCATTTTCCTTTTTCACTAACTTAACTAACCACAATTTCCACCACCGCCACACTTCCCCCCACATACAACCGTACATACCCACATACTGTGCCTTCTATGTCCTCTGTTTGCTCTGTTCTTATCTCTACCATGTTGATTCCTACCTACAGTTGGTTATCAATGTACAGTTTATCGACTACGAGAGCTACATGTTTCCCTTTTAGTCTATTCACTTTGAAGAGTGGGTACAGAGCTTTGCACCATTCTGCAATTTCCTTCAGGAACTGATCATTCATACCTATTTTCGTGCCAGCAAGTTTTTTGCCAGGCGTTTAACCATAATTGTATCTTTAAAGAATGCAAATATGGCAACGTTTGGGCGCTCGTATCGCTGTCCTCTCTGTCCAAAACGATGTACACGTACGAGTTTAATTTTGTCGACAGTATCGCCTGGGCTCTGTAGCACTTTAACCTGGAATTCTTTCACCACACTCTGGATCTTCACCCTCATAATACCGGTAAGTACCACATTTTCTCGCATAGAGCTAGTCTGTATTTCAGGTAAGGCTTTTCTCAGAAACATGTTCTCTTTTTGAAGTTCTTTAACGTCTGTTTCAATAGTATTGACTGTACCTTTTAGCTTGTTTCTTTCTTTCTCCACTGTCACCGCTTTTTCCTCACTCATCTCGAGGCTCGCCTTCAACTCCTTTATATCTTAATAGACTAGTTCTAGTACGCCCAATTTATCTTTTATCGACTTTAGCAAGTCGGTTTCTACACTTACCGTTCCAGGTGGTGAAAAGCATAAATCGTCTGTGTCAGTCGAGGAGTCTCGTTTTCTTTTGAGGATTGGTTCTCAATGCTTACTCTCCGACATGTTTTGGTGTTGACTGTGTTGGTAATATTGGTCGATACATTTTTCTAGCCTTATAATTTGTTTTGTGTTGTTATCCAGATGGAAGGTTATTGCCCACAAGTATGTGGAGTGAAGTGCTAATATTTAGCCAGATATACAGATATTGAATATTACGTTTCTATCTTGAGGCATTCTGCACTGCTGTCTTCAGTCTGCCATTGTTCCTGGCTTCAGTCCCTTCAAGGTCTTATGAGACTTACCCAAATACTTACTCAAAAAGACTCAGGAAGAGTTGAGTTGGTTTTGTGCGTGCGCAGTCTTTTCATAAATATTTAGTGTAACATTTACGGATATAAATCAGGGCCCCAGGAGATTGAGAGAGACAGGGAAGGTGGAAGAGAGTGTGGAGAGGTGGAGAGAGAGAAGGGGAGACATGAGAGAGCAAAGGGAGTGCAATGGAGAGTGCAGTGAGCACAGCTATACAGTACGTGTTTGAGAGTACTCACTGCTGGCTGTCTCAGGCAGTAGGCGTAGCTGGTGTGCGTGGGGTGGTGATGGAGGTGGTGGTGGGCCGGGTAGTGCAGGCTGGCACGGGGGTAGGAGACGGAGTGGGCACTCCAGGCCTCCTGAACACCGCTGGTCCACTGGGAGCTGAAGCCTGCTGGGCTCATGGCCGTCTTACTGCTGTGGTATCCTCTCACCGCTGCACTGGGCTGAGGGAGGAGTGGGGACAAATGTTACTGCTCAAAAATAATATAATATATAGTGGCTTGCGAAAGTATTCACCCCCCCTTGGCATTTATCCTATTTTGTTGCCTTACAACCTGGAATTAAAATATACTTTTTGGGGGTTTGTATCATTTGATTTACACAACATGCCTACCACGTTGAAGATGCAAAATATTTTTTATTCTGAAACAAACAAGAAATAAGACAGAAAAACAGAAAACTTGAGCGTGCATAACTATTCACACCCCCAAAGTCAATACTTTGTAGAGCCACCTTTTGCAGCAATTACAGCTGAAAGTCTCTTGGAGTATGTCTCTATAAGCTTGGCACATCTAGCCACTGGGATTTTGCCCATTCTTCAAGGCAAAACTGCTCCAGCTCCTTCAATTTGGTTGGGTTCCGCTGGTGTACAGCAATCTTTAAGTCATACCACAGATTCTCAATGTTTCCCCTTAAACCACTCAAGTGTTGCTTTAGCAGTATGCTTAGGGTCATTGTCCTGCTGGAAGATGAACCTCCGTCCCAGTCTCAAATCTCTGGAAGACTGAAACCGTTTCCCTCAAGGATTTCCCTGTATTTAGCGCCATCCATCATTCCTTCAATTCTGACCAGTTTCCCAGTCCCTGCCGATGAAAAACATCCCCACAGCATGATGCTGCCACCACCATGCTTCACTGTGGGGATGGTGCTCTCGGGGTGATGAGAGGTGTTGGGTTTGCGCCAGACATAGCGTTTTCCTTGATGGCCAAAAAGCTCAATTTTAGTTTCATCTGACCAGAGTACCTTCTTCCATATGTTTGGGGAGTGTCCCACATGCCTTTTGGCGAACACCAAACGTGTTTGCTTATTTTTTCTTTAAGAAATTGCTTTTTTCTGGCCACTCTTCCGTAAAGCCCAGCTCTGTGGAGTGTACGGCTTAAAGTGGTCCTATGGACAGATACTCCAATCTCCATTGTGGAGCTTTGCAGCTCCTTCAGGGTTATCTTTGGTCTCTTTGTTGCCTCTCTGATTAATGCCCTCCTTGCCTGGTCCATGAGTCTTGGTGGGCGGCCCTCTCTTGGCAGGTTTGTTGTGGTGCCATAATCTTTAAAATTTTTCATAATGGATTTAATGGTGCTCCGTGGGATGTTCAAAGTTTCGGATATGTTTTATAACCAACCCTGATCTGTACTTCTCCACAACTTTGTCCCTGACCTGTTTGGAGATCTCCTTGGTCTTTATGGTGCCGCTTGCTTGGTGGTGCCCCTTGCTTAGTGGTGTTGCAGACTCTGGGGCCTTTCAGAACAGGTGTATATATACTGAGATCATGTGACACTTAGATTGCACACAGGTGGACTTTATTTAACTAATTATGTGACCTCTGAAGATAATTGGTTGCACCAGATCTTATCTAGGGGCTTCATAGCAAAGGGGGTGAATACATATGCACCTACCACTTTTCCGTTATTTATTTTTTAGAATATTTTGAAACAAGTAATTTTTTTCATTTCACTTCACCAATTTGGACTATTTTGTGTATGTCCATTACATGAAATCCAAATAAAAATCAATTTAAATTACAGGTTGTAATGCAACAAAATAGGAAAAATGCCAAGGGGGATGAATACTTTTGCAAGGCACTGTATGTAATTTAGCAGACACTTTAATCCAAAGGGAGTTACAGTTGTGCGTGCGTACATTTTCGTATGGGTGGCACCAACGGGAATTAAACTCAAGATCCCGCCGTTGCAAGGGTCATGATCTACCAACTGAGCTACAAGTTGCCATCTCGCTCTCCATGCAAACCCTCACAACCGGGTGCCCACACATTTACCTGAAACCATCGCAGGAGGAGGAGGAGGCTCTTGATGAAAGATCTCCATTCTGGAATGTTCTCACTTTATTTTCTCTCACTCCCATTCGTTCCTGAGCAGCTGTTGAGAAACCCACCCCTCCAAACCCACCAGTCACGGTCTAGATGTGTTCTTGCTAGAAATGTGCCGATGGGTTTGATAAGATTCTTGGATTAGAGTCTGGCAGCGTGCAGCCCGTTTGGCATGATGTGTGGGTATTAGCAGGGCACAGGAACTACTGTGGTAAATCTTGCTGACAGGCTAAGCTTACACTGCTCTAAGAGGGATGCCTGTAGCATGCTATGACTACTGGAGCAAGGAGAACTTTGGAACTACTGAGGCTGGTCTTTGACTTACACACTGAGAGAGATGGAATGACGAAAAGAGAGATGGAAAGAGTGATAAAGAAAATAAAAGACTGACAGAGAACAATATCTGTGAATTATGATGACGTCCCAAAACTATTCAATCAATTTATTACAGGCATTTTGATCCAAATTCCACTCTGCTGTCATGTCTACATATTATGTTTCATGACAGAGGGAATTGTTATTTGTGAAATATGAGGACCAAATATGAAGAGCCATATTTTAGTTTTGTGTAACTGTGAGGCATGCGAAGTAAAGCCACGTCAGAAGAACTGCAGCTATACATCACGGCCAAACATTAACAGTCTTGTTTATGCGTATGTTAGATTTGCACAGGGGTCAGGGGTCGCCTCACTGGGGGGAGACTCTAGAGAGAGCGATGGATGCAATCTGGCCACACAGCTGTGCTCCCAAACCCCTCCAGTCTAATGCGCTGGATCGCAGAGGAGACCGGTGGGGAAAAGTTCACCTAAATAAATAGGACCCCCCCCCCCCCCCCCCCACTCCTGCGTTGTCTTCAATCTTGGTTTCATCAGACCAGAGAATCTTGTTTCTCATGGTCTGAGAATCTTTAGGTGCTTTATGGTAAACTCCAAGTGGGCTGTCATGTGCCTTTTACTGAGGAGTGGCTTCCGTCTGGCCACTCTACCATAAAGGCCTGTTTGGTGGAGTGCTGCAGAGATGGTTGTCCTTCTGGAAGGTTATCCCGTCTCCACATAGGAACTCTAGAGCTCTGTCAGAGTGAGCTTAGGGTTCTTGGTCACCTCCCTGACCAAGGCCCTTCTCCCCCGATTGCTCAGTTTGGCTGGGCGGCCAGCTCTAGGAAGAGTCTTGTTGGTTTTAAACTTCTTCCATTTAAGAATGATGGAGGCCACTGTGTTCTTGGGGACCTTCAATGCCGCAGATATTTTTTGGTACCCTTCCCCAGATCTGTGCCTCGACACAATCCTGTCTCGGAACTCTACGGACAATTCCTTCGACCTCATGGCTTGGTTTTGCTCTGAGATGCACTGTCAACTGTGGGACCTTATATACACAGGTGTGTGCCTTTCCAAATAATGTCCAATCAATTTAATTGACCAAAGGTGGACTCCAATCAAGTTGTAGAAACATCTCAAGGATGATCAATGGAAACAGGATGCACCTGAGCTCAATTTCGAGTCTCATAGTAAAGGGTCTGAATACTTATGTAAATAAGGTATTTCTGCTTTTTATTTATAATACATTTGCAAAAATATCTAAAAATCTGTTTCCGCTTACTCATTATGGGGTATTGTGTGCAGATTGCATAGGATTTTTATTTATTTAATCAATTTTAGAATAAGGCTGTAACATAACAAAATGTGGAAAAAGTCAAGGGGTCTGAATACTTTCCGAAGGCACTGTACATTATTAGCAATGTCCGATAATTTAAGGGCAGTATTCACCAGTTCGTAGAGTTTAAGTGCCGCCTACAGCTAAGCAAACATGTTCATTGGGCTTATAAATGAGGACTATTGAGGCAGACCTTCAGAAAAAGGCATATAGTTTTCCCATTCAGAGGTATTTGTCCAGGCCAATAACTCTCTGGGGAGAGATATGTTTTATATATGTTTCCTACACATAGAGTTATACAAGACTACAGAGTCATTGACATGCAGCTAAAGCTCCTATGGGCACAGAAATATTCAGCCACATCATACAGGGAAGGGGGCTGTTTCTTAAAACATGAAGGGGAGATCAGAGGGTCTTGACACACCTAGACTGGAATGTGTGATTGTTCCCCAGAGTCTGGCTTCGTGACACAAGCTTTCAGCAGCTCGTCAGAGCCTTACACACTGCACATATTTATACATTTTATATGAGGACCAATCGGCTCTGGTTACACAAGTCTTTTCCTGTTCTGAGGGGCATGTTTTACTTGCGGATGAACAGATGTGCATGCACTCAGATGTGTAAATGTCCAACTTATAGATTGATACAAATCGGCATAGTTTGGGTGCGGGGGTACTGCAATTTTTTTCAGACCGGGGGGGGGGGACGCAGATAAAAAAACTGGCCGCGCTGAAGTCGTCTATATCGGTCTGCTAATACAGGACTAGTAAAGGCCCTGTGCACTACTTTTGTGAAAGAAATTTAACTAAATGTATTTGAGTGTTTACCAGCATGTGTAACTTGAATCTTATAATTATCTGTACAAAACAGTTAATCTGTGGAATATAAAAATGCTTGCTAGATATATGTTTTCCTGTTTCTTGAAATACTTTGCAAATGCAACTTATTTCTATGTGAAAACTGAAATGGTCTATTCATTCCTTTTTCATTTTAGTACACACTCTTATCCAGAGCAACTTACAGTAGTGAGTGCATACATTTTCATACTTTTTCGTACTGGTCCCCCATGGGAATCGAACCCACAACCCTAGCATTGCAAGTGCCATGCTCTACCAACTGAGCCACATCACATCATCACAAACAATTTACAGTGCCTTCGGAAAGTATTCAGACCCCTTGACTTTTTCCACATTTTGTTAGGTTACAGCCTTATTCTAAAACTGATTAAATTGTTTTTTCCCCTCATTAATCTACACACAATACCCCATAATGACAAAGCAAAAATAGGTTTTTAGATATTTTTGGTAATAAAAAAAATTAAAAAAATAAAAAATATATTACATTTACATAAGTATTCAGACCCTTTACTCAGTACTTTGTTAAAAGCACCTTTGGCAGCGATTACAGCCTCGAGTCTTCTTGGGTATGACGCTACAAGCTTGGCACACCTGTATTTGGGGAGTTTCTCCCATTCTTCTCTGCAGATCCTCTCAAGCTCTGTCAGGTTGGATGGGGAGCGTTGCTGCACAGCTATTTTCAGGTCTCTCCAGAGATGTTCGATCAGGTTTAAGTCTGGGCTCTGGCTTGGCCACTCAAGGACATGCAGAGACTTGTCCCGAAGCCACTCCTGCATTGTCTTAACTGTGTGCTTAGGGTCGTTGTCCTGTTGGAAGGATAACCTTCACCCCAGTTTGAGGTCCTGAGAGCTCTGGAATAGGTTTTCATCAAGGATCTCTCTGTACTTTGCCTCTGTTCATATTTGCCTCGATCCTGACTAGTCTCCCAGTCCCTGCCGCTGAAAAACATCCCCACAGCATAATTCTGCCACCACCATGCTTCACCGTAGGGATGGTGCCAGCTTTCCTCCAGACGTGACGCTTGGCATTCAGGCCAAAGAGTTCAATCTTGGTTTCATCAGACCAGAGAATCTTGTTTCTCATGGTCTAAGAGTCTTTAGGTGCCTTTTGGCAAACTCCAAGCGGGCTGTCATGTGCCTTTTACTGAGGAGTGGCTTCTGTCTGGCCACTATACCATAAAGGCCTGATTGGTGGAGTGCTGCAGAGATGGTTGTCCTTCTGGAAGGTTCTTTCATCTCCACAGAAGAACTCTGGAGCTGTCAAAGTGACCATCGGGTTCTGACCAAGGCCCTTCTCCCCCGATTGCTCAGTTTGGCCAGGCGTCCAGCTCTAGGAAGTCTTGTTGGTTTTAAACTTCTTCCATTTAAGAATGATGGAGGCCACTGTGTTCTTGGGGACCTTCAATGCTGCAGATTTTTTTGGTACCATTCCCCAGATCTGTGCCTCGACACAATCCTGTCTCGGAACTCTACGGACGATTCCTTTGACCTCATGGCTTGGTTTTTGCTCTGACATGCACTGTCAACTGTGGGACCTTATATAAACAGGTGTGTGCATTTCCAAATCCTGTCCAATCAATTTAATTTACCACAGGTGGACTCCAATCAAAGTTGTAGAAACATCTCAAGGATGATCAATGGAAACAGGATGCACCTGAGCTCAATTTCAAGTCTCATAGCATAGGGTCTGAATACTTATGTAAATAAGGTATTTCTGTTTTTAATTTTTAATACATTTGCAAAAAATTCTAAAAACCTGTTTTTGCTTTGTCATTATGGGGTATTGTGTGTAGATTGCTGAGGATTTTTTTCATTTTATCACTTTTAGAATAAGGCTGTAACGTAACAAAATTTTGAAAAAGTCAAGGGGTCTGAAAACTTTTCAAAGGCATTGTATGTCTCAATGTACTCAATTACTGTATTATAAAAATTTAAAAATCATGGTGATGGAAATTCTACAGGCACAAACCTAGATGACCAGCCATGTATATTTACATTAACTGATTTGTAAGGGATGGTAAATTAATACTGCACAAAACATGTTTGTTTTCCATGTTATTTGATCAAGAAAAACATTTAATTTGATGTGGATGTTTTGTGTCTTTGCCCATAACGTTGCACCTTTTGATGTAAATGTTTGAGGACAGGGTTTTGTGCTTTCTGGATACCATTAGAATGACAATCACAGAGAAACGGACAGGGCAAAAACTCTTACAAGATACTGTTCTTAATTGCACAACTATCTTTTTGGACAAAGCGGAGATGGCTGTATCGGTCCGCTACTTTTTATTTTTTATTAATCGTTTTATTTTTAAATTATTTTTCAGGGGGTGCTGCAGCACCCTCAGCACCCCTACTTCCCACGGCTATGCAAATCGGGTACCAGGCTCTTTAAATGCATATCCATCTTAAGCCATTCATGCCTAGCCTCTTTAAAATTTAAACACAATACTTCCATTTTAAGCTACTTCATGCCAAACATTACAATAGAAGATCTATAACAGGAGCTTGGATTCATCTTTATTCCAGCAAGTCCCCTTTTATATCATAATGCGTTCCGCAAACAGAGGGATGTGCGTTATCTTCTTGGTACAAGATATTTATTCAGTTTGAGGGAGAAGAACAATGTAATGATTTATATTCAACATACTGGGGGTGTTATCTGTACCATTTGTTCCCCCCAAAATACAAGTCCCATAAATCAGGGGGGATAAATGCCTCACCTTCAATGATGAGGAAGCGAGTCGTTACTACATTAATACATTTAGGAGGAGTTAAGGAACCAGAGCACAGTGACTGCATCCCAAATGGCACCCTATTCCCTTTAGAGCTTTAGCCCATAGAGCTCTGGTCAAAAGTAGTTCACTATAGGGAATAAGGTGCCATTTGGGAGGCATCCAGTGTCTCTCAGAATACAATTTTTCACGTGTGAGGCTGCTCTCTTCCTTTCCACCCTCTCTTCCCCTCAGTAAAACTGTGTGAGGAAGGAAGGGTGCCCAGGACAGACATGTATGGAATACAGAGCTCATTTGTTCTCCCATTACATGAACAAGGCATATGTATTACGTAGTTGATAGGTGTACTATAAAAGTACCAAACATCTTTTGAGAGCAGTGGGAGTCCACTAAAGACAGTAATCAGCTCTCTGAATATAAACTCCAGAACTCTTGGGTTAATCCCACCATGTGGTTCCCCCTCAGAAGAATACGATCTGACAAAACGATTCCTCGCTTTCCAGGAAATATCTGGGACCATGAAATCCCCGACACAAACCGAAAACAACCTCTTCTGAAATGGTTTGATAACCAACTACAGCCAATTACAGACATGTCCGATTGTTTTTGTATTGGGGTGATCTAACAGAAATAAAACTCTGTGAAATCCTACAGTTGTACGGTATCCCTGTGCAATATCGACTTTCTCGTAAGATGAGTCTAATAGCCTGAAGCTACAACCCTTCTTTGCACAAGTTATCTAACAGCATGTTTATTTTTTTCCAGGGATGTCAGGATGCATGCCGAACATAATTACAGTATATGTCCTTGGGGCTGTGTTGATGTTAGGTCCATTTGGTCTACAAGGAGAGCTGAGTCTCCAGCCTTCATTTGTATTCCAGGTCGGTGTGTCTGGGAGGCTTGTTGGGGGGGGGGGGGGGGGGGGGGTTGGTACTGTGACATCCCGAAGACAGTCAGATCCCAGACAGCGATGCCCGAGCTAAGCTTCCTGTCTGCTTTGCTTTGCTTTGGCTCTCCATCGAAGGAGCAGGGGTCCCAACTCAAAGGACTGTTCCTTCCCCTTCTCCCTTACGAAAAAAGATTGCAATCAGAGTGCAGTACAACTGCAGTCAGAGTGCAGTATAACTGCAGTTAGAGTGGAGTATAACTGCAGTATGCAGCAAATACTGCATCCAAAATAACACCGTTTTTTTACTGCAGTAATTTTATTGTAACTGCAGTTAGTCTGCAATTACTGCGTCTAAAATATCACAGTCGACTGCAGTTACAGCACTTTTACTGCAGTTTCAAAACTGCCATCTTTTTTTGTAAGGGCTCCATTGTGCTGTCTCCTGTACAGTCGAGACTTTTATGGATTTTCCAACGTTTATGGAAAATGACATAGAAACCACCATTACACGGATGTAAACCTCACATCACTTGTGAGGTCTCATTCGAAACCGATAAAAATGATGCTCCTCATTCGTAAAGTTCCAAAATGTGAACCCCAATGAGAAAATAACAGAGTGCAAAAGTACTTTTATTAAGAAGAAATTAGTAGTTTCAGGGTGACAGACACCAACTGACACAAAAGTCATACCAGATAGTATTAGGTTTAGGATATTGTCTTCCAGAGAAACCTCCACGCCTCGTTGCCCCGTTTGGCTGGGTATGAAAGAGATGCAGCCTCCCTGATAAATGGTTTCCTGAAACCTGTGTTGCATGAACCTCTGTCCCAGGTGCTCTCCATCGCCTACCGTCCCTACACAGTCACTTTGCAACATGCTGCCTTGTTTTTCTGTCAGTACATCTGTCAGAACTCGCCACATGAGGCTGGGTGAGAAGGGAAACGCTACTGGTTCCATGGGTCACTGCCCCCCCTTCCCTCACCAACCGAGGCAGACGACTGCATGGGTTCACACTTCTTTCTGGGTTGTTTCTCTACAGAGGATTGAGAGTGAGAACTTACCCTAGGGCCTACTGTAACTCTAGCTAGCACAGGGGGCTGAAGGGGGCCAACTTTCTCTCTTTCTCTCGCTTAACCTGCTTCTTTTCATGGTCAAAACACTTGAAGATCTGAGATGGTGGCTGGCTGGAGACATGCTGGAGGAGTGTAACCAAGGCAACCAGGTCCATTGAATTTTACTGTGTAAAAATACTGTGCGTTATAGGGAAATAATGCACACTCTAGAATGCCCTTCAAGCTCATCAGAAACGAGTATTCAACAATGCCATGGTATAAACAACTATAAACCTACCAGTTTTGCAGTGTGCCGCTACCTTCAAGAATTTGACACAGACACAAATTTGACACAGACACAAATTTGACACATAGAACACTATACATTGTTTATTCCAGTTTGACGAGACAACAATTATGTCTTCCGTAAACAGAGCTCTGATACTGGACAGTGGTGTGAAGCCCTCAGAGGTGTTGATAAAGATTTACTGGGTTGTCTCTGACCCAGTGGCGGCTCCTGAAAAAATTCTCAGGGGGGGGCATTTTTCTGATGATTTAGGTGACCTACACACATTTAAAAAAATATATGTCCAGCAACAACATGAAGACAGGGGCAGCATATAAGTCAATACCAGAAGCATTTATTGACTGATCTCAAAAGTGTTGGCTTACCAGGGTTGGTGGAGCCCTCAGTTTCATCTTTGCCTCGCAAAGCTAACTCAAACACTCCGCAAAACTTCACACACTGGATTAGCCGGCTGAGGATGTGGCGGTTCTTGCTAATGTCGTAGTAAATATATTTGTTATAGTGAATATGGAATATGATATGTTGAGTAAAATGTTGTGCTAAGATCTATTTAGGTCAGGAGCTGGTTATAAGTTCTGTTCCTATCCAATAACAATGGACAAAAGGGTCCTATCTTGTCAGCCTTGTCAGTTTCAGTTCTCCAGTAAACTTGTGATTATCAACACTAACCTCATCGTTGTGGCGGCGGACAGCTAGCCTGTATCCCTCATCCAGTTGAGTGGGAATGTTCACTCTCCCCAAAGCAGACAATCTCAAACAGCTATCCATGTGGGTCTTTGACAGCTCATGTTTCTTAATCTTTCCTGAAAGATGGTGCATGTCCGTTACACACCAGTCGCTGTCCAAGCGGTGCTGTCTGCCGTGCCGCCTTCAGGGTGAAAGAGTAAGCAGGGGGTAGCAGAAGACTGCATTAGCTACATCGCAGCCTGCTAGCCAGGTTTTTCGTTCGTACCAATTTTTGGAAAATCCTCGGGTGTAGGACTTCCCCCCTTTAGTAGAAACCTGTTGAATTATTAAATTTGGTCTGGGAGGTCCTAATTGTTTCGTTGCCAATTTATCTTCATTTGTTCGCCGACAAAAAGGAACTTCTTTCAAAGACACAATCGAGTTGCACTGAAGCCTAGCCATTTTCACAGTAGTAGTGAATTGATTGATGAGGCTACCCGCTCTTTTCTTAGTTACGTTCATGGTTATGTTACGTATGACGAAAGCGCGTAAGTGCAAGCCCTCAGAAACCCATAGAGATTGTATTGAAAGCTCTGATATTTGAAAAAAATAGATTTTACATGGGAGTCTATGACAGACTTCTGGGCGATTTTCAACCTGACTGAAATCGCCCCAAAAGGGGGGGGGCCATTTGAAGCACGACTTTAGCCTGATTGGACATTTAGTGGCACTGTGGCAGATCAGACGTCTAGATTACAACACTGATAACTACTGTTGCCGTGATATAATTGATTAGAAAAAAAATCCCTTCCTTTTCCCGTTTGGCAGTGCGTCGCCCATATCGCCCTATTGAACACACCGCCCCTGCTCTGACCTGAGAAACTCCCTGGTCAACCAAGATGCGCCATTCTACAAAGGAGCTCCCGAACCTGACACATGTCTGAGTCTTATCCATCCTCTCCAAATATTTTCCTTGGCCCTGACACATGTTTATGCACTGACGAACCTGGGGCCAGGGGGGTTGGGTACCGCTGTGAAGCCGGATGTGAAGCCCCCTGCATCCTGGAGTTCTTCTCTTCTGGGATGTGACTGACTGACTCGTCTACAGTTGTTACCGCAGGCTACTAGGCTGCGTCCCAAATGACACCGCATTCCATATATAGTGCACTACTATGGGCCCTGGTATAAGGAACTATATAAGGAATAGGGTGCCATTTGGGACACATCTCTAGTCTCAAGGGCTGCTCTGCTTGGCCTTGTGATAACTAACCCTCTCCAGCACTCCTGGAGCTCTCTTCAATGACCCATGTTTGGATACGTTGAGAAAAGAAGCAGTGGTCCACCCCCCACTGGAGAAAATACTAAAACATTTACAAAAAGGTACTTCAGGAAAAAGGGCAGACTGAGGCTATGACCATATACAGTCATTGGAGCAGCAAAACAATAACGGACTGGTTTCTTACTGTACAGTATGTAAAGCCAATGCAAGAATGCAAAAGTATGCAAATCTACTCAGCGATAAGGTTCATTATGACATAAGTACACGCCTCTGACACTTCACACCAGAGAACAGGCAGCCCTGTCTGAAAGCCGAAATGCCACGCCGTAACCTGTTAACAAAGGTGCCGAACACCCAAACGCTGTGTAGAGTGCCTGTTAATGCCAGTGTGCCAACTATGATTACAGCAGTTATCCACTGGTTCACCCACACTGTGTCTAAGTGGCTCACACCTACACAGGAATGCTCTGACTCTGACACCAGACCCAGCTCTCTCGCTCTCTTTCTCTCTGCAACTCTCTCTGTATGTATCTCTCTCTTTCCTCTCCTCGTCAATTTTTTCTCCCAATCTCCCTGTTTCTCGCTCTCTCTTTATTCTCTCTCTCCTTCTCTGTCTCTTACTTTGTCCCCCGTCTCTCGTTCTTCATCACCCTGTCTCCCACTCCTTCCATTCCCTCCTTCCCATCCTCCCTCTCTCCCCTCTCTCTCTCAGACTGGAGATGACGGACGCATGTGATTGCCCGAGGACCCTCAGTAGAAGATAATAAATCCCTGATGACACACAGAGGGGCATCCCATTAGAACACAACCTGTGCACTGGCAGGTACAGTCTCATGTGTCCATTAAGTGATGCAGCATGCTCAGTAGTCTATACTCACAGTGCTGGGGATGAGGAGCATATAACCTGTGGAAATTAACCAGTCAATCCGTATGCTTAGCTTTAATTCCAAAAGTACCTCAATGACTGCTTCATGATATTTTTGGTGAAAACATTAACATACAGTAACTACACTGAGTGTACAAAACATTTAGAACACCAGCTCTTTCCATGACAGACTGACCAGGTGAATCCAGGTGAAAGCTATGATCCCTTATTGATGTCACTTGTTAAATCCACTTCAAATCAGTGTAGATGAAGGGGAGGAGACAGGTTAAAGAAGGATTCTTAAGCCTTGAGACAATTGAGACATGGATTGTGTATGTGTGCCATTCAGGGTGAATGGGCAAGATTTAAGTGCCTTTGAACGGGGTATGGTAGTGGGTGCCAGGCGCACTGGTTTGTGTCAACAACTGCAACGATGCTGGGTTTTTCACACTCAACAGTTTCCCGTGTGTATAAAGAATGGTCCACCACCCAAAGGACATCCAGCCAATTTGACACAACTGTGGGAAGCATGTGAGTCAACATGGGCATGCATCCCTGTGGAACGCTTTGACACCTTGTAAAGTCCATGCCCCGATTAATTAAGGCTGTTCTGAGGACAAAAGGGGAGGTATTAAAAGTCCCTGGAGTCTGGCATCCATGCATGCGGCAGTGGAGTTTTGCATCTGTTAGAACGAGGGTGAAACAGCTGCCCCTCTCCCAGTGTAGTGAGGTGACATAGTGTGTTCTGTGTCAGTGCCTGTCAGAGGAGTCTGCGTCACAAATGGCACCTTATTCCCTATATAGTGCACTACTTTTGGCTATAGCCCTATGGGCCCTGGTCAAAAGTTGGACGCTATATAGGGAATAGGGTTCCATTTGGGACACACCCTGAGAGACTGAGCAGGTTGTCCTGCAGTGTCCTTGGGTCTGCTGCCTGCTTTCCCTAGCTCCAGATGGGCCGGGGTGCAGCGGGTACTGCAGCATCACTCTGAATGACGTGCACTACGACTCCAGATGCCTTGCTGCTATTTCTGGGGCCAGATACCCTTCAAACCCAAACTTTTGCTGCACTGTACTGTACCTTCAAAACTCACACATCTGTGTGCACACACATTGGTCCTAAACGTCACAACAAAATGGACTCTCTCTAAAATCCTACAGAAAGCCTGCAGTTTCCCCTCAGCCTGTAAATTCTCTCTCTCTCTCTCCCTCCCTCTCTCTCTCTCTCCCTCCCTCCCATGGAGGAAGGGAAATGAAGAATTAAGACAAGCGCAAAAGAAAACAAACCAAGTCGGAATGAAGTTGGAGAAATACTGCAGTCCTCCAATAATAACAGTTCTCGATAAAATTCTATTTTCTCAACACTGTATCCACAAGATGTTATCATTTTCCTTTAAATTCAATTTTGTTTTTTTTGCTCAAATGAAAACTGTACTGTATGGCTTAGAGTTGCAGCTGTGAGTTGCTCCTATAAGGCTTGGATCCAGAATGACTCATTGAACGCTTGTAGGTATTGTTGTACGCAACCATCAAGGCCAAGGTTCCATGAGGCGCTCTTCGCTAGTCTTCCATAGAACTCAGCCCTGTCTATATAGCCCTCATAAGTGTTTGACCATGCTTGCATTATTTCTCATTCTCCTGAATTTTGAGCAAAACAACTATTTACAATTTCACTTCACTGAATTAAGAAACAACTCAAAAAGTTGTCATTTTCTCCATGAGGATGTTAACCTTGAAAAGCTTTTGCAGCTTATTGAAAGAAAGTGCTGACCATGAACCTACTTCTTCTTAAAGATCTTTGTTTGTACTAAAGGGCGCACTGTGCGGAATGTTCAAGAAGCACAAACATCTCACTATATCAGGGACATCTCATTTGGTCTTACACTAGAATTACCATAAAGCTTGAAAGCTTTTAAATGTTCCACAAGATTTAACCTTTTTAAATGCACCTACCGATTATGTATAGCGGAGAAAGCCACTTAAACATGCTCTTGATTGCTCCCATTACATTCAGTCACTGGACTGCTTGTTCATTGTCTAATTCTGGTATGGCAGGGAGTAGCACATTCACAGTATACAGAGTGGCAGGCTGAATTCACAGAACACACTGTTCTGTCCACCTCTCTTTCTCCCCCTCTCTCTGTCACCCTTTCTTACTGCCCCATTTTCTCTCCATATTACCCTCTCTCTTTCTCTCGTTCCGTGAGAGACAGGGAGCAGGAACAGACCGATCTTGCGTCTTGATTTTGCCAGCAGATTTTCGCCAGCCACTCTTCACCCCAGTGGAGCAGAACAAGCTATGCATGCACAGTCATGAACACATTCCAGCTCCGGCCCAGTGACAACACTGGCAGGCCCGAGCACCAGAGACAATCAGACAACACTGTCTGCGTCCCAAATGGCACCATATTCTCTACATAGTGCCTATGGGCCCTGGTCAAAACGAATGCACTATGCAGGAAATTGGGTGCCATTTGGGAAGAAGCCACTGTCACTGGAGAAGGACTGCAGTGGTGTCACAATCAAAGTGCCACCTGATGGGGTTGACTTGACCTCTGAGTGTTATGCGCACCAGACATCCTTCATTTCGTTACGTTAGTTTTTCTGTCCAACAGCTGAACCTGTGGGAATTGTGTCCTTACCTTTTTCATACCACGGAGTCTCTACTGTATCTGATGAACAGTACATTGTATGTGAAGGTATCTTTAAGAGCACCAGAGATATGTGAGGAATTTTCATGTTATGCTAATAGCTATGGCTGGGTTTGCTTGCTTTGACGAAGAGAGACAATCAATTGATCTGATCCGGCTGATTCTGAGGAGACACTTAAAAGCCCAATGAAGTTTGAGCGCAAAATGTATATTTACCAAATCGAATGTGTTCACACATTCTTCAGCGTATGTCATCTAAGAGCTTCGATTAAAGCCCCCCTTGCCACATGCGCAGCAAACTACATAAAAACGAGGACAAACTGCCACTACTCACTGTTTATTATCTATGCATAGTCACTTTACCCCTACCTACATGTACAAATTACCTCGACTAACCTGTACCCCTGCACATTGACTCGGTACCGGTACCCCCTGTATATAGCCTCATTATTGTTATTTTATAGTGTTATTTATTTAGTATTTTTAATTACTTTAGCTTAGTAAATATTTTATTAACTATTTTCTTAAAGCTGCATTGTTGGTTAAGGGCTTGTAAGTAAGCAGTTCACGTTAAGGGCTACACCTGTTGTATTCAGCGCATGTGACAAATAAAATTTGATTTGATTTGAACAGTCAGAGAAGAAGTCGTCACAGAAAATGTATAAATGAGAGGAAAATGTCAAGAAACCTCACAACAATGAAACCAAAACACACAATCCACATGAGCTAGACTACCTGCTAGACAGGCAAATGCCCCTTTGCCCTTCCAGTCTCCAAAGTGCCCTTTTGGGTGGTGGTATAATTTTTTGTTGTTGTTCTGAACTCACTGGCTGCAAGTCGTCGTTAAATTGACATAAGATGATGAATGTAGCTAGCTACCGACATTATGTAATCCATTTGCCCATTCGTCATCAAAGCATCCATGTGAGGTACTCTTCTCCATAATTATTGCCTTAGCCAAAATAACTTCAATATTGTGGTCAATCTTTGTTGGTTCATGACGATTTCACTAAATATACATCCAATTTCAAGGCAAAGGCATACAGCTAAGAGCTTATGAAACTACACTTCTATCCTGGGTTTCACAACAGATACCAAAGGAGTGGGACTTATACCATCACAAGAGGAGGACTGGGTTAGGCAAACAGCATTGATTGTAATAGATCAGTGCTACATGAGTAAAGAGTTATTATGAAATTACATTATAAAATTATATAATGAAGTTAAAAGATTATGGATATTATACTGAACAAAAATATAAACGCAACATGCAACAATTTCAACGATTTTGCTGTGTTACAGTTCATATAAGGAAATCAGTCAATTGAAAATAATGAATTAGGCCCTAATCTATGGATTTCGCATGACTGGGCAGGGGTGCAGCCATGGGTGGGCCTGGGAGGGCATAGGCACACCCACTGGGGAGCCAGGCCCAGCCAAACAGAATGAGTTTTGCCCGACAAAAGGGCTTTATTACAGACAGAAATAATCCTCAGCACCCCCCTCCTCCTCCTCAGACGATCCTACAGGTGAAGAAGCCGGATATGGAGGTCCTGGGCTGGCGTGGTTATATGTGGTCTCAAATCAAATCAAATCAAATTTTATTGGCCACATGCGCCGAATACAACAGGTGCAGACATTACAGTGAAAGGCTTACTTACAGCCCTTAACCAACAGTGCATTTATTTTTAATAAAAAAGTAAAATAAAACAACAAAAAAGTGTTGAGAAAAAAAGAGCAGAAATAAAATAAAATAACAGTAGGGAGGTTATATATACAGGGGGGTACCGGTGCAGAGTCAATGTGCGGGGGCACCGGCTAGTTGAGGTAGTTGAAGTAATATGTACATGTGGGTAGAGTTAAAGTGACTATGCATAAATAATTAACAGAGTAGCAGCAGCGTAAAAAGATGGGGTGGGGAGGCCAGTGCAAATAGTCCAGCTAGCCATGATTAGCTGTTCAGGAGTCTTATGGCTTGGGGGAAGAAGCTGTTGAGAAGTCTTTTTTGGACCTAGACTTGGCACTCCGGTACCGCTTGCCGTGCGGTAGCAGAGAGAACAGTCTATGACTAGGGTGGTTGGAGTCTTTGACAATTTTGAGGGCCTTCATCTGACACCGCCTGGTATAGAGGTCCTGGATGGCAGGAAGCTTGGCCCCAGTGATGTACTGGGCCGTACGCACTACCCTCTGTAGTGCCTTGCGGTCGGAGGCCAAGCAGTTGCCATACCAGGCGGTGATGCAACCAGTCAGGATGCTCTTGATGGTGCAGCTGTATAATTTTTTGAGGATCTGAGGACCCATGCCGAATCTTTTCAGTCTCCTGAGGGGTAATAGGCTTTGTCGTGCCCTCTTCACGACTGTCTTGGTGTGTTTGGACCATGATAGTTCGTTGGTGATGTGGACACCAAGGAACTTGAAGCTCTCAACCTGTTCCACTACAGCCCCGTCGATGAGAATTGGGGCGTGCTCAGTCCTCTTTTTTTTCCTGTAGTCCACAATCATCTCCTTTGTCTTGGTCACGATGAGGGAGAGGTTGTTATCCTGGCACCACACGGCCAGGTCTCTGACCTCCTCCCTATAGGCTGTCTCATCGTTGTCGGTGATCAGGCCTACCACTGTTGTGTCGTCGGCAAACTTAATGATGGTGTTGGGAGTCGTGCCTGGCCATGCAGTCATGGGTGAACAGGGAGTAAAGGAGGGGACTGAGCACGCACCCCTGAGGGGCCCCTGTGTTGAGGATCAGTGTGGCAGATGTGTTGTTACCTACCCTTACCACCTGGGGGCGGCCCGTCAGGAAGTCCAGGATCCAGTTGCAGAGGGAGGTGTTTAGTCCCAGGATCCTTAGCTTAGTGATGAGCTTTGAGGGCACTATGGTGTTGAATGCTGAGCTGTAGTCAATGAATAGCATTCTCACGTAGGTGTTCCTCTTGTCCAGGTGGGAAAGGGCAGTGTGGAGTGCAATAGAGATTGCATCATCTGTGGATCTGTTGGGGCGGTATGCAAATTGGAGTGGGTCTAGGGTTTCTGGGATAATGGTGTTGATGTGAGCCATGACCAGCCTTTCAAAGCACTTCATGGCTACAGACGTCAGTGCTACGGGTCGGTAGTCATTTAGGCAGGTTATCTTAGTGTCCTTGGGCACGGGGACTATGGTGGTCTGCTTGAAACATGTTGGTATTACAGACTCAGTCAGGGACATGTTGAAAATGTCAGTGAAGACACTTGCCAGTTGGTCAGCACATGCTCGGAGTACACGTCCTGGTAATCCGTCTGGCCCTGCGGCCTTGTGAATGTTGACCTGCTTAAAAGTCTTACTCACATCGGCTACGGAGAGCGTGATCACATAATCATCCGGAACAGCTGGTGCTCTCATGCATGCTTCAGTGTTGCTTGCCTCGAAGCGAGCATTGAAGTGGTTTAGCTCGTCTGGTAGGCTTGTGTCACTGGGAAGCTCGCGGCTGTGCTTCCCTTTGTAGTCTGTAATAGTTTCCAAGCCCTGCCACATCCGACGAGCGTCAGAGCCGGTGTAGTACGATTCAATCTTAGTCCTGTATTGACTCTTTGCCTGTTTGATGGTTCATCGGAGGGCATAGCGGGATTTCTTATAAGCGCCCGGGTTAGAGTCCCGCTCCATGAAAGCGGCAGCTCTACCCTTTAGCTCAGTGCGGATGTTTCCTGTAATCCATGGCTTCTGGTTGCGGTATGTACGTACAGTCACTGTGGGGACGACATCATCGATGCACTTATTGATGAAGCCAGTGACTGATGTGGTGTACTCCTCAATGCTATCTGAAGAATCCCGGAACATGTCCCAGTCTGTGCTAGCAAAACAGTCCTGTAGCTTAGCATCTGCGTCATCTGACCACTTTTTTATTAACCGAGTCACTGGTGCTTCCTGCTTTAGTTTTTGCTTATAAGCAGGAATCAGGAGGATAGAGTTATGGTCAGATTTGCCAAATGGAGGGCGAGGGAGAGCTTTGTATGCGTCTCTGTGTGTGGAGTAAAGGTGGTCTAGAGTTTTTTTCCTCTGGTTGCACATTTAACATGCTGGTAGAAATGAGGTAGAACGGATTTAAGTTTCCCTGCATTAAAGTCCCCGGCCACTAGGAGCGCTGCCTCTGGATGAGCGTTTTCCTGTTGACTTATGGCCTTATACAGCTCATTCAGTGCAATCTTAATGCCAGCATTGGTTTGTGGTGGTAAATAGACAGCTATGAAAAATATAGATGAAAACTCTCTTGGTAAATAGTGTGGTCTACAGCTTATCATAAGATACTCTACCTCCGGCGAGCAAAACTTCGAGACTTCCTTAGTATTTGATTTTGTGCACCAGCTGTTGTTTACAAATATACACAGACCGCCACCCCTTGTCTTACCTGAGTCAGCCATTCTATCCTGCCGATGTAGTGTATAGCCCGCTAGCTGTATGTTATCCATGTCGTCGTTCAGCCACGACTCAGTGAAACATAAGATATTACAGTTTTTAATGTCCCGTTGGTAGGATAACCGTAATCTTAGGTCATCCAATTTATTTTCCAATGATTGAAGATTGGCTAATAGGATTGATGGGAGCGGCAGTTTACTCGCTCGCCGTCGGATCCTTACAAGGCACCCCGACCTACGTCCACGATATCTCCGTCTCTTCCTCATGCGAATGACGGGGATTTGGGCCTTGTCGGGTGTCTGTAGGATATCCTTTGTGGCCGCCTCGTTGAAGAAAAATTATTCGTCCAATACGAGGTGAGTAATCGCTGTCCTGATATCCAGAAGCTCTTTTTGGTTATAAGAGACGATGGCAGAAACATTATGTACAAAATGAATTACAAATAACGCGGAAAAACACACATAATAGTACAATTGGTTAGAGGGCTGTAAAATGGCAGCCATCTTCTCCGGCGCCGTTCTCCGGCGCAGTACCAACCGTAGGTAGAGAAATTAACATAACATTTGCTGATTAAATAGCGTGATCATTACACAGGTGCACCTTGTGCTGGGGACAATAAAAGGCCACTAAAATGTGCAGTTTTGTCACACAACACAATGCCACAGATGTCTCAAGTTTTGAGGGAGCGTGGAATTGGCATGCTGACTGCAGGAATGTCCACCAGAGCTGTTGCCAGAAAATGTAATGTAAATGTCGTTTTAGAGAATGTATGGCGTTGTGTGGGCGAGCGGTTTGCTGATGTCAACGTTGTGAACAGAGTGCCCCATTGTGGCGGTGGGGTTATGGTATGGGCAGGCATAAGCTACGGACAACGAACACATTTGCATTCTATCGATGGAAATTTGAATGCACAGAGATACCGTGATGCAATCCTGAGGCCCATTGTTGTGCCATTGTTGTGCCATTCATCCGCCACCATCACCTCACGTTTCAGCATGATAATGCACGGCCCAATGTTGCAAGGATCTGTACACAATTCCTGGAAATTGAAAATGTCCCAGTTCAGGCCTGCATCCTCACTAGACATGTCACCCATTGAGCATGTTTAAGATAGTCTGGATCAACGTGTACGACAGCATGTTCCAGTTCACGCCAATATCCAGCAACTTCGCACAACCATTGACGAGGAGTGGGACAACATTTCACAGGCCACAATCAACAGCCTGATCAACTCTACGCGAAGGAGATGTGTCACGCATGGAGGCAAATGGTGGTCACACCAGATACTAAATGGTTTAACTCATTTTTAAGGTATCTGTGCCCAACACATCCATATCTGTATTCCCAATCATGTAAAATCCATAGATTAGGGCCTAATGAATTTATTTCAATTGACTGATTTCCTGTTATGAAGTGTAACTCAATAAAATCTTAGAAATTCTTCAATGTTGTGTTTATATTTTTGTTCAGTATAGTAATCTAGCTAGCTAGCCATTTTGTTAACTGTAGCATATGGTACCCTATTGAGTCTGGTTCTAATCCCCGAGCCGACTAGGTGAAAAATCTGTCGATGTGCCCTTGAGCAAGGCACTTAACCCTAATTGCTCCTGTAATTCGCTCTGGATAAGAGCGTCTGCTAAATGACGTAAATGTAAACTTTGTTCTTAATCTGTCATGCAGCGTATGACGTGACGTATCCACTGAGCATTCACGGTTGTCAAGTCCTTCCTGATTTGCTATCAGCAGTCCAGTGGTTTGTATGCACTGAGGATGATGGCTATGGGTCATAACAATCGCTCATCATTTGAAGGCATCTATCCTATTCAATGTATTTTGGGCACAGTGGTGCTAGTGCTCTGTAATCTGCTTTTGAAGTTACATGGTGCACAACAAATCGAACCACAGTGTAAGAGTGTGACGTGTGGACCAGTGAGCTTTGGCTCCACTACTCCTAACATCATTACTCATGGGGCTGATGATTTGGTACACAACGAAGCGTTCCAGAACATTCTGAAAATGCCCAAACAAACTGCCTATAAATCAGAGATGAGGGAAACGCCCAAGACCACAAAGTTCAAACGCAGGGCGAGAAACTGAACAATTTACTATAAACTCCACTGCCAAAGATGTTTTTTGAATCCCTAATCGCAAATGCTCAGACTACGACCTAGGTGTTCATCAAGGTAATAGGGCCCAATAAAACCATCATGTGTGAGGGCTATTTTATGTTTGCTACCTACAGTTTCTACGGTGCAGTAATTTTCATTGCACAGCACAGATATTCCCATAAATTCAATGTCTCTCTTGGACACTCAGCGGTGTTGGCCGAATGGCTGAGTTTCAGTTTCCACACGTCCCACACCCTGTTTGAGACTGCCTCAAGCTGGGAGAGGGGAGAGCAGGCCACTGCCAGAGCAAAATGGATTACTCACCGAGCACACACCTGCCAGCGATACAGGGTGTATGTGTTCTTTTATCCTTGTGGGGACCTAAAATCCCCCAAAATCCCCACAAGGATAGTAAAACAAGGAAAATTCTCCCTGGTAACGACAAAGGCTATCGTTCCCTCGATCCTGACTAGTCTCCCTGCCGCTGAAAAACCTCCCCACAGCATAATATTGCCACCACCATGCTTCACCGCAGGGATAGTGCCAGGTTTCCTCCAGACGTGACGCTTGGCATTCAGGTTAAAGAGTTCAATCTTGGTTAAATCAGACCAGAGAATCCTGTTTCTCATGGTCTGAGAGTCCTTTAAGTGTCTTTTGGCAAACTCTAAGCGTGCTGTCATGTGCCTTTTACTGAGGAACGGCTTCCGTCTGGCCACTCTACCATAAAGGCCTGATTGGTGGAGTGCTGCAGAGATGGTTGTCCTTCTGGAAGGTTCTCCCATCTCCACAGAGGAACTCTGGAGCTCTGTCAGAGTGACCATCAGGTTCTTGGTCACCTCCCTGACCAATGCCCTTCTCCTCCGATTGCTCAGTTTGGCCGGGTGGCCAGCTCTAGGAAGAGTCTTGGTTGTTCCAAACTTCTTCCATTTAAGAATGATGGAGGCCACTGTGTTCTTGGGGACCTTCAATGCTGCAGAAATGTTTTGGTACCCTTCCCCAGATCTGTACCTCGATACAATCCTGTCTCGGAGCACTACAGACATTTCCTTCGACCTCATGGCTTGGTTTTTGCTCTGACATGCACTGTCAACTGTGGGACATTAAATAGACAGGTGTGTGCCTTTCCAAATCATGTCCAATCAATTGAATTTACCACAGGTGGACTCCAATCAAGTTGAAGTGTCACGACTTCCTCTGAAGCTGCATCCTCTCCTTGTTCGGGCAGACTTCGTCGTCACCGTCCTTCTAGCCACAGCTGCATCACATCTCATCATTCCATTTGTTTTGTCTTGTCTATTACACACACCTGGTTCATATCCCCTCATTAGTACGTGTATAAGTGCTCTGTGTATTTTGTATTGCCGGGGTATATTTTCCCTGTGTGCCTGTTTTGTTCCAGTGCGCCTGGACTGTTTGACGCTATTCTGCGTAACTCTGTATTCCGAAATAAACTCTATTCTGTGATTTACCCTCCTGCGCCTGACTCCTTCAAATCACCCATCACATGAAGAAACATCTCAAGGATGATCAATGCAAACAGGAATCATCGGAGCTCAATTTTGAGTCTCATAGCAAAGGGTCTGAATACTTATGTAAATAAGGTATTTCCGTTTTTTATTTGTAATACATTTGCAAAAATGTCAAAAAATCTGTTTTTGCTTTGTCATTATGGGGTATTGTGTGCAGATTGATGGGGGGGGGGGGGGTCTGAATACTTTCCGAATGCACTGTAAGAGTCATATGGGCTGTGTGGAATCTGTCACGTCTGAAATGATGAGGACACACACACACTTCTGAAGTCAGTCACCTTGTAAATGGGCTTAGAACTCAACCGTGTGTCATCATATGACCTTGATGAAGATAGCTGAGGGACAGTGGACAATGACCCTCAAGATGTGACACAGTATACTGTGAGGCCATTCGACAAACCCACAGAAAGTATTCATAACCTTTGACTTATTCTACGTTTTGTGGTGTTACAGCCTGAATTTAAAATGGATTTTTTTTCTCACCCATCTAAACACAATACCCAATAATAACCAAGTGAAAACATGTTTTTAGACATTTTAGCAACCTGATAGAAAATTATTTACATAAGGATTCACACCCCTGAGTCAATACATTGTAGAAGCACACTTTGCAGTGATTTCATTGCAGTTTTCATACTGGCCCCCCTGGCCCCGTGTAGCTCAGTTGGTAGAGAATGGCGCTTGCAACGACAGGGTTGTGGGTACGATTCCCACGGGGGGCCAGTATGAAAATGTATGCACTCACTAACTGTAAGTCGCTCTGGATAAGAGGGTCTGCTAAATGACTAAAATGTAAATGTAAATGATGCAACCACCACTATGCATGAAAATATAGAGCGGTACTCAGTAATGTGTTGTATTGGATTTGACCCAAACATAACCCTTTATATTCAGTAGGGCTGACCCCATTTAATCGACTGGTCGATTGTTTGGTTGCTGTTGGTCGACCGAGATTTCTTTAGACGAGCAGTAGCAAAAAATAAATACAAATAAAATCAGAATTCATGGTGTACAAGACACCCACAGTGGCTTGCGAAAGTATTCACCCCCTTGGCATTTTTCCTATTTTGTTGCCTTACAACCTGGAAATAAAATTGATTTTTGGGGGGTTTGTATCATTTGATTTACACAACATGCCTACCACTTTGAAGATGCAAAATATTTTTTATTGTGAAACAGAAAACTTGAGCGTGCATAACTATTCACCCCCCCCAAAGTCAATACTTTGTAGAGCCACCTTTTGCAGCAATTACAGCTGCAAGTCTCTCGGGGTATGTCTCTATAAGCTTGGCACATCTAGCCACTGGGATTTTTGCCCATTCTTCAAGGCAAAACTGCTCCAGCTCCTTCAAGTTGGATGGGTTCCGCTGGTGTACAGCAATCTTTAAGTCATACCACAGATTCTCAAATTGGATTGAGGTCTGGGCTTTGACTAGGCCATTCCAAGACATTTAAATGTTTCCCCTTAAACCACTCGTGTGTTGCTTTAGCAGTATGCTTAGGGTCATTGTCCTGCTGGAATCTGAACCTCCGTCCCAGTCTCAAATCTCTGGAAGACTGAAACAGTTTTCCCTCATGAATTTCCCTGTATTTAGCGCCATCCATCATTCCTTCAATTCTGACCAGTTTCCCAGTCCCTGCCGATGAAAAACATCCCCACAGCATGATGCTGCCACCACCATGCTTCACTGTGGGGATGATGTTCTCGGGGTGATGAGAGGTGTTGGGTTTGCGCCAGACATAGCGTTTTCCTTGATGGCCAAAAAGCTCAATTTTAGTCTCATCTGACCAGAGTACCTTCTTCCATATGTTTGGGAAGTCTCCCACATGCCTTTTGGTGAACACCAAACGTGTTTGCTTATTGTTTTCATTAAGCAATGGCTTTTTTCTGGCAACTCTTCCGTGAAGCCCAGCCTGGCTTAAAGTGGTCCTATGGACAGATACTCCAATCTCCACTGTGGAGCTTTGCAGCTCCTTCAGGGTTATCTTTGGTCTCTTTGTTGCCTCTCTGATTAATGCCCTCCTTGCCTGGGCCGTGAGTTTTGGTGGGCAGCCCTCTCTTGGCAGGTTTGTTGTGGTGCCATATTCTTTCCATTTTTTAATAATGGATTTAATGCTGCTCTGTGGGATGTTCAGCATTTTCGAATATTTCTTTATAACCCAACCCTGATCTGTACTTCTCCACAACTTTGTCCCTGACCTGTTTGGAGAGCTCCTTGGTCTTCATGGTGCCGCTTGCTTGGTGGTGCCCCTTGTTTAGTGGTGTTGCAGACTCTGGGGCCTTTCAGAACAGGTGTATATATTCTGAGATCATGTGACAGATCATGTAACACTTAGATTGCACACAGGTGGACTTTATTTATCTAATTATGTGACTTCTGAAGGTATTTGGTTGCACCAGATCTTATTTAGGGGATTCATAGCAAAGGGGGTGAATACATATGCACGCACCACTTTTCCGTTATTTATTATATTTTGAAAAAAGTTATTTTTTTAATTTCACCTTACCAATTTTGACTATTTTGTGTATGTCCATTATATGAAATCCAAATAAAAATCCATTTAAATTACAGGTTGTAATGCAACTTAATAGGAAAAACGCCAAGGGGGCTGAATACTTTTGCAAGGCACTGTATCTGATTCGTGCCTGTCTGAGTGGACTAATCCATTGTGGAGGCCATGGGGATGGCACAGTCCATCACTCTAAGACATGTGCTACTGAAATTGTATATGGTTATGTTACGTAGGAACAATGGTGCAACACTAATAAAACATGTATTATTTTATAACAGATTTGCTTTCTCCCGATTTGGATAGCATTCACTGTCCGCGGTTCTGAAACACATCAGTGCACTTTTGAATTGGCGCCTTTTCCTATACCATGTTTCTATGTGCATAATAGCAAAGTTAACCAGCATATTGGTGTTGAGAACAATGCGGTGGAGGCAGCAATGGAGTTAGGAGATGAGAAAACAGCCCTTGCCTTAATTGTCTAAGAAAAGTGAGGAGAGAGGAAACCCCAACTTAATTAGGTCTATAATCAATAGCCTAACTGTTAAATGTGCATGGATTATTAATCATCCATATATATACAGTTGAAGTCGGAAGTTTACATACACCTTAGCCAAATACATTTAAAATCAGTTTTTCACAATTCCTGACATTTAATCCTACTAAAAAATGACCTGTTTTAGGTCAGTTAGGATCACCACTTTATTTTAATGTGAAATGTCAGAATAATAGTTGAGAGAATCATTTACTTCAGCTTTCATTTCTTTCATCACATTCCCAGTGGGTCAGAAGTTTACATACACTCAATTAGTATTTGGTAGCATTGCCTTTAAATTGTTTAACTTGGGTCAAACGTTTCAGGTAGTCTTCCACAAGCTTCCCACAATAAGTTGGGTGAATTTTGGCCCATTCCTCCTGACAGAGCTGGTGTAACTGAGTCAGGTTTGTAGGCCTCCCTGCTCACACACGCTTTTTCAGTTCTGCCCACAAATTTTCTATAGGATTGAGGTCAGGGCTTTGTGATGGCCACTCCAATACCTTGACTTTGTTGTCCTTAAGCCATTTTGCCACAACTTTGGAAGTATGCTTGGGGTCATTGTCCATTTGGAAGACACATTTGCGACCAAACTTTAACTTCCTGACTAATGTCTTGAGATGTTGCTTCAATATATCCACATAATTTTCCTTCCTCATGATGCCATCTATTTTGAGAAGCGCACCCGTCCCTCCTGCAGCAAAGCACCCCCCACAGCATGATGCTGCCATCCCCGTGCTTCACGGTTGGGATGGTGTTCTTCGGATTGCAAGATCCCCCTTTTTCCTCCAAACATAGCATTTTACATTTTAGTCAGTTAGCAGACGCTCTTATCCAGAGCGACTTACAGTTAGTGAGTGCATACATGTTTTCATACTGGCCCCCCGTGGGAATCGAACCCACAACCCTGGCGTTGCAAGCGCCATGCTCTACCAACTGAGCTAACGATGGTCATTATGGCCAAACAGTTATATTTTTGTTTCATCAGACCAGAGGACATTTCTCCAAAAAGTACGATCTTTGTCCCCATGTGCAGTTGCAAACCGTATTCTGGCTTTTTTATGGCAGTTTTGGAGCAGTGGCTTCTTCTTTGCTGAGCGGCCTTTCAGGTTATGTCGATATAGGACTCATTTTACTGTGGATATAGATACTTTTGTACCTCTTTCCTCCAGCATATTCACAAGGTCCTTTGCTGTTGTTCTGGGATTGATTTGCACTTTTCGCACCAAAGTACGTTCATCTCTAGGAGACAGAATGCGTCTCCTTCCTGAGCGGTATGAAGGCTGTGTGGTCCCATGGTGTTTATACTTCCGTACTATTGTTTGTACAGATGAACGTGGTACCTTCAGGCGTTTGGAAATTGCTCCCAAGGATGAACCAGACTTGTGGAGGTCTTACATTTCTTTTCTGAGGTCTTGGCTGATTTCTTTTGATTTTCCCATGATGTCAAGCAAAGAGGCACTGAGTTTGAAGGTAGGCCTTGAAATACATCCACAGGTTCACCTCCAATTGACTCAAATGATGTCAATTAGCCTATCAGAAGCTTCTAAAACCATGACATCATTTTCTGGAATTTTCCAAGCTGTTTAAAGGCACAGTCAACTTAGTGTATGTAAACTTCTGACCCACTGGAATTGTAATACAGTGAATTAGAAGAAATAATCTGTCTGTAAACAATTGTTGGAAAAATTACTTGTGTCATGCACAAAGTAGATGTCCTAACCGACTTGCCAAATCTATAGTTTGTTAACAAGAAATGTGTGGAGTGGTTGAAAAACGAGTGTTAATGACTCCAACCTAAGTGTATGTAAACTTCGACTTCAACTGTATATATATATATATATATATATATATATATATATATATTTATATGTTTTTATATATCATTAAAACTTGTTTTTCAACTACTCCACAAATTTCTTGTTAACAAACTATAGTTTTGGCAAGTCGGTTAGGACATTGAGCAGTAGTACCACTATTGAGCAGTAGGCTTAAGAACGCATCCTGTTCAGTTTTTTAATTAAACGTTACAACAGACTCTCTGGTACGCTTATAATGCTTACGTTGTTCCAAACGGTCTGAGAAATTATTTTGTAATCTAACAGCACCTGTTTGGCACACATAATGTGCACGCAGCACTTGCTCCTTACCTTATTTTTCTTGATCTCCAGTATTTTCCACAACTAGTCACATTTATTCCACACATCGGACTTCCCCTTTACCCCCTGAGCAACCAGTAAACATTCCCCAATTTTCTAGTTTATTTGTCCTCTGCATTTTGTTGTCACGTGTTACGGTGTTCAGGTTTTTTTTTATAACCAATCTATTGATGTGATTATGATATGCTATAGGTCACTCCCTATTGGTCACGTTGAGAGCAAGGGTTGTTGGAATAGGGAATGTTTTTCCTAAACAAATTAGGGATTTCGGTAACAGAACTTTTCAGTTAGAAATGGCTGTAGCCTAATTATGTTGCAGCTTTAGCAACACGGACAGCGTGATAAACACTGTTGATGTTCTGTGGTGGTCGCTGCAGCAAGGAGGAGAGAGAAACAACGGGTGCTAGTCACACAGTCACTCGCTGTCATTTTTTTAACAAATCGCAGCAAGTCTGAGCCCGGTCGGAATCCCTTTAGTCATTTGTGTGTCTTAATTATTTAATCAAACAGTTCGCTTAAAGCATCAGACAAGTTCACTGCATATACTTGATTTGATTAAAACACATAGGATGTAAGTATTTTTAAAATATATTTCTAAAAACCTATATTTCGCTTTGTCATTATGGGGTATTGTGTGTAGATTGATGAGGAACATTTTTGATTTGATCAATTTCAGAATAAGGCTGTAACGTAACAAAATGTGGAAAAAGTCAAGGGGTCTGAATACTTTCCGAATGCACTGTATATGGAAAAGTACACGTTTGAAAATTTAGACCAATCGATTGATCGAAAGAACAGACGACTCTCGGTCGACCAATATCTTTGTTGTTGTTGGGGACAGCCCTAACATTCAGAACAAAAAGTGAATTGCTTGTCACATTTCAATTGGGCAGTATTACTTTAGTGCCTTGTTGCAAACAGGATGCATGTTTTGGAATATTTTTATTCTGTACAGGCTTCCTTCTTTTCACTCAATTAGATCAGTATTGTGGAGTAACTACAATGTTGATCCATCCTCAGTTTTCTCCTATCACATCCATGAATAAACTAATGTAACTGTTTTAGAGTCACCATTGCCCTCATGGTGAAATCCCTGAGTGACTGGGTGTATTGATACACCATCCAAAGTGTAATTAATAACTTCACCATGCTCAAAGGGATATTCATTGTCTGCTTTTTTATATTTTTACCCATCTACCAATAGGTGTTTGAAATTCACTGCTCGACTGAGGGACCTTACAGATAATTGTATGTGGTAGCTATTCAAAAATCATGTTAAACACTATTATTGCACAAAGAGTCCATGCAACTTATTATGTGACTAGTTAATCAAATTTTCATTCCTGAACTTATTTAGGCATGCCATAACAAAGGGGTTGATTATTGAATTGACTCAAGACATTTAAGCTTTTCATTTGTAATACATTTGTAACATTTTCTAAAAACATAATTCCACTTTGACATTATGGGGTATTGCGTGTAGGCCAGTGACCAAAACAATCTCAACTTTATCAATTTTAAATTCAGGCTTTAAAACAACAATCTGGAAAAAGTCAATGGGTTTGAATACTTTCTGAATGCACTGTAAGCTTTCCTGCAGGAGATCATGCAGTATTGGACTCCCCTTGGTCTTTTCACACCAGCTAGAGATCACTGGTCTGAGAGACAACAGGCCTGGCTGGGAGTAGGTTCCGTCCAAATGGCATACTATTACCAATTTAGTGCACTACATTTTAACAGAGACCCTGGTCAAAACTAGTGCACTAAATAGGAAATAGAGTGCCAATTAGGGCGCAACCTAGGGGGGGGGGGGGGGGGGCTGAGACAGTATCTCAGGTCACATTGCGAGAAAATCCAACACATCCATCTCGTTTGGTATGACCCAGGCTTGGAGAGACTCCTGTGACCTCCTTATAACATATCCCAAACAAAATGAATTAACAGTAGTCAATGTGCTGAATGCAACAACATTCATCAATAAGTACGATTTTATTTTTTATCCTTACTGCATTCCACAGAATTGACTGTATTTGCACCCTTCAACCATCCTACCCCTCATCACCATTTCAAGCCTCCCAAACTGAATGCCTCCAAACCATCCATTTGACTAAAGGGAGTTTTATTCACAACAGATATAGCTGAGCTTGAATAAAAAGAAATAACAGGTGACATTCTTCATTTCAATACCCACATGAACTGAGAGGAAGCTGAGAGAGCGACCTCCAGCTGCCTTAGAGTGGAAGAGGGGACCATCCCTGCAGGATATGGCTAAGAACATTAGCCTCCTGCGCAGCTATGAAAAGCACTATTGAACGGCTGAGGCTAATGTGACTTTCATTAGCGCTATGCTAGCGGCCGGAGGCTGAGGCAGGCCAAACCCAAATTGAAAAGAGCTCAAGCATAACTGTGTCGGACGCCCAACATTCTACCCCTAGCCCAACTGAAGGAATTCCTGCCTCGCCCAACATAATAATTCCTAAGCTCCAGTTACTCCCATATCAAGCATGGGGTTTCTTTGGTTGGGTTTTTAACTAACCTAACATGGGTTAACACAGCAATTGTTTGAGTATCTCAAGTCAAAAGACGCTAACCCATGGGAACAAGATGTAACAAAAGCATTAAGATTCAAAATACCCTTTAAACACTAAATAATAATGAGAGTCATGATCAAGTTGAAGTGTTTCTCAAACATTACAGCATAGTAAACAATCAAAAGATTGAGGAGGCATTCCTCAGTACTGTCTAGTCAGCTATCTGGAGGAGTTGCCATGCCAAAACAAATGGGTAACTTTTGTTTTCACTGCCATCCAACATCACTTTATCTTGGCCACAGTGTGGTACACCCCCGCTTCTCTCTCCTTTCTTTCTCTTTCTCTCACTCACATTACCTCCATCTTGCCAGATCTGCACCATGCTCCTTAATGCCAGCATAGCAACAATCTGCCATTTCAGGTCGGTATGGGAGCAACAACATTTGTGAATGGGTCGTTTGAGAGAAATGCAGGAAAATGCAGGTATTTTTTTTAGCAAAATGCTGCACAATTACCAGTCGAGTCCCAGGTGCGGCTTGGAGGGCTGCTTTCTGCTGAGCCCTGGGAGTGCCATTGAAACCTGCTCTAGAATCGTACATCTTCATCGCCTCTTCGTCGGCTCTCTTAGACAGCAGATGTGCACTGCTGCGATCACCGCATGGCTGCCTGACACGATTCAGGTCAAACATTCCAAGTGAGAAGAAGTTAGAAAGAAAAAGGTGTGCAGATATGATGTGATGCAATGTCCAAACAGCATGAAAGAGCACTGGAGTTGTGAATGATGAAGTTGAATGAGTGCCGAGGTGATCTTGAACATTAGGCTGTAGGTGGTGAACTATGTGTTTTCCTAATTCGAGAGAGGTCTTAATGTGGTACTCTCCAGTCTCCATTGGTGTGGCAGGCCTTGTTATAGCCGACAGACAGCAAGAAAGAGCACTGGAGTTGTGAATCATGAAGTTGAATGAGGGCCGAGGTGATCTTGAACATTAGGCTGTAGGTGGTGAACTGTGTGTTTTCCTAATTCGAGAGAGGTCTTAATGTGGTACTCTCCAGTCTCCATTGGTGTGGCAGGCCTTGTTATAGCCGACAGACAGTCAGACCTGAGTGGTGCTGCAGTGGATCTGTCATCCTATCCCTGACAACGATATAGGGGCTTTGCAAGGGGGAAACAATAGTGTTGACAAGCGCTATCGGGCCTAGCAGCATGAAGGCAGGCCAAACGATTTCATTTTGCAGCCAATTCATTATCAGGACAGGCAGAGTGTACTAATTCCTGAAAACCAACAATAGCAAAGCATCTTTCTAATTAAGCCCTTGAGTAGCATTGCTTAGTGCACCGGTCTATCCATTTTGGATTCCTGCGAAGAGCCTGATTGGATTCAAGAACGCTCCTAATAGACTCCGCTGAATTCTATGGACCAACCACAGGGCTTTGTCTCAAGCTATTAGAGACTAATTGAGGTATATGACTATCATTAATTTTTACATAAATTCCACATTCATTCTGTCAACATTCCATGTCAATGACAGTAAACACTAAATAGCTACAGAGGACAACATCAAAAACTTAGACACAGTCATTTGTTCTTCATTTGTTGAAGACCTACAGCAAGCAGGTTCATGCTTGGCCATAACATTCAATGCTACGTTGTTATGATTTAAATTCCTCACCAAGACAGGCCAGCACCAGACCAAGACAAGCAGAGTACTGGCAGGCATGCGCCACAGCATAGAAAATTACTGAACTCAATAGGAAAGAGTACTAGACTCCTTTGACAATTAACAGCGTAGCTGGACCCATAACTTCTCCCCTTACTGCTCTTTCGGGGGTGAAAATAAGGCTAACAGATCTGTCTATAAGTACAAAGCAGACTGTGCTTTTTACACAATGGAGATGTTCAGAATAAGTCTAAGTGATCTCTGTCTATAAGCACACTGTTTTCACACAATGGAGAATGGAGTCTTTTATAGAGAGGAGAGTGGGTCTGAAATTCACGTCAGCTATGAAGCGCTCGAACGAGAAGCGGACTCACTCTATCCCCCCGAGGTGTCGAAAATTAATTACATCCGGCACGGCAGATCCTGCCTTTCTATTAAACGCTTCTTTACGAGATGGCCCTCAAATGAGCCAAATTGGAGTGATGTGACAGCCTAAGAACTTTGTCTGCTATTGTTTTGAAGCTGGCTGTCCCCTCCAATGACTCAGTTAGCTAATGTCAGACAGAACAGAGTGGATGCTTACAGTAGGGGTGCCTCCTATCTGACTCCATTGTAATTAATTCTTAGTGGCTTAATGAATTGTACAGATAAAGGCATGCATGCATCAATGTGCTTAAATTAAGTCAATGTGCTTAAATTAATAGAATTACTTTCTACTTGAAGGACGTTATTACGGCGCAAAACAGCTTTATCTCTGGATTAAATCATTCACAATTCACAATGCGTCCTCTTTATAGTGTGTGATCTAATGCGTTCAATAAAACTGACAACATTTAAGGGCTAATTCTACTGAGGATAGATGGTCAAGATGGATTCTAAAATGGCTTCCTTGTCTCAACAATCCAATGATACCGTAGATAGTAAGTGATGAAATTACTCGCAATAACATGCATAACATTTAACAGAGTTTAGAGTACGATATCTTTGATTAATATTTGATAAGGCCTTTATAAAGCATAGAGTTTATGACTACCAACCTACTAATGAAAACTGACTCACGTTGCTATGGCATCAAACGGTAGATGTCATAAAAGGTTAACGGGTTGCACATGCATTTTTAATCATGTCAATTTTCTACTGACCTAGATGTCTCCGAGGCTTAATCTTTAAAAATGTGTTTGTTTATAAAGTCGTGTTGACCCTGACACTGCACTTGACCGTAGTTCACAGCTTACCTCAAACACCCAAACATGTACTCCAAACAGCCTTGCTCTGCTTGGCAGGTCAATGCCCCTCTCATGTGCTTCTCAGCAGGGCTGACTGAGTACAGAGCACTCACTGCTTAGTATGACTCTGTCCCAAATGGCACCCTATTCCTTATGTAGTGCACTACTTTTGACCAGAGCCTATAAAAGTAGTGTACTACATAGAGAATAGGGTGCCATTTGGGATGTAGCTTATGACTCACATATCTCTGGAATAAGACTGTTGTGGAAATATGTTACATCCTCAACAATAGAGGCTTCTCTGGTGTGAACCTGAACTTGCAGCACGCATAGACATATCAATCAAACATTCACCTTCCACAAACCAACACCTACACGTTGAACACAGGCAAGTAGATACATCTGGCAACATTGTAGGAGAGAGTACAACCTTATCCAACAGTAATTTATGCAAAATATACCATACAGTAAAAAAACTATTCAGGGCCAGTAATTAAGAGTAAAAGTCCACCACAGCAAATATCCTCTGTTGAACTTGTGTAATTAATGCCACATTCCACACCCAAAACGTTCTCTGAAAAAAACATCAAATTAAGCAAAACAAATCATGAGCCTGCAAAAACATTGCAACAGGAGTTGCTGTTGAGAGGTGAAGATAACCACAAACACAACAGAGTCAGGGGTGTGTAAGTGTCTCCATTTACAGGAATCCAGAGGTCCTTGGCCCGCTGCAGAAAATGTGTCCAAACCCCAAAACCACATAGCTTATGCCTTTCACCCAAGACCATGTCACCGCTTCCCTGCCAGGCCGACCCTGGCCATCATGATCAAGCCCTGCAGTTCAATTAGAGTTCACTGTTCTAAGGGGCATTGGAAAAGGTCCTTGTGCGCACGCTGGAATTGGAGCGAATGCTGCCAATTTCTTCTCCCGAGAAATTGCCAAGGAAACAACAACCTTTCCAGTAATGGAGTTGCCTGCTGCTGTTCGTGATGGGATTGGATTTAATGTTGTGTTCTCTCTCGGCATCTCAAGTGTAACGTACATATTCAATTCCATGGATTTAATAACTTTTATTACGTCAATTGACTCTCCCTGGGCAGAGACACATGCTGTATATCCCAAATGGCATTCTATTTCCTGGGACAAATCCAATAGGGAATAGGGTGCCATTTGAGACGCAGTCCTAGACGCCTGCTGCTGGAGAACGGGATAGGGAACTGCTTGTACTGTGTCTAATACTGTAGGTTAGTATGATTATGTTAAAGGTCAGCGGCTTGTTGCCCCTTGGTGTACAGCCGAGGTGAGATGTGATAACAATACCAACAACTCCATACCATTTATGTGAGCAACACAATGCAATCCAGTTGGAAATGGAGATAAATGACGATAAGGAGGTATAAGAGGAGGTGGAGGAGGTAGAAGAGGAGGAGGATAAAGAATAACCTTGTGAACCTTGTCCTGTATGTATGGCTGCTCACTCTTAGCCCACTGTTAGACACATTACAAAGAGGAAAATCATAGATAAGACTACAAAGCAAAACATACAGCAGCGGATAACGCAGGATCCTGTGGCAAGGCCTTCCTCCTCACACAAATAGCAAGTTATACAGCTAACACCACTCAGAATACAGCCAGGAGCAGGCAGCCCTCCTTCTCCCTCCTTCCCCCTCTCTCTATCACTTCAGCAGAGGGAGATAGCATGGATAAAAAGAGGTGTTTAAGCTGCACCACTTGAAGCGAGTGCTCATCTGCAGCCGAAGGTGTTGTTCCATCGCACAGCTATGGCGGGTAGACGATCACAGACACCGCTCAAGGCCATGCGTCTACAGCTGCCGAGATAGTCCTCCTCACAGTCACGAAAGAGAGAAAGAGGAGATAGAGGAGGAGGAGGGATGGCCTACAGCTTTAGCTAACATTACAACGACAACAACACTCAGGCTGTGTACTGTATAAGTGCCTCACAACGGGTGTGATGACATACCCCGCGAGCCCCGAGCAAAGCCTTGACAAGAATTACATAAAACACAGAAATCTAATTCCCCCATGCAACACAAGGCTCAGATTTCCCGATGTAATTCAATTTGAACCCAGAGTTTGTCGTTGCACTCTCCAAACAAACACGTTCCAGGCTCTCTCGTCATTCACAGACTCGGCCCCCTCTGCCCTCTGCTTTCCACAAATCCACCCGAAAAAAAAGTGCCAGCAGTAATTCCATCCCTCATTATTCTTCATTACAGTGGTGAAAAGCACCCAGGGCCAGATCATATTGGCTGTTAACTAAAGTTTCGGAGACAATTAGCTCAGGTTGTTAAAATTAATAATTGTTACGGCTGGGATCTCAGAGGCTAGCAGAAGCTCTGCTTTTATGGTATGTTTATTCAAGCTCTCTGTGGATATCGATTGAAGGCTCATTGTAAGCAGTGGGGTAAGGCGTTCAACAATCGTTTGCCGGATTTACTCTCTCTGCACAGAGACGAGCAATCCAATCGTGACAGAGATTAGAGCTGATGCACAGCAAAACACAGACAATCTCTAAACTTTATGATTACCTTAATCTTGATTAACTTGATTTGGCCGAAATCATGCAATCATGCCATTCTGTCTGTTCACAGAATTGGGAATATAGTTATCATTCGGCAGTTCAAAGAACTGATCATGAACACCCCTCAGCTTTAATATTTCAGATAGATTGTAACTTCCATCAATGTAATTGTCTGCATCACTTCCAATCCCCCATGTTTTTTTTCTCGCAAATATATATATACAGTGGGGAAAAAAAGTATGTAGTCAGCCACCAATTGTG